ACTATTTCAAATGTGACCACAAGGAATGTGATGTTAGCACCTAAAACCATTATTTGTGAGTTACAACCGGTGAAAACAGAAGGATCTGTGGAAACTTTGCCTTCAGCTAGTGATACAGAGTTTATTCAGTTACTGAATTTGAATGATGTTGACCTTGATGCTAGTGAAGTTGAGAAAGTTCATTCGTTACTTGAAGATTTTAAGGATGTGTTTGCCAGAAGCGACCTGGATTTAGGACATTGCACAGATGTTCAACATAGAGTGGATCTAACAGATACTACACCATTTCGGCACCGTTATCGACGAATACCACCTGCAATACTTGAGGAGGTTCGAGATCATTTACGGCAGTTGGCAGCTTGTGGTGTGATACGTAAATCCCATTCACCTTGGTCATCCTGTGTTGTAATGGCGAGGAAGCGAGATGGCAGTCTGAGAATGTGTGTTGACTATCGTCAACTGAATACCAAGACAGTACGGGATAGTTATGCATTACCAAGAATTGAGGAGATCCTTGACGCTCTGCATGGCTCTAAATATTTTACCGTGTTGGATATGAAAAGCGGATACCATCAGGTTGAGGTGTTAGAAGAGCACAAAGTCAGGACAGCATTCACTGTTGGTCTCTTAGGATTATGGGAGTTTAACAGATTGCCCTTTGGGTTGGTGAACGCACTGGCTACCTATCAACGCTTGATGGAAGAGTGCCTGGGTGAGTATATTGGATCCATCTGTTTTATTCACTTAGATGACCTAATAGTTTTCTCTGGAACTTATGAGGAGCATTTGGAACGACTTGGAAAAGTACTACAGAGACTCAGAGAACATGGATTAAAACTTTCACCAAAGAAGTGTTCACTATTCCAGTCGAAAGTGAAGTATTTAGGATTCATTGTATCCGAAGATGGTGTTGAAGTTGATCCAGAAAAGACTAAGAAGATCTTAGAATGGAAGACACCCACTAACCCAGATGAATTGAGAAGTTTTATAGGATTTGCCGGTTACTACAGAAAATTTGTGAAGAATTTTTCTGCTATTGCCAAGCCACTACATGATCTCCTTCCTGGTACTAGGACTAAGAAGAAAGGCAGAAAGAAAACAAAGAAGCCAGACAGTAACTCTACTGAGGTTCCATGGCATTGGGGTAAGGATCAAGAAGAAGCTTTCAATACCCTGAAGGAAAAGCTTACATCACCGCCTATACTTGGTTACCCGGATATGACTTTGCCTTTTGAAGTACATACAGATGCAAGTTCTAAGGCGTTAGGTGCAGTCTTATACCAGGAACAGGATGGTAAGAAAGTAGTTATAAGTTATGCTAGCAGAGGATTAAGTCGAGCGGAACGCAACTATCCTGCGCATAAATTAGAGTTTCTTGCGCTCAAGTGGGCAATAACTGATAAGTTTCAGGATTATTTATATGGGACGTCATTTACAGTATTGACCGATAATAATCCTCTTACATACGTGTTATCATCTGCCAAATTAGACGCAACAGGACACAGGTGGCTGGCATCTCTGGCATCATATGATTTTTGTATCAAGTACAGACCAGGCCGTAACAACATGGATGCGGATGCATTGTCCAGACTCGACGATAGCGACAGTGAAGTTGAAGATGAGATAAAGCGAGAGACGATTAAAGCTGTGTGCTCCAGCGTACAGAATGGTAACAGAGCAGAAGTTATTACCTCTGATCCTATGAGTGATCTAGAAGATGTAGACATCACTGATATGGAACATATGACCCAGCGGGAATGGAGGAGTAAGCAGGGGCAGGATAGAGCCTTACAACCAATGATCACAGCTATCAGAGATAACAGGAAACCTCATCGACGTAATTTGTCTCTTGATCAGTCTAAGCTGCTTAGATATTTTGAAAATTTAGTCTTGGACCGAGGTGTGCTTTATCGTACTACCAAGAGAAATGGTGAGTGTGTTCGTCAGCGGATAGTTCCATCTGTATTAATCAACAAAGTGCTACATTACTTCCATGATTCTGTTGGACATCCGGGAAGAGACAGAACACTGTCGTTAATTCAAGATAGATTTTTCTGGCCCGGGATGACAAAGGATGTGGATTCATGGATACAGAAGTGTCATCGTTGCATTCGGAGGAAGACTCCATATGCTACCCAGAGAGCACCTTTGATACCTATAGTTTCTACCCAACCATTGGAAGTGATATGTGTTGACTTTTTGTCTTTAGAAACATCCAAAGGAGGATTCCAGTATGTATTGGTACTTACCGACCATTTTACTAGATACGCGCAAGCTTATCCTACGCGCAACATGTCTGCAAAAACAACAGCTGAGGTTTTGTTCAACAAATTCTTTATACACTATGGTTTTCCTTTGAGAATACATTCAGACCAAGGAGCCAATTTTACAGGAAAAGTAATCCAAGAATTGTGTTTGACAGCAGGAATAAAGAAGTCCAGAACAACGCCATATCACCCAATGGGAAATGGGTTGTGTGAACGATTTAATCGTACGTTGATGGACATGTTAGGAACACTAGAACCAAGTGAGAAAGCTGACTGGAATAAACATATTGGACCTTTAGTCCATGCATATAACTGCACTCGACATGAGAGCACTGGACACACACCATTCTTTCTCATGTACGGAAGGCATCCGAGATTGCCTAGTGATTTAGTATTTGGCATTGATAGATCTCTTGAAGGAAAGAGTACCACCTACTCCCATTATGTTGATTCTCTTCGGAGGAGGTTGAAGTTATCATATCAGTGTGCGGCCGAAGCATCCAGTCATTCCAAGGACAGACAAAAGAAGAACTATGACACTCGAGTAAGAGGTTCTTGTATCCAACCCGGTGACCGAGTTTTAGTAAAACTTCTGGTGCATGATGGACGCCATAAATTAGCCGACAAGTGGGAGGAGGATGCGTACATTGTGCTCGGGCAGTTGAACAAGGATGTTCCTGTGTTTAAAGTTAAGAAGGAAACAGGTGAAGGGAGAATTCGCACACTGCATAGAAATTTGTTACTTCCCATTTCTAGTGTGCCACTATCAGTAATAGACAAAACTAGTAAGACGGAGAAGAAGAACAGGACTGTTGATTCATGCACAGAAGTGTGTAAAGATGAATCCAGTGAGACTGAGAGTGATGCAGACTCTGAGGATATGTATGTTGTTCTTGCTCCTGAAGTTAGAGTTGTGTGTGCCCCTTCCAGCACCAAGGAGACAACTCTAGCTGAGGAGTCTGTTGTCGCCGAATCCTCTGATGACGATCAGGATGAGATTGCGGAGACAGGAGGTGATGGGAATAGTGGTGACGACCAAATACCAATAGAGGATGTAGATATTCCCACATCTCATGAGGATCCAGAGCCACCATGTCCAGGTGAAGAGGTGTCTGGAAAGGACACCAATTTGATGGATCCTGTACAAGTTAGACCAGTTCCTAAACCAAGGAGATCAACAAGAAACAGAGAACAACCAAAGTGGCAGACATCTGGTGAATATCTTATGAGTATACAAACCCCTACAAAAGGACCAGACTGGCTATTACGTGCAGAGTACATTGCTGAGCTTGCCCGTACACGTGCATTTGAGGATATGCCAGAGTGTGCGAGGACTGCAGTACTTGCCGTAATAAGTAGTAAATGACACGGAGGTCATTTTTTTCAACAGGGGGGAGTATGTGACAGTGTGTTATTTATGCTTTTTAATTTTACCTACGTACTAGGGCATGTTTTGACAATGTCAGAAATGCATATTTTATATCTTCTGACATGGGTCAGGTTGTTAACTTTATATGTATTTTTAATAGGTAACATGTCTATATGTCTGACATGGGTCAGATATTTATAATGTTTTATTTTTAGTTATAGAATGCCAGGTAAGTATGTCTTGTGATGTGAATTGTACTCACTATTACCTGTATAAATTCCATATATGGTAAATACATGTACATGCACAAGTTTGACCAATGACAGCCACTGACCTGTCCAGTGAACCGACATTGACGATTTTGATTGAGAGGGAAAGTAAGCTTGATTTGAACATCGGTATTCAGTTCTTTGTTGGAGAACAGATTTAGATTCCCAAGGGGAAAGATGCATTTTTGATTAGAAAGAAACGGAGATACATTATAATTGGTAAGTTATATGTTTATTAATATTTCAGAATATTGTAGTTAATTTATTGTTTAATATATATTACAATAAATTAGTCCTGTAGAATAAATGTATTTTTTGAATATATAGTATATAGTATAATACTTGTATCATTTTTCTCTTTGGAAGTTTATCTGCAGTGCTACAAAGTTGCCTGATCATATTTTTAATTCTCAATTTGTGTTGTCTATTGTCATGTTAAACGGTATATGACAAGTATTAAGTAGTTGTATTAATTTTATAGATAATTGGAGAGTGATAGCGGGAGACAGCATAGTTTCAAGTGTGTATATTAGAGAACCTCTATAAACCTCTACACCATATGTAGGGTGAGTTTACTATATAAAATTATTACGTTGAAATGTATATTCGATGTTAATGAATATGAAATATGGATAGTATATGTATGTTTCAGGAAAGTAAGACAATTTAGTCATAGAAGTGTTTTCTGTGTTTTGTATTATTTAATCATATAACAGTACTGTATAAGTAATGTTAATTTAAATAATCTAATTATATTGTAAAGTTGGTAAACAATTTGTATTTGCCATAATTTAGATAATAGAAAAAAAAATAGGTAATTATACAGTGCGAGAGTTATGTCCCCTGAGGTTGTGTGTGCAATACTAAGTGCTTGTCTTTGTTTCTTTTCTAGGGTTTTTTTATGCATTGAATAAATGTTATTAATAAGAAAACAAGCTTTGGCGTGGTGTTTTCACCCTGTTACAAATGGCGCCCATGTAGATTGTTGTGATGAACTTTGCTGTGTCGCCCGTGGATTATCCGTGATTCCGGAATGAGGCTCCCTGCATTTGGCTTCACAACTACATTGAACAGTGATATTTCCGGCTGAAGTCATTGTGTAGTTTATCATCAGAGACATGTGTTGGATTTCATGTTCGAATAAAGGTTTGGAAAAGACAACTGAAGTGCACCGGTAAGATAGCATGGTTGTGACATTTACCTGTTCCAGAATCTTGACAAAAGACTTGGTAATCATGATACATCATTTAAATTGACTTCGTTCCAGACTTGTCACGTTTATCCATGAACCCAGATGAACCGGAAGTGAAATGTCTTCTATATATTTTGAGGTAGCAGTAAACAGTTAATTTGCATTTTTCCTGAAATTATTTGTCATGTTTGAGATATACAGGTATAGCAGATTGGTTATGGAAAATACATCATTACATGTATATATATTTATAAACTATATAACAATTACATTAACAGTAGAGAGATGAAATTTGTGTAAAAAAAAAATTTCCTCTGATTTCTGACATTTGATTGTCATGGTTACCTACTGAAAAAATGCTAAAAATGCAAAAATACTGCTAATTCCAACCCAACACTACAACTTTCTAGGAGAAATTTAATCCTAAACACCTATCTTACAATCAACAACACTGTCATGGTAACAAAGTACTTACATTTCAGCAAATTCCAACTCGGAAATTCTTCATAACATGACCACATGTGAACACTATGAAAATTTCACTTCCTGTAAAGCTAGTTTTTGGTGCGTAGACACAGATTCGAGACTGCCCAAATGGTAATCTCCAACACAAAGCTAAAATATTATCCTGAAAAAAATGAAACCCCACATTGTCCACTTTAACATGACAGGACCAATTTTAGAAAGGATTTTTTTTTTCATTTTTAATTAAAACCTTTATAATGGGGTAATCTAATGAGCAAAAAAATCACCCATGGCCACACCGAGAAACTGTGTACTGCTACCTCACGCTAGTGGCAGGAAGGGACATAACTCGGACAGGTCTACATACTTATGACCTGCACATTTTGATTATTGCTGTGTAGAACATTTAGCCATTTGAATTTTTTCTTCAAATGTTACCAGACTCAACGACGGGGACGTAGTTCTACCAAGAGTCCATATTGGTTTTTTTTAATAAATAATAATTTATTCTGTGTTCTAATAGAAATAACAAAAACTTTATACTTTAAAATTACCAAATTTGATTACTGATAAAAATTCACTATAGTTTGTCTCAAAATATTTTGTCACTGAAATTTCAGTGGTCTTTGAAAAGACAACTTAGAAATATCCTAGAACATTGATATTTGGCAATAATGATGCTTATGCAATATGATTAAGAATTAATGCCAAATAATGTGACAATGATATTGTTATGCCTCCTCTGGGACACGGTACTTCTTCAGAAAGTCAATGGGATGTCCTATAGTAAAACATACTTTTTATCATAACTGTCGAAATACTGATCACAACATCAGAATTTGAAAAGAAAACAAAATGCTGCCACATAGGAAAGTATGTGTCCAAATTTCAGCTTTCTATGACATTCCTTTCTAGTCCAAAACTATCGAAATGACTGTGACAAATAATTTTGAGACAAACTATAGATCTATTGATAATATAAAAATGGCAAAAATAGTAATACCAGAAACTCCACCTAAAAAACACAATATACCATAAGAAGAATTATATACCTGAAACCCTGAAAATATGCAACAATCCCCCCCCCTCCCAAAAAAAACCACCAAATTAATAGAATGTAACAAAAATAGTTTTATTCAATCCAAGATAGGCCACATTACGATGTGACGAGCCGATCTGCAACTGGATTTTATCAAATACTGAAATTACCTAGAGATCAAATTATAATACACTACAGATTCAGATTTTATGTGATGAAAGTCGCAAATCCAGTCTCCCTTCTCTGTCAAATCTTCTACACAACTCCGATGTTTCCAATTTACACACTGTTTTTTACCTTTTGTCCAGTCACATCCAATCATGTCTTCTATACAGTCTGGTTTACCACAACTACAATTACATTCAATTTTAACAGTTTTATGTTTTGGTTCAGCTTTAGATTTATTTTTTATTTGTGGGAAAGGTTTGAAAGATTGATTTTCTAAACAAGTAATTAAATGCTGTCTGAGATACTGTGTGCAGAAGTTTACCTTTTTAGAGTGTTATTTATTGTGTTTTCAATAATAGTTTGTATTTCAGAAGGGTCTTTAATCTCAGACCTAACGCTTTCAGAAGAAATTTGAGTGTTATTTATTGTGTTTTCAATAATAGTTTGTAAGAATTTGGAGTTATTGTTTTAATTTGTGGTTGTTCATCAAATTGTAACTTTTTCTTAGATTTTATACATTTTATACATTCAGTGTCCATGGAGTCTTCACTATTATCTAATTTCATTACTTTTGAATCAGGGGCTGGTATTACTTCTACATCCAGATCACGAGGTCTTTTTCTTCCAGATTTTTTGTCAGATTTTTTGTGTGAATTCTTACATAACTGTTTCAGATTAATTGTACGTTTTTTTCACAGAACAATCTAAACCAATTGATAACTTAGCTGCAATAATAAGAACTATCCTGATTTGAACAATCCTGTTTTGAACAATCCTGTTTTGAACTTTCCTGATTTGAACTATCCTGAGTTGAACTAACCTGTTTTGAACTAGCCTGTTTTGAAGTAACCTGTTTTGAAGTAACCTGTTTTGAACTAACCAGTTTTGAACTAACCAGTTTTGAACTAACCAGTTTTTAACTTTCCTCTTTTGAACTACTAGTAACTATTTCACACTCTTGATCCCAAATTGAATTTAAACAAGGCCAAATAAATCTTTTCCTGACAAAACAAACACAGTCCATCATCGTTTTCACAACCTGTCTACTACCATCTACACTAAGATGCAGTCCATCTCTACTTAAAAATGACCTCTTCAACAATCCTCCCTGCGAAAAATATCCATGACCTATGAATGATAACTGCCTATATTTGCCACATATTGTTGCCAAAGCCCTGTTAATCTGCCTAGCCTTATCATTTATACCCTCCAAATATGAATGCTTCACCAAAACATTCCCATGTAAATTTTGCCCTCTTGGAAGAATTCCTGATATCACTATGTGCATATCAGGATGAACATGCCAAATTTTCTCAACAAGACTTTGAAATGACCTAAGAATATCCGAAACACTATCTCCACCCGACAGATTGTCTTTACCACTATGAATAACCAGCACATCATGATGACACACAGCATCCCTGATCAATCCCCAAATATTTCCTATTTTCTCATAACTCCTAAACAACACCTTAGCACCATCATTTTCAGAAAGATAACTATCAAAATATTTTGCCTGCGAATCACCAGCTACAAGGACAGACATAATTGACAGCACTAAAGTCTAAACAAAAATAACACAATCAATATTTTACCTTGATTATGTACACAGTTGAAAAAAGCACTATGAAATGAACAATATGTTACCTGTTAGGGTTCTGCAATGGGTATGATTTGTACTGAGTGAAATGCCCATATTTATATGATATAATTTTTACTGAATTGTTTTCATTCATGTTAAAAAGTATTCAAAAAATCAGTGTTGATTACTTAATCACTAAATAAAAGCAACAGGTACTGCCAGACAACAAATTCGCACCTATTAGCAATTATTAGTGATCACTTGAATAAACAAGAGTGTCTGACAGCTCACCTGAGGAGTGTCTCACCTGTCCAAACAACAGTGCATGCATGGCTTTAACAGTTATTATTTAGTAATCAATAAACTCCTGAATTGATTTCCCTTAATAAACAATCACTCATGATAATGACACATTAGAAGCTGAATACATGATGTTGGATGACACCTAAATGTATCATTTTAATAATTGGTTTATAAAAGTTAAAAAAAGAAAGTGAACACTTATCCCAAGCTAATCATAATATTGGTCAATAATTATCAAATCATATAAATGAAGGGAAAATTTTTTGTGATACAACAATCATGGCAGTAACCGTCTTGTTTGGAAGCAGTTTTATTGAATGACTAAGGAGGTTTTCAGATGGAGATCTTCACGTTCCAGGAGTATGCACAGTATTTTGTGGGAAGGGGGGACTTCGTACAGATAGAATGGATCCTGAACTACTCAACACAGTTGCCAGACACAAACCCAACACAGTATTTATACAGATAGGCGGGAACGACATAACAACTACATCAACACCAAGGGACATCTTTGACAGAATGTGCACTCTAGTTGCACATTTCCACAACATAGGGGTTCATCGTGTTTTTATTAGGGAAATACTAACAAGAGGGAACTTCACAAAATCTCCGGGGTTAACAAAAGACAGCTTTGACAGACAAAGAAAACAAGTAAAGAAGCTCCTAAAGAAGAAATTTTGCACTGACTTCATCACATGGGATGACATCAAGTACCCACAAGATTTTTTACCAGACATGAATTGTCTGAAATGTTCAATTGTGATATCGGGGTAAAACAAGGGGAAAATTTATCACCATTTTTATTCTCAATTTATCTTAATGATCTGGAAGATTTTCTTACAGAAAATAATGTTAATTGTCTTCAAACAATAGGAACTTTGGGTGAAAACATTGAAATGTATTTAAAATTGTTTATTCTTCTGTATGCAGACGACACTATTATTATGTCTGAAACAGCGGAAGGATTTCAATCTGCTCTTAATACTTTTGAAGTATATTGCAATACCTGGAAGCTTAATGTTAATACTAACAAAACCAAAATTGTTATATTTGCAAAGAGAAAAGGTCGTACAGCCTTCCATTTTACATTGTGTAATGAAGAAATTGAAATTCTTGATGAATTTCCTTATTTGGGTGTTTAAATTAATTACAACGGAAGTTACTTTAAAACTAAATGTAAATTAATGGAACAGTCTAAAAAAGCAATGTTTGCCGTTTATAAGAAAATAAGAAATATTCAGCTTCCAGTAGACCTTCAGTTGAAGATTTTTGACTCACTTGTGTTGCCTATACTTTTGTATTCAGTAGAAGTTTGGGGTTTTGAAAATTTAAGTGTCATTGAAAAACTTCATTTACAATTCTGCAAACGTATTTTAGGTATTAGAAGAAGTACACCAAATTTTATGATTTATGGTGAATTGGGGAGATTCCCTTTACTTATTGAAGCTAAAAGCAGAGTTTTTATGTTTTGGTATAAATTAATTACCTGTAATAACTTGTCAAAAATATGTATAACTTAATGAAATTATATTAAAATATGGATTTCAAGTGGTTGAAAAATGTACAAAATATTTTTATAGAAACTTGGTTTAAACTTTACCTGGGACTTCCAGAAAATATGTACATTTAATAGAAATTATTTAAAACTTGTCATTAAGCAAAGACTACAAGACCAGAAAAGAAATTCTTGTGTCTACATTACTTAACCATTGAGATGAATCAAGTAGAATTTCATGAGAAATTCTAAAGGATGTGTTTATCCTTTATTTCAGTTCCAAATTTGACTTCAAATTCTTCAAACGTTTCTTGCGTCTGTTTGGATGGATGTTCCCAAGTCTGTGTAGTGAACAGTCTCTCCTCTTCTTGTTCCTGTTGTGTCTTGGACTCCTAGGTAAATTCTACATACTTTCTCTGTAATAATCAGTTTCTCCTTGTTCCTGTTGTGTCTTGGACTCCTAGGTAAGTACATACAATCTCTGGAATAATCAGTTTCTCCTTGTTCCTGTTGTGTCTTGGACTCCTACATATTTATACATGTTTACATATTTTGCCTCATATCTAAACTTGTTGCATATCTACTGGTCATTTTTGTCATGAAAATGAGAGTGTAGTCACTAAAACACAATAACATAAAAGCATGATATAAATCTCTAGTTAGATAATGTTAGATAAGAATTTACATGAATAGTCAAATTGCTCCGTGTTCACGGTCTGTCGTCCATCAGCTTGTAAACAATTTTTGTTATCGCTATTTCTTGAAAAGAAAAGATGGATCTCTCTCAAAAAAGGGTTCCCTAATTGTGCCCATTTGATTTTGGGACTGATCAAAATAACAAATTGTCCAAAAGGTGGCCATCTTGGATTTTGACTTTGACAGTTTGTTATCGCTATTTCTTGGGAAGTACTGGATGGATCTTTCTTAAATTTCATATGTAGGTTCCCTTTGGTCATTAGTTGTGCCTATCTGATTTTGGGCTGATAAAAGAAACCAAATGGCCAACAGGCAGCCATCTTGTATTTTAACTATGCAAGTTTATTATTACTATTTCTTGAGAAGTACTCGGTAGTTCTTTCTCAAATTTCATATATAAGTTTCTTTTGGTCCCTTGTTGTGCCGATCTAATTTTTGGTCTGATCAGAAAAACGAAATGGCCCACAGATGGCCATCTTTGATTTTGAATTTGAAAGTTTGTTATTGCTATTTCTTGAGAAGAACTTGATGGATCTTTCTTAAATTTCATATGTAGGTTCCCTTTGGTCCCAAGTTGTGCAAATTTGATTTTGGGACTGATGAGAAGAAACAAAATGGACAACAGACAGCTATCTTGGCTTTTGCAGGCAAAGATTATCATTGCTATTTCTGCAAAGTAATGTTCAAATGTCTTATCATTAAGAGCAGAAAATGAGAAGAGAACAGAAGGGAAAAGATACAACTTTCAAAGAAAATGTAAAGATCAAACAATGGTGGATGCCAAGATCCCTCTGGTATCTCTTGTTGTTTTTGCCTTCTGCTTCAGAACAAGTGATTGTGTGTTTTGTTTCTGCTTCAGAACAAGTGATTGTGTGTTTTGTTTCTGCTTCAGAACAAGTGATTGTCTTTTTTGTTTCTGCTTCAGAACAAGTGATTGTCTTTTTGTTTCTGCTTCAGAACAAGTGATAGTGTTTAACATAGGTTATGTGCCTTCAAAGTACTACAAGGTGTTTGGTGACAAAGACTACAAGGGATTTGTACATGAAACACTCCAAGCCTTGATGTTGATAGTCTCAGAATCATTGGTAAGTTTATACCTTATCTATAGAAATGTAGATTACATTCTCATATAGCCATAGTACTGTCAAAACAACACTTTCCTTCTCCTCTAACTCCTGTACTCGAATTCCTTAACATGTCACCTGATGTTAATTGTTTATGCTTCAGGTAAAGAGTACTATTACGTTTACGGAATCCATCTTATATATCCAGTGGCGAGGCGTGTTGACCAAGAAAATACACCAGAAATACTTCAAAGATTATCTGTATTATAAAATCAATGTTCTCAGTTCTACAGACAATCCGTAAGTTTTTAGTGTTCATATTGACTTTGTCAGGTTAGATTACCTTACCTGTTATCTAACCAGGTAATTAATAATTAGTTATCTAACCAAGTAATTAATAAATACTTATCTGACCAAGTAATTAATAATAAGTTAGCTAACCAAGTAATCAATAATTAGTTATCTTAACAAGTAATTGATAATTAGTTATCTAACCAAGTAATTAATGATTAGTTACCTAACCAAGTAATTAATAATTAGCTATCTTACCAAGTAATTAATGATTAGTTATCTAACCAAGTAATTAATAATTATTAATATCTCTAACCAAGTAATTAATAATTAGCTATCTTATCAAGTAATTAATAATTAGCTATCTTACCAAGTAATTAATAATTAGCTATCTTACCAAGTAATTAATAATTAGCTATCTTACCAAGTAATTAATAATTAGCTATCTTACCAAGTAATTAATAATTAGCTATCTTACCAAGTAATTAATAATTAGTTATCTGACTAACTGTTTTTAGAGGTTCTTTTAATGAATATAAGAGGTAAGAGTATTTCCTATTCATCATACAGGAAAAATCAGAGAAATATGAGAGAAAATGAATTAAAAGATAGCATACAGGTTTTAGAAAATGAGGATAATATTGATATAAACCAGATAGAATCTAAGAAAAGAGAATTAGAGCAGATTAGAATACTTCGAATGAAAGGCAGTTTAGTGAGATCTAGAGCACAATGGATAGAGGAAGGGGAAAAACCAACAAGCTATTTTTTTGGATTAGAAAATAGAAACTTTACATCAAAAATAATTCCGAAAGTTCAGACAGATGAAGGAGACATAATTATAAAACAGGAAGAGATTTTAGAAACAGTAAAATTGTTTTATGAGAATCTATATGAAGAAGGAAATATTACAGACATTAATTTAAATGAATATCTAAATTGTAACAGTATTCCTAAACTCTCTGAAACAGAAGCTGAAAATTTAGAAGGTTTAATCACATTAGAAGAAGCCAGTAAATGTTTAAGGAATATGAAAAACAACAAAAGTCCTGGGTCAGATGGGTTCACTGCAGAATTTTTAAAATTTTTTTGGAATAAGATAGGTGTTTATGTTGTCAGGTCTTTAAATTATGGGTATTCACATAGAGAACTTTCAGTTACTCAGAGACAAGCAGTGATCACCTGCCTTCCTAAAGGGAATAAGCCTAGACATTTTATTAAAAACTGGCGTCCAATATCCTTATTAAATGTTACATACAAAATAGCATCAGGGGTTATTTCTAATATAATTAAGTCAGTTTTAGACAAGCTAATTAATATGGATCAAACTGGTTTTATATTGGGACGCTATATAGGAGAAAACACTAGACTACTATATGATTTAATGCAATATGCAGAAGAAAATGATGTACCAGGTATGATTTTAATGGTAGACTTTGAAAAAGCGTTTGACTCTGTCTCTTGGAAGTTTATTGAAAAGGTTTTAATCTATTTTGGATTCAAAAATGATATTATTGTATGGTTTAAAACGCTACATAAAAATGTATCAGCTTCAATTAACCAGGGAGGTAACTTATCTGCTTTCTTTGATATTAGAAGGGGCTGTAGACAAGGCGACCCGCTCGCACCCTATATTTTCATCCTCTGTGCTGAAGTTCTAGCGATTAGAATTAGAAATAACCATAGAATTAAAGGCATCAAAGCAGGTGAGCTTCCTATTTTGCTATCTCAATACGCTGATGACACTTTTTTCACACTTGATGGATCTGAACCATCATTATCGGAATCTTTAAAAGAACTTAATACATATGCTAGCATTTCAGGTCTTAAAGTAAACATTGATAAGACCCAGATTATATGGATAGGGTCTAAGAAGTATAGTGAAGATACTTTTTTACCACATTTGAATCTACAATGGGGGCAAGAGCGGTTTACTCTTCTAGGAGTAGAATTTGATGTCAATCTTCATGCTATGCCAAAAATTAATTATGACAAGAAAATAGTAAAGCTAAAAGCACTTATAAATACATGGAAAAGAAGAAATCTTACACCAATAGGTAAAATACACATAATAAAATCCCTTTTAATTTCTCAGCTCAACCACCTCTTTATAGCTTTACCAAATCCTGATGAAAAAACATTTAAGACAATTGAATCTATCATATTTGAATTTTTGTGGAGTAGTAAAATAGACAAAATCAAGAGAAATGTAGTGATGCAAGACCTTATAAATGGTGGTTTAAAAATGATAAATATAAGAGCTTTTGCAGATGCATTAAAACTAAGTTGGGTAAGGAGACTTTATCATAGAGCAGGTAAGTAGTCTGCAATATTACAGACTAATGTAAACATTGACATCCTACTGAATATTGGAGGTGAGTATATACAAAACTGCAAAAATGAAATCAAAAATAAATTTTGGAAAGATGTTTTCAGAGTATGGTACAAACTAAAAACAACAATTGAAATGTGTACAGGAAAGGAAAAATCAGTTTTGGAAATACCTATATGGTTTAATAGAAATATCACTCTATCTGGAAAATCAATTTTTTATAAGCAATGGTATAGAAAAGGGATAAGAACAATAGCAGACTTACTAGAAGCTGGTAATACTAATAATTTTCTTAGTTTTCAAGACTTTCAGAGAATATACAATGTGACAACTAACTTTTTGAACTATCAAGGTATCATTTCTGCAGTTAAAAATTCCTAAGAGATAATCCACCTGTGAAGAATGACTCAACGGCCTGTAATACCATTTTATATAAAGATGTTTTTCGAGCATTTAAAAGGTTAAAAAATATTTTATAATATTTTAAATACAACTCGGACAGAGCCAACTGGTAAAGCTAAATGGGGAGAGCAGTTTGATTTAACAAATAGTGATTGGGAAATTTTCTACAAAATGCCATTTCAAATTACAAAAAACACCAAACTTCAATGGCTCCAGTATAGGATCTCTCATCACATTCTGACAACTAATAGTAGGCTTTTTAAGGCAAAACTTGTGTCCAGTCCACTTTGTAATCTATGCAACTCAGAAAGAGAATCGATCTCTCATCTCCTTTGGGAATGTCAGTGTGCAAAACTTTTTACAATCATTTGAAACACTAACAGAGTCTTTATTAATACCATTCTCAGTCAACAAAAGGTCTTTTATACTTGGAATTAAAAGGAACAATAGCCCTAGCTTTAGAGTTGACAATGAAGTAATTCTTATGATTAAACATTATATATATAAAACAAGATGCCTCCATGCTACTCTCAATATCAACGCCATTGTAAAGATTATACAAAATCACTATTCTGTTCAAAAATATATTTCAAATAGCAAAAACACGTCTTACAAACAAAATTTCACAAATGATTGGAAAAAATGGGAAAATCTTATCCAATTGAATATTTAAATAATTATAATACTTTTTATCCTTGACAGTGCTGTCATATCTTTGTTTCACTGTCTTTAGCTAAAAATTTGTTTCAACATCCCATGGACTTCTTATGTCATTCCCCCCTCCCCATCCCCTATCTTCCTATTTCTGTTTTCATCGCTTTGTCTGTTTCTTTAATTGTAGAGAATGATTCAGTGAGAGAGAGCAATCTATGTATAATGTTAATTATTGATATTTCCTCTATGCTATCATTTAGTCTGGCTGTACTATGCTCTGTGTAATCTTTGACAACAAGGGCAGATAACAAAGAATCATCACCAGCTATTCACACCTCAATTATTTTTTTATGTTTTTTTTTTAACGTGAATTACACTTTGTTTCAAACAAGCAGAAGTTGCAACATGGAAAGGCTGTTATGTGGGGCATATCTCGCTACTCCCAATCCATGCTTGCACTTCTGGTTTGGGATTACACTATTGAAAACATATAATTTTGAATAAAGTTTGGGGATTAGGTGTGAATAGATGATGATGAGGCAAAACACTAATAATAATAAACAGCTCTATTGTTGATCAGTGTATGATGTGATAATGAGGATGAAAGGTTGATGATGAAGTGGTGATGATGATATGATGATTACAATGCTGAATATGTGTTACTGCTGATGATGATATGATAGTGATGATGATGATGACGATATGGTGATGATCATGATAATGAAGTGATGATGATACGATGATCATGATGATAACTATGTGACGATGATGACGATGATGATGATGATGATGATGATGATGATGATGATGATGATGATGATGACAGCAGTCATTGAGTTTGTATTATTATTGGGGCGTGTGAATGAAACACAGTAGTACATTGTATGTCATGTCAGCAAAGAGGAAAGAGTAGGAAATAATGAGTGCATGTTTTGAGTGAGTGTACATGGGTGTAGTGTGATGTGTGCTAGGGTGTGTATGTGTATGTGAGTCTAGTATATGTCGTGTGTTGCGTACCTTTGTAAAATCTTGAAAAACAAAATAAAAAAAAAAAAAAAATAGTTATCTAACCAAGTAATTGATAATTAGTTATCTAACCATGTAATTAATGATTAGTTATCTAACCATGTAATTAATGATTAGTTATCTAACCAAGTAATTAATGATTAGTTATCTAACCATGTAATTAATGATTAGTTATCTAACCATGTAATTAATGATTAGTTATCTAACCATGTAATTAATGATTAGTTATCTAACCAAGTAATTGATAATTAGTTATCTAACCAAGTAATTAATGATTAGTTATCTAACCATGTAATTAATGATTAGTTATCTAACCATGTAATTAATGATTAGTTATCTAACCATGTAATTAATGATTAGTTATCTAACCAAGTAATTGATAATTAGTTATCTAACCATGTAATTAATGATTAGTTATCTAACCATGTAATTAATGATTAGTTATCTAACCATGTAATTAATGATTAGTTATCTAACCATGTAATTAATGATTAGTTATCTAACCATGTAATGAATGATTAGTTATCTAACCAAGTAATTAATGATTAGTTATCTAACCAAGTAATTAATGATTAGTTATCTAACCATGTAATTAATGATTAGTTATCTAACCAAGTAATTAATGATTAGTTATCTAACCAAGTAATTGATGATTAGTTATCTAACCATGTAATTGATGATTAGTTATCTAACCATGTAATTGATGATTAGTTATCTAACCAAGTAATTGATAATTAGTTATCTAACCAAGTAATTAATGATTAGTTATCTAACCATGTAATTAATGATTAGTTATCTAACCAAGTAATTAATGATTAGTTATCTAACCAAGTAATTAATTATTAGTTATCTAACCATATAATTAATGATTAGTTATCTAACCAAGTAATTAATGATTAGTTATCTAACCATGTAATTAATGATTAGTTATCTAACCAAGTAATTAATGATTAGTTATCTAACCAAGTAATTAATGATTAGTTATCTAACCATGTAATTAATGATTAGTTATCTAACCATGTAATTAATGATTAGTTATCTAACCATGTAATTAATGATTAGTTATCTAACCATGTAATTAATGATTAGTTATCTAACCATGTAATTAATGATTAGTTATCTAACCATGTAATTAATGATTAGTTATCTAACCATGTAATTAATGATTAGTTATCTAACCATGTAATTAATGATTAGTTATCTAACCATGTAATTAATGATTAGTTATCTAACCAAGTAATTAATGATTAGTTATCTAACCAAGTAATTAATGATTAGTTATCTAACCATGTAATTAATGATTAGTTATCTAACCAAGTAATTAATGATTAGTTATCTAACCATGTAATTAATGATTAGTTATCTAACCAAGTAATTAATGATTAGTTATCTAACCAAGTAATTAATGATTAGTTATCTAACCATGTAATTAATGATTAGTTATCTAACCAAGTAATTAATGATTAGTTATCTAACCAAGTAATTAATGATTAGTTATCTAACCAAGTAATTAATGATTAGTTATCTAACCAAGTAATTAATGATTAGTTATCTAACCAAGTAATTAATAATTAGGATTGAAATAAGTTTTATTATAGTTTCATACATCTATTATTACCATAAGAAATTGTTGGGATATCATTCCAGATCTTTGTTTATGTTTTGAAATCATGACTGATGGTTTGTGGGTAGGTTTTGTATCCTCAGGGGTGATAGAGTTACTTACTTGTCGTTTTATAAATAGATATACATGTTTGAGAACTGTCTAGTTGGTTCTTGGGAATTTCCAAAAAGACATGAAACTTGATAGTATTTACAAATCTTAAATCAGGCATTTAGAGTCATACAAATGTGTAACTTGAAAATTGTACATATAGCCTCTGCATTCATACCATATATGTTCTAAAATTAACTATTGGCAGCCACAGGGGATAATGCAGTTCAAGTCTTTGCTATAGTCTCAGTAATATGACATACATCTATTATTTGTTTGTGTAATTAGTGACTTTAAACAGACTATGCTAATATAACTTTAAAAATATCCTTTTCATCTAAACATATCATATTCAGTTTTTTCCAATGATCATCATTTGAAAATATTACTAGTATAGCTGTGACTAGTATTTGTCATTTTACTGGTGAGCAGATCTACAACATCTACTAGAAATCAGTTCATAAGCTCCATGATTTAAACATTTTTGTCTTCATTTCAGTGACCAACGTATTACTAAGGATGTGGAACAACTTTGTTATTACTTCACCCAAATATTGTCACCTTTGATTATCTCCCCTTTCACAATAGCATATTACATTTATCAATGTATCAAAAAGTGAGTATCTTTTGTTATGTATTATCTGTAAAAAAAATCTATCATAATATCGCAATAGTCACTGGACTATCGCAAAAATATCACAATAGTAATTTTATTGTCACAATACTATTGTAATAGCTGTGTTTTGACCTCAATAGTCAACCTTAGTTGTTATTTGATTGCATGATGACCTGACTGTGTATTCAGTTTACATAAAAAGTGAATGCATTCTCAGATGCTGTAATATATTCATCTTTTGTAACTGTAAACTAAGAATACCTCACTTACTGGCATAGTATTTTATGTTGTTGGCAATTGGCATTTTTATAATGCATTTTAGGAATTTTAGAAACAAATAATAAGGTACCATGATCAATTATGAAGAATTACAATTGATCATCACATCATTGTCCCATCACTATGACAATGGCATTGGTTTCTTATTTTAAAGACCAAAGGGGAAGTTAGACAATATTTCGCTTCAAAACACTGCTCTTGCTTAATGTTTAAATGGATTTAAACCAAGTGGGGTACGAAACATCATTATGGGTGGAGAATCAGTTCTTACATTCAGAAAGTTGGACAATATTTTGCTTCAAAATGCTACCCCTTCTTAATGCCACAGTAGACTTCAGCCAAATTTGGCCTGAAATATTATTAGGTAATGGCAATGATATAAAACAGGAATGTAGTGATCCTGAGATTGTCCTGACCAAGTCTTATTTTACGCTTTGGTCCAAAAATCCCAGATAACTTACTAGAACAAATAGTCTGAACTTCTCATGTTTCATTCACACCAATGAGAAAAATATTTGGAGTTTTGACTTTTTTTAAAGAAAGAAAGAGATGATTTGTCGTTACTTTTCAGTTTGATCAAAATTTCAACACAGTAACCACAGTAGTTATTTTGTAACATGATGGCGCAACTGTTTTTCATGTACAGAACCTACCATTTATGAGTTTCTGATATTTTCAATGAATGTTCAAAATTTGCATTCATCAGATTTGTCAGATCATCACCAGCAAATTCTATGATTTGTCCATCAGTTCATCGAATGTCAGATGACATGGCCTTCTTGTTATTAGAACAGGATACCTTGGTCCAGTGGGTGTTCTAGGGTTTTTCCTGGTGGGAACTGTAGCCAACAAAATATTGATGTCGCCAGTTGTCAGCTTTGTATTTAAAAGGGAGAAGATGGAGGGCAATTTTAGGTAAGTGTTAAAACAATGATGAAGCACAATGTTTCTGGATCAAATGTCATTTACAAATGAAAAATTGTTTAATATTCTTAAAAAAGCTTTTCCTTTTTTTCTGCATTTCATGCTTTTAAGATTGCATTCTGAATCATCAATCATTTTTCATTTGTGCTTTGGATGTTTTTGCTGTGTGCGTTTACATTTAGAATAGTTTGTGTACTGTTTCTGGAATATCAGAATGATTAAACATTTGGAAGAACGACTAGATATTGAAGCATATGCCAGTGTTGCCTTTAGGTTGTCCGTATTTGTGAGGTGGAAATATGTAGAGATCACTCAAATAATACAGATTGAATCAATATCTGGATGATTTCACACAAATTTTCACAAAGTAGGAAAAAACAAGAAAAGCCTCAGTTATGATAGAATTATTTCTGTAGCAGATGAGGAAATCAATGATATTCACCTAAATGATACTTAATATTGTGTTATATAGAATGTTCAAAATTTGCATTCATCAGATTTGTCAGACAGACCACCATCAGCAAATTCTGTGGTTTGTCCATCCATTCGCCGATTGTCAGCTGACCATTAAGGGCCATGGCCCTCTTGTCTGACAAATTTTCACTCATTCCCTACAAATTGCATATCAAAATAAATGAGAAGATTGTAAACAGAAACAGATTTAGAAGATCATTTAGAAGATCATCTGATTGAATACAAGATAGTGTTATTGTTTCTCGCACAAAAGATGGAGAACTCTTCTAGACCTACAATGTAATTATAATATACAGTGGGGTTGAACATTATTCATTTTAGACGATTTTACCTGTAAAAAAATCTTATTTTGTCACTGCTTGTTGACATTGATATGTGTCCTGAAAAATGAAACTCTTTCAACAGAACCACTATGACACCTGTATGTATTTTTTTCTTCAAATATGCAAACATACACACCAGACGTCAACAGCAAAGATGATTAGCTTGACGTCACAAAAGATAAAAGTGTGTCTACCAGACAAAATTAGCTGACAAAATTGTATCGAAAAAAATAAAGTTGATCTTTATATTTTAACTTAATATACAAATAATTGAATCAACACCTTTGTTTCTGTTTCTTGTAGGTTTAAACATATGCAGATGAGGGTGAATGCAGAGTCGGCAGCATTTTATAAAGCTGGTGCTGTAGAACAAAACAAGGCTGATGCTCACCTTGACGATCTTCTTAGCATCCAAAGGAAACTAGTTATTAGAAAATTCTTTCTTAACTGTAAGCAAAGTTTCAGTTACTTAAGTATCAGATATTGTGTCTGAAATTTTGAACATTTTTATAGGTAAAAGTTGATAACATTACTTTAGTAATTGAAAATTGATCAATGAAATAACTACAATGGAGATTGATATCCAAATTCAAGTTTACTGATACAAAATGTTCGTTTTTTCCATGTAGTGTCCGTAAACCTGAGTGATTACCTGGGAAGCATCCTGAGTTATCTGTTGCTAGCCCTGCCCATCTTCAGTGGTTCTTATGACAGTTTGTCTGCTGCTGATCTCTCTTCCTTAATTAGTCAGGTAAAAAAAATAATTAGTGTATCACAAATATGTTTTAGAATTTGATGTTGAAAGACAAGAAACTTTAATTAGTACATAATTTAGCCTTGGTGATTGCATGTTTCTTAACAAAGGCTATTATCATGAGATGATGACCTGTTCAAGTTGCCCTACATTCATGGTCTGTTGTCTGTGTCTGTAAACAATCCTTGTAATCACTATTTCTCGAGAAGCACTGAATGGATCTTTCTCAAATATCATGGGAGTTTCCCTTTGTCCCTAAGTATGCCCTTTTGAGACTGATCAGGAGAGTGAAATGGCTGACATGTGGCGCCAAGATCCCTCTGGGATCTCTTGTATTATTTGTCATGTGTTGCTTTGCTTTGCAAAAATATGTTTCATGACCTGGAAGTTTTTAGCTTTTATGTCCACCGTAACACTGAGACTATGTGGAGAAGGTGAGAGAAGGATGATAATTTATTGAACAGTGAATGACATCATTTTTAAAATGATTTTTGGACAATTTTTTTTAACCACAGTGCTTGCTCTGTTAATGAGTGTTATTGTAGATATGTTTATACAAGTATTGATTTCTGTCCTATTTGATGTGTTTATGTTACAGAATGCATTTGTGATCATATATCTGATCAGTTGCTTCACTAAGCTGATAGACTTGTCAGTACAGGTCTCAGAAATGGCAGGAAATGCCCACAGGTGAGAAATACTTTATAGAAAAAAATGCTATAAATTAATCATTTTAGACTTCCTGATCTTGGTTTTCTTGAAAATAAGCACATCTTGTAAATTTTCTTCATAGCTCTGGCAACTTTTTCATCTTGATAATCCTTGAAAGCACAAAGTGATAATTCTAACCATTGCAAACTTTGAGTTTTGTTTTATGAAATCATCTGACCCAAAGGGTCAAGATGGTCTATAGCCATGGTGCTTCGTCTGTAATTGTCACTAATTTCTGTATTGTCAGCATTTGGTTGGTAATTCATTATGTGTATATAACAAGATCTTGAGAATGATTCTTCTTCTCCATTATTAAGTAGAGGCCTTAGCAATTGTGTTCATTTCTTTATCACCTTGTATATACATACAAGTATGTTAAAAAAATATCCACAGAAACGACATACCATAATGCTAATATAGAGTATGAACACACAATGGAAAATAGAAAAGGACATCAGACAAATACAAAGGATAAAAAGATTATATGGGTTGCCCATGTGATCCTGACATCACCAGTTTAGTGCTGTCAAAACAGCCATCTTAAAAACATGCAAGTAAGCTTCAATTGGGCATTCAAATATGTGAGTTTTTTTAGCTAGTTATATGATATATTCCTTCATCATTTACTAGTGTAGTTTATTTTGAATGTGCTACCATGGACTTAAATATATATATATAGAAATTACTTTTTGCAAATATATACATATGGAAATTACTTTTTGCAAATATATACATATGGAAATTACTTTTTGCAAATATATACATATGGAAATTACTTTTTGCAAATATATACATATGGAAATTACTTTTTGCAATTTTAATTATGAAAGGAGTTTCTATTGACTTTCGTAATCCAGTGACTGTTCATATACTTTTTTATTGCTTAGTCTCTGGACAACATCATGAACCCATAGTTTTTACAACAAAAATCAACTGATTGGAAATTAAATCAAATTAAGGAGAGCGCACCCATCAATATCTTTACATTTGAATTGACAAAATTATCATAAACCCATGTATACCTTGTAGACCGGAAGGGGCATTATCATGGCATTATCATCACAGGGATAGACATACTTGAAAATAAACAAAAAAATATGAAAACAAAGTAAGCTTTGATAGGTAACAGCAGGTATTACAAATTGTATATTGACATATGATAGGCGTAGGAGCTAGGAGGAGAGCTAGAACTACGGAAAATAGAATTCTACAAAAATCTTCACAGTGGTGATTAAAGGTAACGAGCACAGACAGTTGAATATAGGAACCATTTCAGGTTTCGGATTTTGGAACTGCGGTTGGTGGTCTCAATAAGACTTTGACAAGACAACTTTTCAGTTAAGAAATTTTATGGATAAAATTGGTCTACAAATCATCTGGAAACATTTATAAATAAAGAAAACATAATTGATGATAAAGATTCCCCTTGTAACAGGCCAACTTGCAAGTCGATCGTTGCAGACGACTTACCATGCAGCTTTACGCAGGACTTGACACTTTCATATATAGATTTAACAACATTCATTAAATGCCTCCTTACACTAGTTTTCCACAATTTAAACCATAATCTATCATGTGAAATGATATCAAAAGCTTTTCTGTAGTCAACAAATATACAGTTAAGCCTTTTGTTACTTTGCAATGATTTTATAATTATACTATGCAGTACAAAAAATAGCATCTCTAGTACCGCTACCGGATTTAAAACCGAACTGAGCATCTGATATTACATTATCACTCTCATTCCACTTAGGCAAATGTTTATCTAAAAGTGACGTTAATAATTTGGCAATATGACTGATCAGTGTAATTCCCCTATAATTATTCACACAATTTTTATCACTTTTCTTAAACAAAATATTATGACCTCTTCTGTCCACGTTTTAGGGAAACACATGTAATATGGTATTAAATGTCTTTTCTAAAACTGGTGCAAAAACTTTCTTATATTCAATAAAATATTCATTTAATACTCCATCAAGTCCTGATGCCTTACCCCTAGATAGCTCCTTTATTTGAACAAACAGTTCATCAAGACTAAAATCAGTATCCAATTCAGGATAAATGCATTTGGTTCAAGGTTCAAGGGTCAAGATGACCTATCACTATCGTCTTGTCATGTGCCATCCGCCCTCCATAAACTTTTGATTTAAAACACTACTCCTGCTTAATGCCAAGGCAGATTTCAACCAAATTTGATTCGAAACATCCAAGGGGGTGGAGGATCATTTCTTAAATTCAGATATTTGATTAGACCTTTAGGGACCTTGGATGGGGTCCAAAAGGGTAGTTAGACAATATTTTGCTTCAAAACATTACTCTTCCTTAAAGCTTATATGGATTTCATTAAAATTTTGTCCATAATATCAGTAGGGGTTGGCAAATAATTCTTAAATTCACAAATTTGATTCAATCCCTAGGGAGGGGAAATTAGACAATATTTTGCTTCAAAACGCTACACCTTCATAATGCCTGGGTACATTTCAACCAAATTTGGTTGAAACATTATTGTAGGTCGGTTGTCATCTCTCAAATTCAGAAAGTTTATTTGACCCCAAGGTACATGGGGGCGAGGCTCCAGGATGGGAATTTAGACAATATGACTTCAAAACAGTAATCTTCCTTAAGGCTTTAATGGATTTTAACCAAATTTGGTCTAAAACATCATAGAGAGTGGGAAATCATTTCATAAATTCAGAAAGTTGATTGGACTCCTGGGGACTTAAGGGGAAATTAGACAATATTTTGCTTCAAAAAGCTACTCCGGTGGTCCGGTGGCGCAGTGTTAACGCACTCGCCTTTCACCAAGCCGACCGGGGTTCGATTCCCGGAACGGACGTGAAAAGGTAAGGGGCCACCTGCCGGACCACGTGGGTTTTCCCCGGGCACTCCGGTTTCCTCCCACAATAAGACCCCTCGCGCGCTTACATCCGGGCCAACAAGAGTGATTAGTATAAGTTGACATAACTTGTTTCGCAATTGTTGTAAAATAAATAAAGTTTATATATAAAAAGCTACTCCTTCTTAATGCCTGGGTACATTACAACCAAATTTGGTTGAAACATTATTGTAGGTTGGTTATCATTTCTTAAATTCATAAAGTTGATTTGACCTCTAAGGACTTAGGTTCGAGGTTCCAAAATGGGAATTTAGACAATATTTTACTTCAAAATGCTATTCTTCCTTAAGGCTTTTATGGATTTAATCAAATTTGGTAAAAAAAAATCACTGACAGCAGCTGCAATGCTCATTTCATGTAGACACAATACTAGGTTATACACTTGTGAACGGCATGCCTGCTTAAATTTCTTACAGACTAACAATTTCTTACCAGTTTGATCACAACCGAAGTGCAGGACAGACTGTGATCTCGGCATTCCAAGAAATACAACACTTCGGATTTCTCACTGATGACGAGAAATTTTTGTGCTTATATACATATCAACACATAATTCAGACCAATTACTTTTACTTATTACTGTCCAATTAAATTTGTATACAGCTGTGAACAGTTACAAAATATGGGTAGGAAGGTATTAATTTTGACAATACAAACAAGTAAAATATAACCTAGCAGTGGTTCAGTGTGTATTCATCTGTCATGTTTACAATGCCAGACAGAGATTCCTAATTCTACTTTCTTCTGCAGCACTACACGTCCCATAAAACACTCCCCATAAAAACACTCCAGGAGATAGAGAGCTAACATGAGAAGTGTTTCCCACACACATTAGAATTCTTAGCAAAAACTCATTCTGGAGTAAGATCATGATTAGTTAATCAAAGCCGGCTTGTTCACAGACACAATAAACAATGATACCTTTCTTCTGCGCCAATCCAAAATACTCAGTTTCATGCAGATTCAGGTAATAAAATTGGAGATAGCAACAAGATTTCTGTTTTCATTGCAGATGCTCACAACTATTAACAATAACATGCATTAATAGATGATCAGGAGTTTCTTCAACAAAATTTTCATATAGGTCACTCAAAAATATCTGCAAAGTTAAAAAAAACAAATGTAATGCTGTTTCAAATCAGTATCCTCATGCACATTAACCATTCCCTGTTAAATGATCTTAATGGAGGTCATTATTTTTAATGCTACAACAGTTTCTTGTAGTTCACCTTAACTGACAGTAATTTCTCTTTCTCAAGTAAACTTATTAACATCTGGAGTTCCTGAGTTTGAGATCCTAAAGATTACTGGATTGTTCATACTTATTTATTTGTTTATTTCCGTTTTTCTTCCATCTGATATTTTGTAAAATTCCAACGTTTTCTTTGAAGGTCTTACATTGGTTAATCTCTCACCATTTCCCTGTCAATAAATGTTGGCTAGGGTTTAATAAAGAAATTTACTCTGGCTATTTGAGGCAGTTTTCATAGTCAATCTCAAACATTCCGAATAATTTACAAACCTTCATGTGAACATAGATATAGTAATAGTGTTCAGCTGATCCTTTGGATATTGTTTCAAAATGTTTTGAAAGAATTGTCTCTGAATTACTTTCAGCAACATAATTGTCATTTGACCTTCTCACCTTGACTGATTGGTTGATATTTGCTACGTCTTTATCACCATGATGTGTGGTCGTGCTTTCTCCAGCAGCAGTTAGATTTTATGACTATACTGGCTACTCTTTCAGTTCGGATTGATTGTGGTAAATAATGTATGCCACAACATAGGACTGGCCTATACTGTTTAGCAGGTCTACACTCATATTACCATGGAAACAAATAGTCACTAATTATGTTGAGTTAGTGTGGAATCTTATGTCTAAAATGCTGTTATTGTGTTACAGAGTAGGAGAGTTGGTGGAAGCCTTGGATAGACAGAGAGCTGAGGATGACACTGTTTACAACTTTCTGGTTTCCAGTCATGATGAGTTGGTATCCTGTTAAATTACCTCCCTTATAGTCACCTCTTCATATTCCTGTCTTGCTTGGTACAAGATTGAGCAGACCTTTTCAGAGGCGATAACAATTTTGAACGGTCTGAAAGAATGCATGCTCCAAGAATTATATATTGACATACCAGTGTTTATTTTGAAGTTAATTAATGATCACCTTAAAATTCTGCGGCATCTAAATCTGGTAGGGGATGGACCTATTGTAATAATTAAGGATAATTATAAATAGTGTTTGATCATAATTCTAATGAACCTCAATGTGAATTAAGTAACAGGCAAAGCTTAAATAAATTTTCTCCACAGACTGGCCAGAGAAGAATAAATTAATTAATTTACACTTAATATTTTTACAAGAGTAAAATGCAAAATAACACAAAGTAATTGATATAAAAAATAAAGATAACTCTCACACATCATACACACTTTACATATGTATACATACATTTATACAAATATAACATTTTTTATGATATCCTTTATACATTTGATTATGAAAAATCATCAACAGATATGGCCTAAAGGTCCTTGTATCCAAAATGGCAAGCCAACTGTTAACAGCTGATATATATAAAGACATTTTATTTAATCAATTATTAAGTAATCAATAGGTTATGTAGTTAATGTATGAATCAACAGCCATGGTCGACTAGCCTTTACTATATTTGTCTTTATAGATAACAATATGTAATTATGTAAAATTAAATTCGGTGCTACATCTACATCTCAGCTTTCTAAGTTACATACATATTAAAGCAGCATGATTTTCCATTAAAAAGGTGTATATCATTAAGTTAAGGTTTGTTTGTAGGTCCATCACAAACAGGACTGCCCTGTAGAAGAACATTAATATCTATATGATTAGGATTTCCATAACTAGTAAGGGAATTAAATAACAAAACTCTTTACTTATCCTACAAAGGGCATTCCAAAAAGTAGTGAAAACCTGTTTCATGTTCTGCTGAACAAGTAAAAGATGGCCGTGGTAAGAGGATCAGAGTATAAATCAAAATTTAAATTACAACAATAGTTTCCAAGCTAGAATGATATTAGATTGTCTATTACCTCCTGGTTAGAAAATTATAGAAGATTCACTACCTTAAGGAATATCTTTATTCAAAATATTTTTAAAGTTGCAAGAGAGGCAGAATTAAGAAGATCATGACTAGATGTGTAAAATGTGAGACATGTATGAGGGAAAAAAACCTGGTTTGTCTTGGAGGGTAAGGATTGTCAGTTTGTTTGTTAAGTAAGTGATTTGAAGTATCTTTTAAGTAACATGGTGCATAATCATGGATAGTTTTGTACATTAATATCTTGTTTCTATTAACAGATAGTGTGATAATTTGCAGTGTAAGATTTTTATACCATGTAGATGCTGGTGTGATATTGTTTCTATGATTTGCTTATTTTGTTTTGTTTGGGTTGAAATTAATATCCTAGACAGTTGCCCATTCATCTGTGATAATATATGTGGTATGAGGTTGTGCAGCCAGTTCTGGGTAATCGTCTATTATTACATATAGAGAAGTATCATCGGCAAGGAGTTTTATATTAGTGGTAACATTAGTAGTAATGTCATGGATATACAGAAGAAATGGTAGTGGGCCACATATCCCTGAGTGATCCCTGGGGAACCCCCACATTTACATTCTTAAACAGTAAAAAATAACCTTATGTACTTACTCTTTGCATTCTGTCAGAAAGATATTACTTTAACAATAGAAGTCTGGATGCTGCTCTCCTCATGATATATTTTGAAGGACGGGTCTAATTTTTATGAATTTTTTTATAATCACTTGCAAAAGTTAGATTAAGGGCAAATAATGAATTCCTGACATATCTAATGAGGCTGTTGTGACCTGATTTGCTGATTTCTTATTCACTCTCAATGCTGCTTTCTGCATAATACCATTTTTAACAAACATTTTGAGAGTATTGTAGTCCTACACACAGGTGCACGTTATATTGACTGACAAGTTCTGTTATAGTTATTTGTGGTACAATAAATGTCATACACCAAATAATTTCAGCATTGAAAATGATCACATCATCATCTATAGTGCACTTACTTGTTCCAACTTCTGGTCTTCACCTAGAAACATCTGTTATTAGTATGATGTATCTAGCATTAGTGGCTAGCTCACCTCCCTTGTATCTGGTATTACTACACACAATATATTACTGCTAGATATTAGAACCCCTTCCTCCTGCTTTCTTTAGGGAGGGAGCTATTCCTTTATCAGACATACCTGTTGTACCCGACAGACAAAGTGAAGACACAGTGTCATACAGAAGTATACAGATGAGTGATAAAGCTTTAACGATAAAGGACCTGACATACGGACCTCCACAAAGTCAAGTGATTCTCTGTAGAAGTAAGTTTATATGATGTAACTGGCGAGTTCATCAGGGAAAGTGAGCTTTTGCAGTGGTGCTTCTGCTCTTTCTCTGCATCAACTGTCAACTTTTTCTTTCACTAATAATGGCATTTTCATACAATACATATTTTGAGGGGGCAATGATATTGTTTAGATTGAAGCCTGAACAAGGTTGCTAAAAGAATCAACCTTGATCTGTATTCATAATCACATGGGTTAAATTTTTGTGAAAACACTTTAACAGCATATTATGATTCACCAAATGGCCTAAAATGATAATGTTGACTGGCATCTTTCTAATGAGTGCTACAATTTTGCAAACAGAAATTACCTCAACCTTTATTCAAGATCAAAGGGTCACAGCTTTTAATATATTGGCTTGTAGAATAATAATCTCATGGAGACGAATGTCACGGAGGAAATTTAGGAATGATTCCCATACATAACATAACATACAAAATGTATTAAAAAAATGATCACATTTGCCCAATGTAATATGATATGTTAAATTTCCCCAAATTTTTATCAGCTTAATACTATGGTGCTTTCTTTCAGATTTGTCCTTTCAACTGGAGTCTGGTGTGAACGTCTTGATTAAAGGTGACAGTGGTTGCGGCAAGAGTTCCCTGCTGAGAGTTATAGCAGGGCTGTGGCCTACTGTTACAGGTACTGAGTGTTAAAGCAGACTATGGTCTACTGTTACAGGTACTGAGGGTTATAGCAAGGCTATGGCCTACTGTTACAGGTACTGAGGGTTATAGCAGGACTATGATCTACTGCTACAGGTACTGAGGGTTATAACAGGACTATGGCCTACTGTTACAGGTACTGAGAGTTATAGCAGGGCTATGTTCTAATGTTACAGGTACTGAGGGCTATAGCAGGACTATGGCCTACTGTTACAGGCACTGAGGGTTATAGAAGGGTTAGGGTCTACTGTTACAGGCACTGAGAGTTATAGCAGGACTATGGCCTACTGTTACTGGTACTGAGGGTTATAGCAGGACTATGTTCTACTGTTACAGGTACTGAGGGTTATAGCAGGACTATGGTCTACTGTTACAGGTACTGAGGGTTATAGCAAGGCTAGGGTCTACTGTTACAGGTACTGAGGGTTATAGCAGGATATTGGTCTACTGTTACAGGTACTGAGGGTTATAGCAGGACTATAGCCTACTGTTACAGGTACTGAGGGTTATAGCAGGGCTATGGCCTACTGTTACAAGCACTGAGGGTTATAGCAGGACTATGGTCTACTGTTACAGGTACTGAGGGTTATAGCAGGACTATGGCCTACTGTTACAGGTACTGAGGGTTATAGCAGGGCTATGGCCTACTGTTACAGGTACTGAGGGTTATAGCAGGACTATGGCCTACTGTTACAGGTACTGAGGGTTATAGCAGGGCTATGGCCTACTGTTACAGGCACTGAGGGTTATAGAAGGGTTAGGGTCTACTGTTACAGGCACTGAGAGTTATAGCAGGACTATGGCCTACTGTTACAGGTACTGAGGGTTATAGCAGGGCTAGGGTCTACTGGACTATGGTCTACTGTTACAGGTACTGAGGGTTATAGCAGGGCTATGGCCTACTGTTACAGGTACTGAGGGTTATAGCAGGACTATGGCCTACTGTTACAGGTACTGAGGGTTATAGCAGGACTATGGCCTACTGTTACAGGAACTGAGGGTTATAGCAAGGCTATGGCCTACTGTTACAGGTACTGAGGGTTATAGCAGGGCTATGGTCTACTGTTACAGGTACTGAGGGTTATAGCAGGGCTATGGCCTACTGTTACAGGTACTGAGGGTTATAGCAGGATATTGGTCTACTGTTACAGGTACTGAGGGTTATAGCAGGACTATGGCCTACTGTTACAGGTACTGAGGGTTATAGCAGGACTATGGCCTACTGTTACAGGTACTGAGGGTTATAGCAAGGCTATGGTCTACTGTTACAGGTACTGAGGGTTATAGCAGGACTATGATCTACTGTTACAGGTACTGAGGGTTATAGCAGGACTATGGCCTACTGTTACAGGAACTATGGCCTACTGTTACAGGTACTGAGGGTTATAGCAGGGCTATGGCCTACTGTTACAGGTACTGAGGGTTATAGCAGGACTATGGCCTACTGTTACAGGTACTGAGGGTTATAGCAGGACTATGGCCTACTGTTACAGGTACTGAGGGTTATAGCAGGACTATGGTCTACTGTTACAGGTACTGAGGGTTATAGCAGGACTATGGCCTACTGTTATAGGTACTAAGGGTTATAGCAGGACTATGGCCTACTGTTACAGGTACTGAGGGTTATAGCAGGACTATGGCCTACTGTTACAGGTACTGAGGGTTATAGCAGGACTATGGCCTACTGTTACAGGTACTGAGGGTTATAGCAGGACTATGGCCTACTGTTACAGGTACTGAGTGGGCTATACTGTTGATTTTTTTCCCCTAAGTTTAAGTAGAGATACTGTTAAGGATTATACCTATATTAAGGAATAGATCAGACAATGCAGTGTACAGAGACTCATGTTTTATGACTTATTTTCTTTCTTAGGATCTGTTACAAAACACATTCCAATGGAACACAAAAAGATATTGTTTCTCCCGCAGAAGCCTTACTTCACAAATGGATCACTGAGAGAACAGGTATATATCCTACATGTTCCTTCTATCTCAAATATTTACCTAGTAAGAATTTGTAAAGTTCTTTGTTATATTTAGGATGTTTAGTGCACATACATATCTCAGATTATGTTGTGTATCTTGTGTATAGAATTGCACAGTGGCATTATTTTTCCTAGACGCTCTTGTTAATGATTACAGGTGATGTTCCCGATGCAGGATATAACTTCAGGGTCAGGTAAGCTTATCATATCTACAATATGGTCAATGCCATCCTATGGTGTCATTTTGTGTTAAATATAAAATATCCATATATTATGAAAGAATAGAACTATTTAAGCTTTAGTTGACTTGTATCTGTAACAATGCTCGTTTCCTCATATATCCAATCTCTGATATCATATCCTTTTATCACACTTACACCAATAATTTTGGTAAAACATTGGTTTGTTTATTGCTGTTAGAAATGTGACTAATTTGGAAAGTACCATGGAATGCAAATGACAGAATCCATACCAAAACAAAAGGAGGATGCTTTATAGAATAAAAGTCCTTATAACACAACCACTAGAACATTAAAGTGTGACCTGAGAACACTGACGCCTTTATCAAACAAATGGCCAGTGTGAAGCATACTAGCACTGACAGAAGTTATATACATATCTCGTAGCCCATGATTTTACTGTGTGGAATGGTCTATAACAGTTGATTTATTGATCTAGTGGTTTCTCTCTGCTCAGGTTCCTTTTTGCCTTCTTGGAATTCTGCACTTCTCTTATGTTCATTAAGTCGGACTCTGAATCTCCTGCCTGTTTTTGTGATATAAGATGCGTGGCAGTTCTTGCATCTGATTTTGTATATGTATTCTGCGATGTTTTCTTTGGGTCTTTTATCCCTAGGATGGACTAGGACATTTCATAGTCTTGTGAAGTTTCATGGCTGTTGTAATACCATTGCCACAGTAAATCCTCTGGTTTGGACCATAGTGTACCTAGAATTAAAGTCTAAAAAGTGGGTTGATTCCTTACCATTTCATACACTTTTTATACGCCGCAAGAGGCAGTCGTATATTGGCGTCATCTTCACCGTCTGTCCGTCCGTACGTCCATCCGTACATCTGTTTCTTGTGAACACAACTCCTCCTAAACTAATCATCAGATTTTCATGAAACTTGCTCAATGTCACTACAGTAAAACACGTTTATAACAAACCTCTAGGGACCAAGAAACTTACTTTGTTATAAACATAGTTCGTTATACACATATAACAAATTTTGGCAAACAGTCACACATAGTTCGTTATAGGAATTGTACATGCAATAAAAATAACGGAGTCTTATTTTATGATTATATTTCATTTTATATATAGTATGTTCAAATAAGTAACAATTCACATTGCTTCCGAAAATCTCGAACAGTTACTTGAAAAAATCACAAATGACAGTTTGCCTTTTGTTACTGTCTGAGATCTTGTTAAGGGTCTTTTGGATGGTGTGAAATGCATTGAATGCAGATTCAGAAATATCTGACTGACATTCTATAAAACGATGCAGTTTTGTCAGATATTTCTGTGCGTCCGCTACACTGGAGAGGAAGTCTTTATCAATGTCTATAGTTACGTCATCATCATCATCATCGTTCTCCACATCCCCTACATCGTTGAGTACCGAATCAACTATGTCAGAATCAGACATTTCTGCTGAATTCATAATGTTAGCATCAACATTTGCGTAGTCTGCCATCGTCACATTGTGCTCCGTTCAAGAATCACCACTTTCCTCTTTCAGTTTAGTAATCAGATTCTGAAGAGGGATGTCATCGTCTTCGTCACCAGCAAGTAAAGATAGGGGCAACTCATCGTCCTCGATGAATGTTGTATGCCAGGCAAAACCTGCCTTACCAAAACACTTTGCAATACATGAAGCCGAAACATCTCTCCATGCGTTATGAAGCAAGCGGATGGCCATTAATATATGAACACCGGGATCTTGGTTTTTGTTGTGACACTGAAATTTAAAAATTCTTAAAAATAACTTTACAAAGTCACCTGATATTGAAACATACGTCAGAAATAATTAACAGACCAGTCATTGTGTGATAATACTTGTGTATGAAAGTGAATTATTTTGTTATGAGTTACTATAAACATCGTAATATTCTATGAATGAAACAGCATAATAACAAACCACGAACACTTACCTTCAAAAGATATGACACGAGTGCCTGTCGGTATTTCACCTTGGTGTTGTAGATAATGCCTTGATCCATTGGTTGGAGTTTTCTTGTGGTGTTTGGCGGGAGGAAGGCCAGTTTAATTGCTTTAAAATTTTCAACATTTGGATGTGCTGCGCAGTTATCTGCGATCATAAGAATTTTACGGTTTTGTGCTATCATTTGGCGATCCAGAGTTTTAATCCAATCTGTAAAAATGTTAGATGTCATCCATGCTTTAGTGTTTGCCTTATATACAACAGGTAGAGATTTCACTCCCTTAAAACATCGTGGATTTTTAAACTTTCCAATAACGAGAGGTTTCAGTTTGTCAGATCCGTCCATATTTGCTGTTAATAACACTGTCAATCTTTCTTTTGATTTTTTCCCACCATGACAACCTTCACCTTTTAGTTGTAACGTTTTATTTGGTAAAAGACGAAAGTGCGGTTTTTTCAGCATTGTACACATCTCCCAGGGCATACTGTTCAATGAGTTTCGGAAGTTTGTTTTTTACCCACTCATCCTCTATTTCAGGACACACAACAGCACTTTGCCCACAGACAGAGTGACACATTTTCTCATTTTAAAATGCTCCAACCAACCAGTATTAGCTTTGAAATCACAGTCTCTGAGTTGTTTTGCAAAATCCTCAGATTTTGCCAACAATATCGACCAGATAATGGAATGTTCTGGTTCCGTTTTCCTATAAACCATTGATAAAGAGCTTTTTCAACATTTTCATGTGCGACACTTCGGTGTCGTTTCCTGCTTGGCGATGAATTCCCAGACAAATATTGGTTCAAAATTTCATTTCGATTTTTTAAAAATTGTACTTAGTGTTGTTGCTGGAATTTCGAAGCTATCTGCATTATCCTTTTTAGCCTTTTTCCCATTGTCTACTTCACAAATAATTTGGTATTTGGTTTCAATTGTTAACACTTTCCGCTTACGAGACGGCGACAACGAAGCCATTTCCAAAATGACGACAACAAGAACAGAACGCAAAGATTTTGTATCGATAAAATCAGTTCAGTAATTCAAAAAACAATAGAACGCAGGTGCGTATGACAACAACTCACTTTAATAATCAATCTTACCTGTACGTAATTGAAACTTACGTGGACACGGGTGTCGATACCGGACACACGACTGACTTCACTAAGGTGTGACAACAGCCCGAGGCTACTACGTTATATGGTTATTAATTAGCACTAATATTCACCTGAGTGGACCCAAAAGCTGCTACGTTATAGACATTAATTCATTATGTGAAATTTGTTATATATTTTGATTTTAACATATAAATGATAGGGCGATTGACGGGGAATGAAAATCACTACGTTATAACTATTAATTCATTGTAAGCGTGTTCGTTATAAACGTTTCTTACTGTACTACAATGGGTAGATGTGCGTGAAGAGGTGATTTTTCGGTTCTTTGATTTTTGTAAGATTTATGCCATTTTCAAATTTGTATCTGTAGCCTGCTCATAGTGGAGCTTTGTGAACGCAACTCCTAAAATAATCATCAGATTTTCACAAAACTTGCTCAATGTCACTACTACAATGGATAGATGTGCATGAAGGGGCGATTTTTCGGTGCTTTGATTTTTGTAAGATTTATGCCATTTTCAAATTTGTATCTGTAGCCTGCTCATAGTGGAGCTTTGTGAACGCAACTCCTAAAATAATCATCAGATTTTCACAAAACTTGCTCAATGTCACTACTACAATGGATAGATGTGCGTGAAGGGGCGATTTTTCGGTTCTTTGATTTTTGTAAGATTTATGTCATTTATGATCTCAGGCCCCTGTCTCTTCCAGCTAAGCTTACTGGTCTCACAGACTTCATTTTGAGCTTATGTATACAGACATGTTAAAAGCGATAATTAAAAGGACCAATCTTGATCTCTGTATTTTGTGGGGGCGTATATTGTGTCCTTGGCACTCATGTTATTATTACCTTTCCTAAAGACAATCGCCCATGTACACCATAATAAACTTAACAGTGCTTTCATTGGGAATTTCCAAAATTTTGGAGAATGTTGTGACAAAAATGTGAAGTTAATCATATTCTACAGTAGTCATTTCCTTGAACAACACCTCTAGGAGTGATTCAATCTGCCTAAAGTAATCTGCTTTTGATTGCATGTTATAACTCTTTTCTTGTAACTAATATGTGTGTATTTATATGCTCGTAAACTTGCTTTCATCTATTTTTGCTTCCCTTCCTGTTTCAAAATCTGCTTAATCATCCTGAGTCAAATTTGTCTGCCCTTCCTATCAAGATTTGCTAAATTACATATATGAAGTGTCGCACTCATTCATTCATCAGAGTTGATCTCTTATGCCTAAACAAGGGTTGTTTTCTGCTCTGTAAAAAGTATTTTGTTTCTCCTTATTACCTTTGGAGTGAATGTCAGGATAATAATGTACATGTGTTTACATAGCATCATTTTATGGTTGTCAGCATTTTTCTGTCATTTATCCTTGAGTTATTTTCATAAAAAAATCTATACTTTTAAAAAGTGTAATAACTATTATACAAGCAAAAGTTTTGGGCTTGAAGGGTCAGGGAAATGTCACCGTTGATATATTTAGAATTTCTTGTCGGTGCTCTGGCAGATTCAGTTCAAAAATGATTTTTACACCATGTTGATATCTCGCACATGTATGTGTTTCAGAGTTGTTGGGTAAGGTCAAGATTACTGTTACTATTTTCAGAAAATTTGATAAATTTTTACATACTTGACCATCTTTTATTGCACGTCATTAAAAGTTGAATTTCAGTAGGAAGTGGTGAAGACCAAATACTTAGCTGTATGTATTGTCATTATGTAGTGTCGGCGGAGAATGAGAAGATCTTCACTTATCTAGAATATGTTGGATTAAAGGACATATTGGACAGGGTGATTGACCTTGACGAGAACATGGATTGGAACTGGTAAGTAACATGTTAAATAACCACAGTGTATTGATTCATTTGATATATTACCAGGTATATTTACTTGGTAACAACACAAGTAAAACTCCAGTGTTTATTCCTCATATTACTTTATCAGTTTATCACTCCGGTAAATAGTCAGGCAGCAGTAAATACTACATACAATGATAATATGATGGCCAAAAGTAATGCCTTTTTCAGCTATCTCAAAATATACAATAACGACATAAGCAGCCATATTGCTATATGTAAAATAGTGTCAGCTATCCAATCAGCTGAATCAAGTGTATTACTGTCACAGGTATGATGAGTTGTCACCAGGAGAAATGCAGAGACTGTCCTTTGTTCGTCTGTTTTATCATCAACCAAAATTTGCAGGTAATTTGAACTTCTATAAGGACTGTATGTGTGTACTCAGTATGTTTCTACCACATATATAATCATATAATCAATCAGATTTATCTTTCAAACATCAAGGTCTAAACTGAAGGATGACTCCACAACTTTACAATCAGTTATGTCTTGCCATCATGGTATGTATATCTGGAGGAAGGGCAAGGCAGACTGTCGTAGGACACATTCCTTTGTGAAATGATAACTGATTTTGTATTTTGTACATTAGCTTGTCCAGTTACGTATTTTAATCTGGCAAAATTGCAAAAGAAATTACTACTATTGTAAATGAAAGTTTAAATAACCATTGTGTAAAATGTCCCAAAGAACTAAAAAGTGGGGAAGTTGTTTAATATGTAGTCAAACATTAGCAATTTTATGCAACATCATACAGCACATATTGTCTTCCATACAAGAAATGCAGACACTTCTGGTGCAGACAACGCATTTACATTCATTGTCAAAATCATATGATTCGTCCAAAGTTGGGAAGGCAAAGTAATCAGACAGATAATTTCCAAAGAGTCATCAACTATCTTGAAGAAAGAGCTGACCAACCGGTGATATTGCTGGAACTTGTAGAACAAATGAAAGAAATGAGCTATGAAGGAGATCAGCATATGAAAAGGAAACTGTAAGAACATTATGGAGACAGCATTGTATTCACAATTCAATGCAGAAAGTCTGATATCATTACCATATGAGAGGCTATATTAACTATCCTTAAACAGTTTCACCAAAAGTCACTTAACATTGATGAGGAAGCAAAGAAGAAGCATACCATAGACACTGCTGCAAAGATAATCAGGTAATGAGAGGACTAGGCAATTGCTGTCCCTGTTTCAACTTGGCCTAGGACTTCAAGTGCATCTCCAGTTTGGGTTGAGATCTCTTGTCAATACTTTGCATACCTTGGGATACTGTTTGTCATAATAACAACTACAAAGATTTGAATCAAATGCGGCTTGCACACAAAATGTGAACATTCCAGGCTTTACAGATGGAGTTTTCCTGCAATATTCAGCAGATGATGTTGATCATAATTCATGCACGTGAGATGGAAAAGGAACTTTCCATGGTATGGCTATAATTGCAGCAATTACATCAGGTACAAAGACCAGATTCTACATGTTCATAGTGTTCTCATTCACATCAATTCAACTTGCTAAAGTGACCATGATATATTCATCACTAGAATTTGATCAAATTATTTTCATTTGTACATGATTAGACAATGGTCAGTGTTGAGACATTATGAAATATAATTATATATTATATATATCATGCTTAGGGCAATATCTCAATTTTTTATATTCATTCATTTTATTTATTGATATCGGAAATACTGACCTAACAAGCTGGTCCTTCATATTACAATGTTTTAGGGCCCTTATATGATACACTTGTGGATGTTAACTGTAACTTAGATTATCTAGAGTATTTACCCTTAGTTAATGTAGGTGTATAGCTACGTTGGAAACCAGTTCTATATTGTACAATGGATATGGAACATCTTCATTGTTATGAAGATTCAGTACCTAATGTTAATAGATGTTGTATGTAATACATATAATTTTGATTTATTTGCAACACAAGACAATTAATACTGTGAACTTCATGTCTTGTAAGAAGAAAAATGGATGAATAAATATTGAATAACTATCAGTCTTATTTTAATAATGAAGTGAAAACCACTTAATATCAAAGGAAATATGATAATAAGCTGAGCGAGACGTTGGATTACATAGAAAATATAGGGGGAAAATGATCTTTCAAGAAAAACATGATATTAGCCGGAAAGTGACATTAAGCGACATGACATTAAGTGGTTTCCACTGTACTTTGATTTCACCCTACACAGTTTTATGGAATGATTTGTATCCTTAAATTGATGTAGAACAGGACAGATAATTAGGGATTTTTAATCAATACTTGTATTAATTCAGAGAATTAACTGAAATAATAGGTTGCTGATTAATGTAGTTGAACAATAACTGTTGGGTAATTGTGCTTTTGATCATGATGAAAAGGTCATGCTCATTTTTTCATCGATTTTCATCTTTATTGTATGTAAAATTTGCTTGGAGTGGGTTGATGACATGTACCACGGTAATCTTTGGTGTCCCCTTTCTATAATTCCTTGGGACTTTTTGGGACATTGAGGCAGTGAATATATGACAGAAAATATGCCAAAAGGAATTCTTTAGCAATTTTGTCAGATTACATCTTATTTTAAGGCTAAATATACTGGCCTAACAGTGCTAGACAAGGTGACTTACCCAATCGACCTGTAGACATTATGTAATGTTATTTTATTTCATACAGTGCTGGATGAGGCAACCAGTCAGATTGGTATGGCAGCAGAGGAAAAGATTTATGAAAAGTGCAGCCAGCTTGGTATCACTGTGCTCAGTGTTGGCCACCGCCAGAGTCTTAACCAATTCCATACCATAGAGATCATCTTGAATGGTCAAGGAGATTGGAAGATGCAGCCAATTAAAGACAGTCTTATATCAGCAAGCACCTGCTGACAAGTCTAAATAAGTATCATTTTCATGGATGCAAAATATTTGGTTGATTAGTATGCATATGTCTCGTTGTTGCCATTTGTGCTGTTTAAAACAAGAGAGAAATGTCATGTTATGAATTGTATGATTTTAGATTTTTTGACATATCACCCATTTGTGATCAGAGATTCTCAGGTGAACATTTTTTATTGACACACATTATTGATAACTTGATACTTATATAGAATGACAAATGCACCATCTTATCAATTTGAAATTTATGTTGCTAGGCATAGCAGCCATCTCGAAAAATTGTTTTGGATGTAAATCTTAAGTCTGCCAAAATTTGTCTGAAGTCTGTATATTCCAGCCCGCTATCTGATGTTTGATGTCCATCCATTGACAGTCCTGGACAGATATTTCTAGAATTCATATGTAACTTCCCCTCTTTCCATAGTTGTGCCCATCCAATTTAGAGTCCTATCAGTGAAACAAAATTGCTGTAAATTAAATGGCCATCTTGGATTTCGACAGTTGAAAACTGTTACCACTATTTCTTTAAAAGTAATGGAGGGATATTTTTGTGCTTCCTATGGTCCCTAGTTATTTCTACTTAACTTAGAGTCTGATTGGGACAAATAAATTGATAAACCCCCAACTCAGATTCTGATGGTTTAAAAATTTCAGGTCGCCTGAGCCATCATGATTTGTCTGTCGCCGTGCGTCGTTAACTTTTCACATATTCGACTTCTTCTCAAGAACCACTGAATGGATTTTGAACAAACTTGGCACAAAGCATCTCCACGGGAAGCCGCTTCAAGTTTGGGAAGAAAAAAGGTGTGGCACCAATTGGGGCCCCAGGAGGGGGGAAAAGGGGTTAAAATTAAGTAAATCTTTAAAAATCTTCTTCTCATGAACCAACAGTCAGATTAAGTTCCTATTTGATATTTAGGGTCCTTATGGCAAGGTCTACAAAGTGGGCGAATGAAAAAAATCGGGTCAAAAACGGCCCCACTAGGGGGCACTCAAACGGGTCAAAAATTCAACTTTGACCGATTTCAACCAAATTTGTTAGAAAGCATCCTTTAGTGAAGAACATATGAAATTATGTTGAAAAAAGTGATAATGTCCCCTTTGGCGCCCATTAGGGGTGTAAAAGGGGCCATATGTAAAAACCTTCATTAAATGACTACTTCTCAAGAACCAGTGGATGGATATTGACCAAACTTGGCACAAAGCATTCCCATGGGAAGCCGCTTCAAGTTTGCGAAGAAAAAGGGTGTGGCCCCAATAGGGGCCCCAGGAGGGGGGAAAAGGGGAAACTTGATACGAATGTTCTACACAAGGTCCTGGCAAGTGTTTAAACTTTTTTGGGGTGATTCAAAATCCAAGATGGCCACCCTGGCCTCTTTTTGGATAAGACATTATGGACTTCCTCTCAAGAACCATTGGGTGGGTCATGTTCAAATTTGGTACAGATGTTTTACACATGGTCCTGCACAAGTGTTTTTACATTTTTGCAACATTTTAAAATCCCCAGATTATTGACATATATTCCTCAGGTGACTGTTAAGGCCCCTTGGGCCTCTTGTCATTACTATCTTCATTGGAAGTAGTGGAAAGATTTTTCTCATTGCATGATGTGTAGGTTTTCCTTTGTTCCAAGTTGTGCCCATATAATTTTCAAAGTTCAAGAAAACAAAATGGCTGATAGGTGACCATCTTGGACCTTTTTTTCTACTATTACTCAGAGGGTTTGTTAGATCTATTGTAAATTTCATATGTAGGATTCCTTTGAAATGGAGAAATAGAGAAAAGAAAAGTCTTATATTGAACAAATAGAGATCATTCAATGATTAGCTCCAATACCATTCTAGGATCTTTTGCTTGAAATGGAAAAGGTATAATCATTTTTTTTAGGGCACATGGATCAAATATGTTAAAATCTTTAACTGATTTCTCCATAACCAAAGAGCCAAGAATGATGATAATAGGCCTGTAGCATGCTAGGATGAAGGGCTACCAAATTTGTTAATATGAATGACAAATGTGTTCAAATATTTTAAATGACTTCTTCTCAATTACTAAGAGGACAAGGGTATTGATATTGGACCAACTTTCAAGGTCACTGCAAATTTGTTGAACTATTAAGCAACTTTTTCTCAGTAACCGAAAGCTTAAGGGTCTTGATATTTGGCCTGTAGCTTGCTTTTTCAACAAGAAATATGTCCAGAGTAATGACATTTGTGTAGTGCATGTATAAAGAATATTATTTCAAGTTTGCAGAAAATGTCTTGATGAACCAACAGTGTGTTCTATGTAAGCTGTAGAGTAGTTAAGAAATTAATTTAGGCCTATTTTACCTCATTCATATACATATTTTTATAATCAAATGACCACTATTCTACAACGATATTCTGCTACGGTGCTTCAACACTGGAGTACACACCCCACCCGTTATCAGTCGTGCATCACTACCTGTCACTCACGAGATTTTTACCTCGGTCCAGCATTGACTGACTTTTGACCTGATGTACTTTAAACTAAGATACTGCTCTCTACGATACACACCATTCCAAAGTTACCATTAAACCTATTTTTTACTCATTTTGTTACATCTTTCAGGGTTACAGGTATCAAATGTGTTCAAAATGTTTAAATGACTTCTATACTTTTCAGGGCGACAAGATGTCTCCTCTGTTTTTCACATATTTATCTTCATTTTATCATGATTTTCAAGTGGCAGTTTAGACAACCATTGTTTGATTTCCAATTACTTTACCACATGGTACTCTAGCTGAAGGTAAATAAAGTGAATTACATTTGTATTTGCCACATTCTTGCTTGATTATGTGATTAACCAGAAATATTGTTTCTGCAATTTTGAGTAAAATTCAAAACTCTTCTGGGTTATTTTTTCCCCTCTTTTTCCCAGAACTATGAAATGACATGTATGATCAATAGAATCTTGCACTTGAGTCCATGAAGTATGGGATTTATTTATCTAAAGGCTCATAACTTACCAAATTATTGATAATAACTGGCACCAGTGGATGATCATCTTTTGAAATGGTCAAACTGGTCTTATGGTCAGAACACAACAATACAATCAATATAGATTGATCTTTATTCTGTTTAACATGCATATGAAAAAGTAAACATACTGCATTCCTGCTTTTTGGGAAAACACAGCTAAAAATGTCACATCATTTATAAAATGCTGAAAATGTATATATTTACAATGTTGAGTATTAATGAATACACAATGAAATTAACTCTCATATCAGCACACTAGCACTTGTTTACAGTTATAGAAATATAAAAATAAAAAGCTCAGTCTTAATAACCTCTCCAGTTTCCCATTTCATAGTTTAGTTTTGATTTTAGCAAAACAAGGAAATGAAATCATTAACCAACACAAATAATTGCTTTGACATGTGATACCACAAAGAAAAACTAAATGACTAGTTATCTGACAATAATTTCATTTATCTGCAAGCTTAAAATAAAAACAAAAAATATTGGTGTAAGCTCTTTAAATGCAAAGCCTTTATCAGATCTACAGGGTTGCATTCACTATGGAAAATTTTTGCTGACTGATAATTAGCACAATCAATTGAATACCTAATGATGTGGTTTAATTACAAGTTTACTTCTATATATTCTATCCTACAAAAATTGTTTTAAAAATTGCAATGTTGGGACACAGTATTGAGTGCTATCACCTGTATTAATATAGATATATAATACACATAAAAAAAACCATTCAATTTCACAATGGTATTTTATCACAATCTTTTAATATCAACTAAAATCCATTGTATTTGGTACTATCTAATAAAATTTGCCATATATTTTGAAGAACTGTAATGTTGTACAACAAAAGAGAAATAATAACTTTAACAACAGCAGCATTAATTCACAAACCTTACTGACATAAAACATAAAAGATGAGATAAGTAAACGTATATCACTTTCAATACATTTGATAGGCACTTCTTAATCTAGGTAACACACACCTGTATTGACAGTAAAATAAAATGGTAAAAACTATTACCTAGTAAACACAACGTGATACTGCACATTAAATTCATTAAATGTAACATCTTAACAATTAAAACAAGCACTGGTAATCACCACACACTAGCAGCAACCACAGAAATACCTTCACTTCCATTCGTATTTTTGTTTGGATATTTGGGTTCTGTCATATAAGTCAAGCTCTTTTATATCGTAACTCATTTATAAGCTGATAGTAACCAGTAGAGCTTTTCTAGCATGTATATTAAGAAAAGAAAAAAAAAATTGAAATACTTAAAACATAAACAGCACCAAAACTAACAAAACGAGTGTAAATTAATATGGTTTAAGCCATTCTATAACAAAACACAAGTATAAATGACCTTGCTTAAACCTTTTTTTATACATTACATTAACAGGGTAGTAACACATTAACAGGGTAGTAACAAAAAGCAAGTTGTGTGGAACTGTCTGATTAACTCCAGTATAAAAGCTGACTAAAAATTGAGAGCATGCCTCCAGGTGAGGGAGATTTGGTAAATGATTGATGACAGAGAATACAAGTACAAACATCCTATATGATACCTCCACCAGAATGATCCAGTGCCTTTGTACGCTTGATACAATATTTAATGACAATATTTCAAAAATATTTCCTAATGAAAGATAAAAAGATCTACAACAAAAATATGACACAATTTTGAGCATTCATTCAAGTATCATATCACACTCTTATAAAAAAGAAATACGACCTTCAACTACTCCACAGGAACAACCACACTGGCCCCTGACACAAAAAATATGGTAACCCAACAATAAGAATATTTACATTAATTAACGTGTACCATGAAGTAGACTTTCAGCTTGTCACCCTAGCTAATGGCTTGGGTTGCCCTATACTTTTACAATATTACAAACCCATCCTTAACAATAATCAATAACAAAGTTTGATTATAAGGCATTACTACTTGGCTAATTAGACTTGTTTTACTTTCTTCAGTTAATGACACAACTTCTACTCCCCTAAGTTGACTCCGGTGGTTAATTAAGACTTCGATCATCAGATCCTGAAATCTTTGGTTACACAGCACCACTGTATTGTAACTGAGTTTTAAAAAGCAGCTCTCTTTGGTCCACCAGCTTCCTGTTATTGGCAAGCCTCAGCCCTGGAATGCCTCACTGTGTAGCTGTACAAGAATCTCAACCACTGATGGGTCAACTAGTGTGGAAATGTCACCAAGTTCATCTGGTTTGTTGTCTGCAACCTTTCGCAAAATTCTTCTCATGATTTTTCCGGACCGTGTTTTCGGTAACCCAGGAGTGAACTAAAAACAAACATTTTAAACTCATCTTTGAGCATAATAGATGGAATGAGTAATGATATTGTAACCTCCTGTAATAACAAATTGCAGCAGTCCGAATTTTACAGCAATAATTATGGACTGATCCACATGGTTAATAGATAAAACTGGACGTGGTTTTCATTGTACTTATCACACTTACAAGAATCTTGTCAGGCTGAGCAAAGCTTCCTATCCTGGTCTTCACCATTGACTTCAGTTCACCTTTTAAAGCCTCAGCATTCTCAGAGGTAACATCTTCCATGGGCACCACAAAAGCATATATACCTAGACAAGATGGTCAGTTATGTACAATTTGGCAGTAGAACGGTAAAGTCTGGCAGTATAATGGTAAAATCTGACAGTAGAATGGTAAAGTGTGACAGTAGAATGGTAAAAGTCTGGCAGTATAATGGTAAAGTCTGGCTGTATAATGGTAAAGTCTGGCTGTATAATGGTAAAGTCTGGCATTAGAATGGTAAAGTCTGGCAGTAGAATGGTAAAAGTCTGGCAGTAGAATAGTAAAGTCTGGGAGTAGAATGGTAAAGTCTGGCTGTATAATGGTAAAGTCTGGCTGTATAATGGTAAAGTCTGACAGTAGAATGGTAAAAGTCTGGCTGTAGAATGGTAAAGTCAGGCAGTAGAATGGTAAAGTCTGGCTGTATAATGGTAAAGTCTGGCTGTATAATTGTAGAGTCTGGCAGTAGAATGGTAAAGTCTGGCTGTATAATGGTAAAGTCTGGCTGTATAATGGTAAAGTCTGACAGTAGAACGGTAAAGTCTGGCAGTATAATGGTAAAGTCTGGCTGTATAATGGTAAAGTCTGGCAGTAGAATGGTAAAAGTCTGGCAGTAGAATGGTAAAGTCTGGCAGTAGAATGGTAAAGTCTGGCTGTATAATGGTAAAGTCTGGCAGTAGAATGGTAAAAGTCTGGCAGTAGAATGGTAAAGTCTGGCTGTATAATGGTAAAGTCTGGCAGTAGAATGGTAAAAGTCTGGCAGTAGAATGGTAAACGTCTGGCAGTATAATGGTAAAGTCTGGCAGTAGTATGGTAAAAGTCTGGCTGTACAATGGTAAAGTCTGGCTGTATAATGGTAAAAATCTGGCTGTATAATGGTAAAGTCTGGCAGCAGAATGGTAAAGTCTGGCAGTAGAATGGTAAAGTCTGGCAGTAGAATGGTAAAAGTCTGGCAGTAGTATGGTAAAAGTCTGGCTGTACAATGGTAAAGTCTGGCTGTATAATGGTAAAAATCTGGCTGTATAATGGTAAAGTCTGGCAGCAGAATGGTAAAGTCTGGCTGTATAATGGTAAAAATCTGGCTGTATAATGGTAAAGTCTGGCAGTAGAATGGTAAAGTCTGGCAGTAGAATGGTAAAAGTCTGGCAGTAGTATGGTAAAAGTCTGGCTGTATAATGGTAAAGTCTGGCTGTATAATGGTAAAGTCTGGCAGTAGAATGGTAAAAGTCTGGCAGTAGAATGGTAAAAGTCTGGCAGTATACTGGTAAAGTCTGGCAGTAGTATGGTAAAAGTCTGGCTGTATAATGGTAAAGTCTGGCTGTATAATGGTAAAGTCTGGCTGTATAATGGTAAAGTCTGACAGTAGAATGGTAAAAGTCTGGCAGTAGAATGGTAAAGTCTGGCAGTAGTATGGTAAAAGTCTGGCAGTAGAACGGTAAAGTCTGGCTGTATAATGGTAAAGTCTGGCTGTATAATGGTAAAGTCTGGCAGTAGAATGGTAAAGTCTGGCTGTATAATGGTAAAGTCTGGCAGTAGAATGGTAAAAGTCTGGCAGTATAATGGTAAAGTCTGGCAGTAGAATGGTAAAGTCTGGCTGTATAATGGTAAAGTCTGACTGTATAATGGTAAAGTCTGACAGTATAACGGTAAAGTCTGGCTGTATAATGGTAAAGTCTGACAGTAGAATGGTAAAGTCTGGCTGTATAATGGTAAAGTCTGACAGTAGAATGGTAAAAGTCTGGCTGTATAATGGTAAAGTCTGGCAGTAGAATGGTAAAGTCTGGCTGTATAATGGTAAAGTCTGGCAGTAGTATGGTAAAAGTCTGGCTGTATAATGGTAAAAGTCTGGCTGTATAATGGTAAAGTCTGGCTGTAAAGTCTGGCTGTATAATGGTAAAGTCTGGCTGTATAATGGTAAAGTCTGGCAGTAGAATGGTAAAGTCTGGCTGTATAATGGTAAAGTCTGGCTGTATAATGGTAAAGTCTGGCAGTAGAATGGTAAAGTCTGGCTGTATAATGGTAAAGTCTGACAGTATAATGGTAAAGTCTGGCTGTATAATGGTAAAAGTCTGGCAGTATAATGGTAAAGTCTGGCTGTATAATGGTAAAGTCTGGCTGTATAATGGTAAAGTCTGACAGTATAACGGTTAAGTCTGAATCTTGGTTAACAGAACACTTCAGCATTATACCATACAAGCCTCTTTCTCTTTTGAAGACTTACACATATCAGTAGCCTTTCTTCATAAATTAGCAATCCTTCCATTCTGAAGACTGGATGTACACAATTAAGCAGCCCCTTTTTACCTTTATGAACACTAACCTTGTACAAAGTTTGTAACATTTTACTTGGGCAGACAAAAGTTGAAGGGACACAAACCTAAAGAACACACATGATCACTGCAACCTACCTTCTCCTTTGATATCATGTGGATAGCCTACCACAGCTGTTTCAGCCACTTGAGAATGGTTATCCTACAACAGCACAGACCACAAATTCAAACCTTGATAAATGATGGTATTTTCTGAATGAGATTTCTTGCGAGATAAAATCACTAACTGAATCTGCTTAACATTCTTCAGCTTTAAATGTATTTGGTAATGAAAAATTTCTCTCATCACCATTTTGATTACAAAGTCACAAAAAGAAGAGTAGCTAGAGAACAGCAATTCTAAACCTGTCATTCAGAATGTGTTATGTAGAATAATAAATGAGTGACTGAAGGAGCAAGTTTGTTGATATATAGTTTAAAAAGATCGAATTCAGTGTGCAGCACATTATTCATATATATATATAAGTGAATCAATTTATTGAAGATCGGAAATATGGTAAATTTTGCTTTGGACAAAATTTTACACAAAGAAGAGGAAATGGATCTATATTGATTTGGGAAATTGATCTCCGGTTTGTAAATCAATAAATTTATTGAATGGTGGAAACAAAATGGACCGTAGAGTTTCTGAAAGAATGAGAGAAAATGGTCTGATAAAATTTTCACTGTGGCCATATCCTCTAATAAATATAAAACATGTAACCATACCATCGCATCCTCCACTTCAGCAGTGCCTATTCTGTGTCCACTAACATTTATTACATCATCCATCCTTCCTGTAATCTGATAGTAACCCTCCTCACACCTCTGGGCTCCATCTCCACTGAAGTAGTAACCTACAGAACAGAATTGTATGTATTATGTGTGACATGATGTAATCAAGCAGGTGTAAATCAAATTTAGTGTAATCTGATCAGCATAAATCAAGACAAGTATAATCTTACAGGTGTAAATAAAGTCCAGTATAATCTTACAGGTGTAAATAAAGTCTAGTATAATCTTACAGGTGTAAATAAAGTCTAGTATAATCTTACAGGTGTAAATAAAGTCCAGTATAATCTTATAAGGTGTAAATAAAGTCTAGTATAATCTTACAGGTGTAAATCAAATCAGGTGTAATCTATTGGGTGTAAATCAGGTCTGGTGTAATATCACAGGTGTAAAACAAGTCATGGAGGTAGGTAGAATCAGTAAAGTTACTTCCTACCTACCTGGCTATGGAGGTAGACAGAATCAGTAATGTCACTTCCTACCTACCTGGCTATGGAGGTAGACAGAATCAGTAATGTCACTTCCTACCTACCTGGCTATGGAGGTAGACAGAATCAGTAATGTCACTTCCTACCTACCTGGCTATGGAGGTAGACAGAATCAGTAATGTCACTTCCTACCTACCTGGCTATGGAGGTAGACAGAATCAGTAATGTCACTTCCTACCTACCTGGCTATGGAGGTAGACAGAATCAGTAAAGTCACTTCCTACCTACCTGGCTATGGAGGTAGACAGAATCAGTAAAGTTACTTCCTACCTACCTGGCTATGGAGGTAGACAGAATCAGTAAAGTCACTTCCTACCTACCTGGCTATGGAGGTAGACAGAATCAGTAAAGTTACTTCCTACCTACCTGGCTATGGAGGTAGACAGAATCAGTAATGTCACTTCCTACCTACCTGGCTATGGAGGTAGACAGAATCAGTAAAGTTACTTCCTACCTACCTGGCTATGGAGGTAGACAGAATCAGTAAAGTTACTTCCTACCTACCTGGCTATGGAGGTAGACAGAACCTGGCAGTAATGTAAAGTTACTTCCTACCTACCTGGCTATGGAGGTAGACAGAATCAGTAAAGTTACTTCCTACCTACCTGGCTATGGAGGTAGACAGAATCAGTAAAGTTACTTCCTACCTACCTGGCTATGGAGGTAGACAGAATCAGTAAAGTTACTTCCTACCTACCTGGCTATGGAGGTAGACAGAATCAGTAAAGTTACTTCCTACCTACCTGGCTATGGAGGTAGACAGAATCAGTAAAGTTACTTCCTACCTACCTGGCTATGGAGGTAGACAGAATCAGTAAAGTTACTTCCTACCTACCTGGCTATGGAGGTAGACAGAATCATTAAAGTTACTTCCTACCTACCTGGCTATGGAGGTAGACAGAATCAGTAAAGTTGCTTCCTACCTACCTGGCTATGGAGGTAGACAGAATCATTAAAGTCACTTCCTACCTACCTGGCTATGGAGGTAGACAGAATCAGTAATGTCACTTCCTACCTACCTGGCTATGGAGGTAGACAGAATCAGTAAAGTTACTTCCTACCTACCTGGCTATGGAGGTAGACAGAATCAGTAAAGTCACTTCCTACCTACCTGGCTATGGAGGTAGACAGAATCAGTAATGTCACTTCCTACCTACCTGGCTTAGGAAGAATCAGCAAAAATCTTTTCCTATATATATAAGATTACACTAGCTCATTCCATTTGGTGACTTGAGGTTCTAGGTTTGATTCCCGGGTGGCAGAATTATACATCATGACTTATGTTATATTATCTGTTATGGTAGAATATCAATCCTTAGATAAACAGACTTATTCTACATACTGACCTGGGTAAGGATGATAGTATGTATCCAGGAAACGTCTGTGGTCCCCATATATTGTACGAGCCATCCCTGGCCACACAGACTTAATACACAATGCTCCCTGTACATTACTGCCTATCAGTTCCTTTCCCTGAAAGAGTCACAAATTTCACCAAAGCTTGTCAAGTTGCAAATTTCCACAATGACTTGTCAAGTAGCAAATTTCAACTACGGCTTTTCAAGTAGCAAATTTCAACTAAGGCTTTTCAAGTAGCAAATTTCAACTAAGGCTTTTCAAGTAGCAAATTTCAACTAAGGCTTTTCAAGTAGCAAATTTCAACAATGACTTGTCAAGTAGCAAATTTCAACTAAGGCTTTTCAAGTAGCAAATTTCAACTAAGGCTTTTCAAGTAGCAAATTTCAACTAAGGCTTTTCAAGTAGCAAATTTCAACTAAGGCTTTTCAAGTAGCAAATTTCAACTATGGCTTTTCAAGTAGCAAATTTCAACTATGGCTTTTCAAGTAGCAAATTTCAACTAAGACTTATCAAGTAGCAAATTTCAACTAAGGCTTTTCAAGTCACATATTTGATTAAAGGCTGGTCAAATCACAAATATTATCGAAGGCTGGTCAGGTCACATATTTCACAAAATGCTGGTCAAGCAACAAATTTCATCAAAGGCTGAACAAGTCAAACCAAAGGTTTGTAAAGTTACTTACTTTACCAAAGCCTCGTCAAGTTACAGGCAACACAATTTAAATAAAGACAGTCAAACAATACAAAAAATGGTGTTAAGGATTGTACAGACTGACACAGATAGAAAAGTAAAAAGATTTCACCAAAGGCTGGTAAAATATCAAAGATTATACCAATGTTTGTAAAGTCTTCAATTTTAAGATTTTATTATGAGGAAATTAGCACATTTCTATGATTACAAGGACTGAAGATGTATAAATTCTTACATCCTTGTCCATGAGAGCAGGTTGAATACCAAAGTGTGGTCTCATGGGCTTAGCGGCTACAATTTTGGCTCCTGGAGCTGATGGTCTTGGTGCTATGGAGATTCCTCCAGTCTCTGGGTAAATTAATCAATAAAAAGCTTACAAATAACAGCTTATACATATATTAAAACAACATATATGAACCATCTTTTTTTCATCAAAATTTTCCTAGCAGCCTTGACTGCCACCTGAGATAATCCATATTAAGATGCTTCCATTCATGAAGAGTGTGTGATTCCACCATATCTGGATGTTGAGAAAAAGATATTTTTGAGATCCCAGTTAATTTGACCCTTTTTGGCCCTGCCCATCAGCCCCAGTGGGGTGGGGACTGTAGTCCATCTTAAGCAAGGGAAGGTTTCTGAAAAGTGATCCCAATAGGTCTCAGGAAACCTAATAACTACTCAGATAATGATCCTCCCCCACCATTATACAATCATTCTCTGCTTTCCTACCCCAATATACATGCATGTCCCATCATTATACTGCCCTTCCTTCCCTAAATCCCATCACAGTTCCCCACTCCCCTTCCCAATGCCCCATAACCATGCTGCCTCTCTGTTCTTCCCCACTCACCACCATTATACTGCCTCCTCTCTCCTTTCCCACTACCACCATTATATTGCCTTCTCTCTCCTTCCCCACTCCCCATCATTATACTGTCTCCTCTCTCCTTCCCCACTCACCACCATTATACTGCCTCCTCTCTCCTTCCCCACTCCCCATCATTATACTGCCTCCTCTCTCCTTCCCCACTCACCATCATTATACTGCCTACTCTCTCCTTCCCCACTCACCACCATTATACTGCCTCCTCTCTCCTTCCCCACTCACCACCATTATACTGCCTCCTCTCTCCTTCCCCACTCCCCATCATTATACTGCCTCCTCTCTCCTTCCCCAATCCCTATCATTATACTGCCTCCTCTCTCCTTCCCCACTCACCACCATTATACTGCCTCCTCTCTCCTTCCCCACTCACCACCATTATACTGCCTCCTCTCTCCTTCCCCACTCACCACCATTATACTGCCTCCTCTCTCCTTCCCCACTCCCCATCATTATACTGCCTCCTCTCTCCTTCCCCACTCCCCATCATTATACTGCCTACTCCCTCCTTCCCCACTCCCCACCACTATACTACCTCCTCTCTTTTCCTTATTCCCTTCAGTATACTGCCTCTCTCTCCTTCCCCACTCCCCACCATTATACTGCCTCCTCTCTCCTTCCCCACTCACCACCATTATACTGCCTCCTCTCTCCTTCCCCACTCCCCATCATTATACTGCCTCCTCTCTCCTTCCCCACTCCCCATCATTATACTGCCTCCTCTCTCCTTCCCCACTCACCACCATTATACTGCCTCCTCTCTCCTTCCCCACTCACCACCATTATACTGCCTCCTCTCTCCTTCCCCACTCACCACCATTATACTGCCTCCTCTCTCCTTCCCCACTCACCACCATTATATTGCCTCCTCTCTCCTTCCTCACTCCCCATCATTATACTGTCTCCTCTCTCCTTCCCCACTCACCACCATTATACTGCCTCCTCTCTCCTTCCCCACTCACCACCATTAAACTGCCTCCTCTCTCCTTCCCCACTCCCCATCATTATACTGCCTCCTCTCTCCTTCCCCACTCCCCATAGTTATACTGCCTCCTCTCTCCTTCCCCACTTACCACCATTATACTGCCTCCTCTCTCCTTCCCCACTCCCCATCATTATACTGCCTCCTCTCTCCTTCCCCACTCCCCATCATTATACTGCCTCCTCTCTCCTTCCCCACTCCCCATCATTATACTGCCTCCTCTCTCCTTCCCCACACACCACCATTATACTGCCTCCTCTCTCCTTCCCCACTTACCACCATTATACTGCCTCCTCTCTCCTTCCCCACTCCCCATCATTATACTGCCTCCTCTCTCCTTCCCCACTCACCATCATTATACTGCCTCCTCTCTCCTTCCCCACTCACCACCATTATACTGCCTCCTCTCTCCTTCCCCACTCACCACCATTATATTGCCTCCTCTCTCCTTCCCCACTCCCCATCATTATACTGTCTCCTCTCTCCTTCCCCACTCACCACCATTATACTGCCTCCTCTCTCCTTCCCCACTCACCACCATTATACTGCCTCCTCTCTCCTTCCCCACTCACCACCATTATACTGCCTCCTCTCTCCTTCCCCACTCACCACCATTATACTGCCTCCACTCACCTTCCCCACTCACCACCATTATAGCCTCCTCTCTCCTTCCCCACTCCACCATTATACTGCCTCCTCTCTCCTTCCCCACTAACCACCATTATACTGCCTCCTCTCTCCTTCCCCACTCCCCATCATTATACTGCCTCCTCTCTCCTTCCCCACTCACCATCATTATACTGCCTCCTCTCTCCTTCCCCACTCACCACCATTATACTGCCTCCTCTCTCCTTCCCCACTCAACACCATTATACTGCCTCCTCTCTCCTTCCCCACTCACCATCATTATACTGCATCCTCTCTCCTTCCCCACTCCCCATCATTATACTGCCTCCTCTCTCCTTCCCGACTACCACCATTATACTGCCTCCTTTCTCCTTCCCCACTCCCCATCATTATACTGCCTCCTCTCTCCTTCCCCACTCCCCATAGTTATACTGCCTCCTCTCTCCTTCCCCACTCACCACCATTATACTGCCTCCTCTCTCCTTCCCCACTCCCCATCATTATACTGCCTCCTCTCTCCTTCCCCACTCCCCATCATTATACTGCCTCCTCTCTCCTTCCCCACTCACCACCATTATACTGCCTCCTCTCTCCTTCCCCACTCACCACCATTATACTGCCTCCTCTCTCCTTCCCCACTCACCACCATTATACTGCCTCCTCTCTCCTTCCCCACTCACCACCATTATACTGCCTCCTCTCTCCTTCCCCACTCCCCATCATTATACTGCCTCCTCTCTCCTTCCCCACTCACCACCATTATACTGCCTCCTCTCTCCTTCCCCACTCACCACCATTATACTGCCTCCTCTCTCCTTCCCCACTCCCCATCATTATACTGCCTCCTCTCTCCTTCCCCACTCCCCATCATTATACTGCCTCCTCTCTCCTTCCCCACTCACCACCATTATACTGCCTCCTCTCTCCTTCCCCACTCCCCATCATTATACTGCCTCCTCTCTCCTTCCCCACTCCCCATAGTTATACTGCCTCCTCTCTCCTTCCCCACTCCCCATCATTATACTGCCTCCTCTCTCCTTCCCCACACACCACCATTATACTGCCTCCTCTCTCCTTCCCCACTCACCACCATTATACTGCCTCCTCTCTCCTTCCCCACTCCCCATCATTATACTGCCTCCTCTCTCCTTCCCCACTCACCATCATTATACTGCCTCCTCTCTCCTTCCCCACTCACCACCATTATACTGCCTCCTTTCTCCTTCCCCACTCACCACCATTATACTGCCTCCTCTCTCCTTCCCCACTCCCCACCATTATACTGCCTCCTCTCTTCCCCACTCCTCATCATTATACTGCCTCCTCTCTCCTTCCCCACTCACCACCATTATACTGCCTCCTCTCTCCTTCCCCACTCACCACCATTATACTGCCTCCTCTCTCCTTCCCCACTCCCCATCATTATACTGCCTCCTCTCTCCTTCCCCACTCCCCATCATTATACTGCCTCCTCTCTCCTTCCCCACTCACCACCTCTCCTGCCTCCTCTCTCCTTCCCCACTCACCACCATTATACTGCCTCCTCTCTCCTCTCTCCTCCTCTCTCCTTCCCCACTCACCACCATTATACTGCCTCCTCTCTCCTTCCCCACTCACCACCATTATACTGCCTCCTCTCTCTCTCATTATACTGCCTCCTCTCTCCTTCCCCACTCATTATACTGCCTCCTCTCTCCTTCCCCACTCCCCATCATTATACTGCCTCCTCTCTCCTTCCCCACTCACCACCATTATACTGCCTCCTCTCTCCTTCCCCACTCACCAACATTATACTGCCTCCTCTCTCCTTCCCCACTCCCCATCATTATACTGCCTCCTCTCTCCTTCCCCACTCCCCATCACTCCCCATCATTATACTGTCTCCTCTCTCCTTCCCCACTCACCACCATTATACTGCCTCCTCTCTCCTTCCCCACTCCCCATCATTATACTGCCTCCTCTCTCCTTCCCCACTCCCCATCATTATACTGCCTCCTCTCTCCTTCCCCACTCACCACCATTATACTGCCTCCTCTCTCCTTCCCCACTCACCACCATTATACTGCCTCCTCTCTCCTTCCCCACTCCCCATCATTATACTGCCTCCTCTCTCCTTCCCCACTCCCCATCATTATACTGCCTCCTCTCTCCTTCCCCACTCACCACCATTATACTGCCTCCTCTCTCCTTCCCCACTCACCACCATTATACTGCCTCCTCTCTCCTTCCCCACTCACCACCATTATACTGCCTCCTCTCTCCTTCCCCACTCCCCATCATTATACTGCCTCCTCTCTCCTTCCCCACTCCCCATCATTATACTGCCTCCTCTCTCCTTCCCCACTCACCACCATTATACTGCCTCCCCTCTCTCCTTCCCCACTCCCCATCATTATACTGCCTCTCTCTCTCCTTCCCCACTCCACCACCATTATACTGCCTCCTCTCTCCTTCCCCACTCACCACCATTATACTGCCTCCTCTCTCCTTCCCCACTCCCCATCATTATACTGCCTCCTCTCTCCTTCCCCACTCCCCATCATTATACTGCCTCCTCTCTCCTTCCCCACTCACCACCATTATACTGCCTCCTCTCTCCTTCCCCACTCACCATCATTATACTGCCTCCTCTCTCCTTCCCCACTCACCACCATTATACTGCCTCCTCTCTCCTTCCCCACTCACCACCATTATACTGCCTCCTCTCTCCTTCCCCACTCACCACCATTATACTGCCTCCTCTCTCCTTCCCCACTCCCCATCATTATACTGCCTCCTCTCTCCTTCCCCACTCCCCATCATTATACTGCCTCCTCTCTCCTTCCCCACTCCCCACCATTATACTGCCTCCTCTCTCCTTCCCCACTCACCACCATTATACTGCCTCCTCTCTCCTTCCCCACTCACCACCATTATACTGCCTCCTCTCTCCTTCCCCACTCCCCATCATTATACTGCCTCCTCTCTCCTTCCCCACTCCCCATCATTATACTGCCTCCTCTCTCCTTCCCCACTCCCCAACATTATACTGCCTCCTCTCTCCTTCCCCACTCACCATCATTATACTGCCTCCTCTCTCCTTCCCCACTCCCCATCATTATACTGCCTCCTCTCTCCTTCCCCACTCCCCATCATTATACTGCCCCCTCTCTCCTTCCCCACTCCCCATCATTATACTGCCTCCTCTCTCCTTCCCCACTTCCCACCACTCCTCTCTCCTTACTCACCACCATTATACTGCCTCTCTCTCCTTTCCCCACTCCCCATCATACTGCCTCCTCTCTACTCCCCATCATTATACTGCCTCCTCTACTGCCTCCTTCCCCACCACCAACTGCCTCTCTCTCATTATACTGCCTCATTATACTCTCTCTCCCCACCTTCCTTCCCACTCCACACACCACCTAATCCCTGCCTACCCTCCTTTCCACACACTTGCCACCAGTGTCCACCACTGCCGCCTCTCAACAACATCATTGTACCACCTCATGCCTCACTCTTTCAATGGTTCTCCAACTATACTGCCTACCTCTCCTTACCAACACACACCTGTCTGCCTCAAGTTCCACCACTTCACACCAGTTTACTATAGTTTATATAGCCTCTCACATTTCCCACTTGTACCAGGGGTTATATGCCTCTCTCTCACTTTTCACATAGTTTATATAGGAAACTATCAGAAAGGAAAAGCCTCTCTAAGATGCCTTCCCAACTCACCATATTTGTTTCCTGAGTGAGGATCCCTTTACACCACAACTCAATTTCCAGAGTGAGGATCCTTCTCTATACTCACCACAACCCACCACAACCAAGTTTCCAGAATCTCTCCCATTCCTGTTCAGCCTAAGTTTCCTGAGTGAGGATCCCTCTATACTCACCACAGCCAAGTTTCCTGAGTGAGGATCTGTCTTTACTCCACAGCCAAGTTTCCAGAGTTCCCCTATACTCACCACAGCCACCAAGTTTCCTCACTCACCAACCAAGTGAGGATCCCTCTATACTCACCACAACCAAGTTTCCTGAGTGAGGATCCCTCTATACTCACCACAACCAAGTTTCCTTAGTGAGGATCCCTCTATACTCACCACAACCAAGTTTCCTGAGTGAGGATCCCTCTATACTCACCACAACCAAGTTTCCTGAGTGAGGATCCCTCTATACTCACCACAACCAAGTTTCCTCAGTGAGGATTTCTCTATACTCACCACAGCCAAGTTTCCTGAGTGAGGATTTCTCTATACTCACCACAGCCAAGTTTCCTTAGTGAGGATCCCTCTATACTCACCACAACCAAGTTTCCTGAGTGAGGATCCCTCTATACTCACCACAACCAAGTTTCCTGAGTGAGGATAGCTCTATACTCACCACAGCCAAGTTTCCTGAGTGAGGATCCCTCTATACTCACCACAGCCAAGTTTCCAGAATGAGGATCCCTCTATACTCACCACAGCCAAGTTTCCTGAGTGAGGATCCCTCTATACTCACCACAGCCAAGTTTCCTGAGTGAGGATCCCTCTATACTCACCACAACCAAGTTTCCAGAATGAGGATCCCTCTATACTCACCACAACCAAGTTTCCTGAGTGAGGATTTCTCTATACTCAACACAGCCAAGTTTCCAGAATGAGGATCCCTCTATACTCACCCAGCCAAGTTTCCTGAGTGAGGATCCCTCTATAGGAACACCAACCCAACAATCGTGAAATCGGATTTCTCTATACTCACCACAACCAAGTTTCCTGAGTGAGGATCCCTCTATACTCACCACAACCAAGTTTCCTGAGTGAGGATCCCTCTATACTCACCACAACCAAGTTTCCTGAGTGAGGATCCCTCTATACTCACCACAACCAAGTTTCCTGAGTGAGGATCCCTCTATACTCACCACAACCAAGTTTCCTGAGTGAGGATCCCTCTATACTCACCACAACCAAGTTTCCTGAGTGAGGATCCCTCTATACTCACCACAACCAAGTTTCCTGAGTGAGGATCCCTCTATACTCACCACAACCAAGTTTCCTCAGTGAGGATCCCTCTATACTCACCACAACCAAGTTTCCTCAGTGAGGATCCCTCTATACTCACCACAACCAAGTTTCCTGAGTGAGGATCCCTCTATACTCACCACAACCAAGTTTCCTGAGTGAGGATCCCTCTATACTCACCACAACCAAGTTTCCTGAGTGAGGATCCCTCTATACTCACCACAGCCAAGTTTCCTGAGTGAGGATCCCTCTATACTAACCACAACCATGTTTCCTGAGTGAGGATTTCTCTATACTCACCACAACCAAGTTTCCTGAGTGAGGATCCCTCTATACTCACCACAACCAAGTTTCCTGAGTGAGGATCCCCCTATACTCACCCAGCCAAGTTTCCTGAGTGAGGATCCCTCTATACTAACCACAACCATGTTTCCTGAGTGAGGATCCCTCTATACTCACCACAACCAAGTTTCCAGAATGAGGATCCCTCTATACTCACCATAGCCATGTTTCCAGAGTGAGGATCCCTCTATACTCACCACAGCCAAGTTTCCTGAGTGAGGATTTCTCAATACTCACCACAGCCAAGTTTCCAGAATGAGGATCCCTCTATACTCACCACAACCAAGTTTCCTGAGTGAGGATCCCTCTATACTCACCACAACCAAGTTTCCAGAATGAGGATCCCCCTATACTCACCACAGCCAAGTTTCCAGAATGAGGATCCCTCTATACTCACCACAGCCAAGTTTCCTGAGTGAGGATCCCTCTATACTCACCACAACCAAGTTTCCTGAGTGAGGATCCCTCTATACTCACCACAACCAAGTTTCCTGAGTGAGGATCCCTCTATACTCACCACAACCAAGTTTCCAGAATGAGGATCCCTCTATACTCACCATAGCCAAGTTTCCTCAGTGAGGATCCCTCTATACTCACCACAACCAAGTTTCCTGAGTGAGGATCCCTCTATACTCACCACAGCCAAGTTTCCAGAATGAGGATCCCTCTATACTCACCACAGCCAAGTTTCCTGAGTGAGGATCCCTCTATACTAACCACAACCAAGTTTCCTTAGTGAGGATTTCTCTATACTCAACACAGCCAAGTTTCCAGAATGAGGATCCCTCTATACTAACCACAACCATGTTTCCTGAGTGAGGATTTCTCTATACTCACCACAGCCAAGTTTCCTGAGTGAGGATCCCTCTATACTCACCACAACCAAGTTTCCAGAATGAGGATCCCTCTATACTCACCACAGCCAAGTTTCCAGAATGAGGATCCCTCTATACTCACCACAGCCAAGTTTCCAGAATGAGGATCCCTCTATACTCACCACAGCCAAGTTTCCTGAGTGAAGACCGATCATACTTTGTCACCCACTCATTGCCTTCCTTAAGCAGTAGTCGTAGAGATGTAGGAGCCAGGTAGATATGGTTCAGTTTCAATCGTTCCACCATTTCCCAGTATCGCCCTGTTAAACATGTCCACTGTATTGCAGAATCACTCATTTTCAAAAGTGAGATGCATGACCTTATGAATCAGGAATTTAACACAAAACGAGATTACTAAGTCATAAATAACCTCTCAATTATTTCTTTGTTCTTCAAAACACTCTAATGCTGAGTGAACTTTGGTTAAAAAAAAAGAAAAACAAATATCTGATATATCTTACCTGGATTGGGGTAGGTTGGTGTACTCTCAAATAACACTGTGGTGGCACCATTACTAAGTGGTCCATATACCACATATGTGTGACCAGTAATCCAGCCTATGTCTGCTACACAGCCAAACCTCTCTCCCTCTTTATAGTCAAACACATGCTGAAATCACAGATAAAGGAGTCCTTTTATACATATATTCCTTTTATGCATCTGCAAAACAGAGTCTTACCTTTGCATATTTCGTGTTAGCATTCACAAAGGCAATAAATACCAACTGAAAGCAGTTCAAAACCAAGATTTTTAATTTACATATGGTTGTATCAGCTGGTTATACATTTGTGACCTTGGCAAGGTTAAATATACTAGAGCAGTGTTATACAAAGGTAGATGAAAGTATCAATCTGTAACACAAGTATATGTAACACTATCTATATATACCTTCTGTGTGATACCAGCATACAGGAGATACCCTGCAGTAGAGTGGACAATCCCTTTAGGTTTCCCTGTAGAACCTGAGGTATAGAGCATGAACAAGAGGTCCTCACTTCCCATTTCTTCTGGCTCACAAATGTCAGACTGGCTCGCCATTTCCTAGTGAAACCCAGACATGTTCAAATCATAAACACTTGTGATTCAGAGCATTGACATATTATTAATCAGTAAAGCTGCTTAAAAGGTAGTCACCATGTCCAGAATCATCCCCTAATGGCTTCTGTCAGATATGCTAAATAATCTGGTTTTAAAGTACTTTCAGAAAAACAGCTAATTATACTGTAATTAACCGTGATGATATTTAATTACTACCTGTTACCAGTTTATATTTTGTTGAATGATAAGAAGTGTCTCCAGACAATTTTCAAAGCTCTCTGAAGTCAGATTACTGTAAATATGCTTAATATGGTAAACTGATAACATGGCTATCTGAAACGCAAAAATACCAAAAAATACTGTCATCTTTTAGTGTGCCATGTTAGAGCAAGTTTCCCCAAACTTTCCTCTGGTAATGGAATTTGATCCAATGCTTTTTTATTCTAACATGTATTATTAGAAGAAAACACATTATTATAACCATGAGACTTAGATCTACCTTGTCTAATGGGATGTCAAGTTTTGTCATAGGGACGGAGTTTCCAGTTCTCTGGTAAACAAACACACGTTTAACACAGGGACAGCTGGCCACAGCAGCATCTACAGTCTGTTTGAGGGGTATCGTCCTCCCTCCTCTCACTCCCTCATCAGCTGTTATTACTGTTTCAGCATCAGCTACATCACACAACCAACATTTATTCAATTATCCAACTGGAAATCAGCAATGTATAATTGGAAACATTTAACAGGTCAAACATTAATCCACTTATATATATATATGTCTGGTAAACTGGTCACACAATTCCTCATTCAAATATCTAACCAGTGAGAGATTCAACAAGTCAAACAATATCCCATTTAAATAAATGTCTACAGAAGCATTCAATCAAACGACCAATGAAACATTTGTTTGGAAAAACAGTGAAAATATTTACGAATATTTACTTCCCGAGAAATGTATATATAAACTTTATTTGTTTTACAACAATTGCGAAACAAGTTATTTAAACTTATACTAATCACTCTTGTTGGCCCGGATGTAAGCGCGCGAGGGGCCGTGTTCACAAATTTCTTTGAAAGGCATAACACTGCGCCACCCGACCACCCAGACGTGTTCACAAATTTCTTTCATACTTAGATATTCACCAAGTGAAATATATATGTGATATGGAGATATCAACATTTAAGATATAAGGTAAACACTGTATTTATCAGGATATGACCATACCTTGTAATCAACACCTACCTTATTCAGATTTTGTTTGAAATGCCAACAAGGGGTGTATCACATCCTGTCATAAACCAACCCCAAACTTTGAATTATGCATTATGTGTTAGCTAAAAAGGTTTATTAAAAAAATGAATATCTCGGTCATGATCACGAAATGTTGACAGTCACTGCTGGGGTAAAGGTGATTACCATCAATGATCCTGCCAGCCAGGGCCTCGGCACTAAACCCAGCAAAAACCACGCTGTGAATGGCTCCTATCCTGGCACATGCCATCATGGCTGCTACAGCTATAGGTGAGGTAGGCAAGTAGATGGCCACACGGTCTCCACGACGTACACCAGAACTCTTGAGCATGTTAGCCATCTTGTTAACCATTTGTGACAACTGCCTGTGAACATGTTTAAGCACCAAACTAGATAGAAAAATTTGTCAGGTGTATAACCAAAAGCCAAGGCATTGAGAGACACAAAGGGCCAGTATTGCATACATATAATTTATTTTCACAACATCTATAAAAGAAAAATCATCACATGATGACTAGGTTTCGTTTAAACAACTACATCTAAAAACACCAATTTGTTTAATTTCTATAAATTTTACCAGTAATATACATTTCTACATAATGTAGAGTTAATCATGTTAACATCCCTGGTCAAATATCATGACCCTGGACCAATCGATTATTCAGGGAAAGTTAAAGGATTTCACCTTGAAAGCATGTCAAGGTCATCTATATTAACAAACTTAAGTCTCTTATATGTGACCTTAGGCTCATATTTGACCATGTGACCTAAAACTCAATTATTCAATGAAAGCTGAAAGCTATCCTCCTTTTACATATTCATTTTACAAATCCTGTGAGCTCTATCCGGTATTTGTCTTGTTGTCATGAGGATAAAACAAGTTGCTACAGCCACATTACCTGTAACTAATGTATTCCTGTGTTCCAGGTTCATCTTTTTCCCAGATCAAGGCTATAGCGTCACCATTCTTGTTTGCATACCTGTCCACACAGTTTACTACAAAGATAAGTGATAAGATGTTGAGTGAACATTTTTTCAGATATGCCTATAAATACTAAAATCTACAAAATGTGACATCACTAATTTGAATTATTGTCATTAATTCATTTTTTTGATTTCACTAATTTGAACTAACAACATTATTAAACAAATTACTGATATCGCTAATTTGAATTTATGATATCAGAAAATGTCCAAAATATTTGATACCATTAATTGGAATTAGTGATATCAAACATACTAAAACAGCATGCCATACAATCACCAATCCAAGCATAGGTTAAAAGTATTGTAAGCAGGTCAATGATATCATACTGTTTTAAAGGAGACCATGATTTAAAATCATTGAAAATTTTAAAGGATACCTCTTATTGCCATTGACCAAAATTCATTTCCAATTTTGAGAAAAGAATTAATAATCTGACTTCAATTTTGGAACAATACCATCTATATTTATATAGAAAATATTTACTAATCTTATCACTAATTTAAGTGGAGTGCAAACCTTAGGTTCAAGATAAATTAATCCCATTTTCACATAGGTCGTTGGTGCATATCAAGTTCAATTTTTTTATATCAAGCTGCTCTTAAAAGGACTGGTATGTTACATATCCATCCTACACTTCTTTAATTGGAACCTGCCCATTGCATTTACTTACAAAACTATGAAGAGTATAGTACATTCATACATTTTGTAGTTACCAAGCAAATTGTTAATTTGTTATCTATAAAATGAAACTACAAACTTGAAGACTAATTCCTCAGCTCCCATGGAAAACACTGGCTAACTTAAATACATCATTTACATATGAAATCCTAATCATGTGAGTAGAACATGGTGGTTTTTAAAGTTACTACATGAGATCCACATATAGATCGAAAAAATATAATACTGAACACTAGAATGTCTTATGTATTCATTTATCAAGTAAAAAAGAAATTCACATTATATTGAGTTTTGAAGGTTTATTTGTAAGCTCCCTGTTTGATTGATCAAATGTAATCACAATATTGACAACAATATCTGTATATGACAATGAGAGACCTCCTACATCACAGCAATTTTGGCATTCGGCCTGCAGTTACCTGTATGGTAGATATTAACTTCAAAAGTCTCATAATCCCTGAATCTATGGCCTCTCTCTTTTGTAAATACTGGGCTTATTAAAATTTAACAAACACCACTTGTAAATTTCTGATATTGTTGGTATGGAAATACTATGAATAATATTAACACACTTTTGAATTACAAGCAACTGACTAATAAAATACCCTAGAGTATTGCCAGTGTAAAAGTGTTAATATCATGAGGTAGTTTGAAGTGAGCACTTTATATACAGGTTTCAATTTACCTTTGGTCAAGTATTACTGGTCTAGACATGTTAACTTATCTTCTGGTCGATACAAGAATGTTTCTTATCTGCTATTGTCTACCACTGTGCTTCACAGGGTCACCTGATGTTTTACTAGGAGTCCTCTTCATAGACTTTAATACCTCTTGAATGATCAGTAAATGAGACAGCTGAAGAACTCAAAGATAACTTATCCACATGACAAACCTTTGGGTTTAAAATGTGCTGATCTATACCTAACCAATTAATGATATTTTTCTGGCTTAAGTTTTTTTCTTTTCTTTAGATCGCAGCAGTCTATTGTAAACATATTTGAGTGTATGGTTTCTTGTGAAAAGATGATTATATATATATGTAATAATTCTGGGGAGTCTACACCATCCTCACAGGTGCTCTCACACACAAAAATATGCAACATTTTATGTAAAAATGATTTGAAGTGACAATTTGAAAGCTCAGAACAGTGATGTCTGATAATGGAAAGGACTATGTCTTCGTAAAAAGTGAAGCAAAACAAATTAATTTATTAAGTAGTAGTTACATAAATAAAAGCAAAACAACAGAAGCAGACAAAGCAAAAATACATCATTATTCTAGATCCCAGAGATAAAGTCACTTAAGAATTTCCGAAAGAAAATCAAATGTGACAAATAGACTTATATATTGTATGTGCAACCTGAATCCGGAAAAAGTGTTGAGACCTCTGCTTGTGTGCAGTGAGCATTGTAAGCCGTATCAAAATTGACTTTTTTTTTTTATCTCACAAAGGTAGTAATTTCCTTGACCGAGTGGCATTAGTTTATATTGGAGTCCTGGGTTCATGCTTTTCCTGTTATATTCATTTTGAGAACCATTTGTATCCTCAAAATTTTAGAAATTGTGCTCTAAACTCACCATAAAAATTATTTAAACATTACTGAGTGGTTAAATGTTTTTAAGTACACATTCACATGAATAGTTGGTCCAACGTGCGTTGGGTATATAGTAATCTGCCAGCAGGACCCCGAGATGCCATCCTTGCTAATTCATGTTATGTAGGTGGAGTTTTCGTCAAAATGACAACTCATTCTGGTTTAGACATGTCTTTCGTAGACTCACGATAAAGCTAACGCGCGGTGTTTCATACCGCTGACATAAACACACATGGTTTCGTTATCGTGTTGGTATGCAGACACACGCACGCACGTTCTGTCGTGTTACATGTGTGGCCACGTAAAATTAGGTCACAAACTATAATGCATACTCACCAGACGCATTTAACTTGCCGTCCATAAACCATCGTATGTGTCCCTTATTTATATCACAGTCTTTAACCTGCTTAAACGTCTCAAACCATTGTAACCTAGATTTGGCAAGTGTGCCCCAAAAATGGTCCGGATTTTGTAAACTTGCATTGTACAAATCTGCATGAGATTGAAGTTGAGGGTCCCCTTGGAATTCTGGAAATGGTGTCGTTGTTATTCCTCTAAAAGGTGTACAGACGGCACCTTTCCATGTCAGGCAGGTGAACTGGTTCTTAAGACTGGCGATAAGAAGAGATTGGTTAGTTTTTCCAATCTGATACAGATATTTAGCACCCGCCATCGCTGTAAGGCAGCACTTAAAATAAGGTCAACACTAACTGATTCCAGCGCCCTCTATAAACATAGTAACATGTGTTTGACCTACTTTCGATATCTCCAAGACACACCCCCTTTTTCGCAAATGAAATACATGTCGACCAATAGCTGATATTAAACATGTTTTCATTAGACTATTTGTCAGATGAAATACAATCCCATCTATTGACACCTAAGTGTTCATTATTTAGTGTATCTATAATAATCTTATACATGCCTTCACAGAAAAATGTCGATATTTCGTTTTCAGAAGTTGACATAGGCCACACTCACACAAATCACGACGATATTGTTAAAGGAAAGCAATGTCTTAAATAATTTGGATTTGAAAGGAATTTTATAAAACAATAGATCGATTATACAGTAAAGATGCTCCTACAGTTATGTGGAGTTGTGGAGATATATGGCATCAAGGCCATATATCTCCATAGAGAAACTCCAAAATTATATTTCCACAATAATCTAGGACATCCATGAGTTGGAACAACAATTTTGTTATTAGATATAACCATTTTTTAATCTCTCTTCCAGAAAAAAGTAATATTGTCCTCCAAACAAAACTTTTGAAAAGAAATTCATTTTACGACGCATGGAAAATCAGAACATGTTTTGTTATTCTAAAGCAACTATGAAAGAAATTGAATATTAAAAAATAGAATGAATAAGAAAGTCGGTGTTGAGGAAATACAGTTATTCGTATGATGAATAAAACTGTAACTATAAAGAATAAATAATGTTCTTTTCCTGAAAATATTCTTGTCGTTTGCAAATACAGTTGCCAGTTCAACTTCTAAAATAAACTAATAGACACTTTCATTGAGTTATTCCCTTGCACCCTGTGACTTGAAGATACATTTAATAGACATCTTAGATTTAAAGTGTATGTCGTATCTTATAAAAGTAATGTCATCTCGTGTTATTTGGTTGAGTATCAGATCAGCATTCCTTCATGGATAAATGGCGAATGGACTTGTCATACGTGCACGGTACTGGAGACCAACGTAACTACAATCACTTGACCTTATGTTCAACGTAAGAGATGATCACTTTGGTAGTAATATATTGCTAAATGTATTGTGATGTGCGGCACTCTATTATTGTACAAAATATTTTTGTACAACGTAACAAGGGAGACAATCAAAATAATTAATCTCTTAAATTAATGAAATAAACACGCATAAAACTATAACTTTAGCCATGGAATTAATAATGTCAACATGATGAACTATTGGATCATAGTGAAAAAAAACTCCCTGTAGCTCTGATCAACGCGTCACCATAGCATAACACTTGTAACATATATCATGGAAAACAGCATCATACCTATACAACAGCCGATCTTGTAATTGTTTTATACCATTTCGGGGGTCGCAAAATTTCTTATGAGCTTACCTTGTTTTGTCTTAAAATATTTCTCTTTGCAGTCAAAGATTTGCAGAAGATAAATTACAGGAAAAACATGTAGTAAACGAAGATTGTAAATTAGGGAGATAGCACCTAAAATCAGGTGACTTCTCTTTGACCTCTTAGTAATAGAGTATAGCTTTACACAACTTCACATTATATATAAACTTTATTTATTTTACAACAATTGCGAAACAAGTTATGTCAACTTATACTAATCACTCTTGTTGGCCCGGATGTAAGCGCGCGAGGGGTCTTATTGTGGGAGGAAACCGGAGTACCCGGGGAAAACCCACGTGGTCCGGCAGGTGGCCCCTTACCTTTTCACGTCCGTTCCGGGAATCGAACCCCGGTCGGCTTGGTGAAAGGCGAGTGCGTTAACACTGCGCCACCGGACCACCCACATTGTTGGGATTTGTTACCCTGTGTGTAACAGGGTTGAAAAAATGGTCTATAGACTCATTCAATGTTCCTCTCCACGGAAATCTTTAGTAAAAGGCGAAAGATTTATGCGTGGTTTGAAGAGAAACCAGAGTGTTCAACACAGGTAACTGAAAACTACATATCTTAACATGTAGAGAATAGTTAAGGTGTTTGGTAATCTGGTTACAATGATTTTATGTATCTATATACGTTCTAAATCAGATATAACGAATGAGCCATCTTATAATTACATAATTAATATAAAGACGATAAAAAATTACACAGAAACAATGAGATTTTAAACGAATACATACTTTCATATATTTCTTTGATTTTTACCTGTCTAACAACAACGCAAGTAAAACGTTTCATGAGGGGAGATAACTGTTATAGAACATGAAGTTAACATGGTACACACGTAAATAGGTTACTTATTGCAAAAACCCTTTTCACCGCAAATTATACAGAATTTATCATCGTTATTATCAACAATTAATTTTCTTCGTGATGGCATTAATCCTTGAAGGTTAAAACGAAAACGCGATTAGTTAATTGTTTTTAAATTGGGGTGGATGAAATTAGTCCCTGCCATGTGTGTAGTTCGTCAAAGAAAGACAAATCCAGTTCCCTCCAGTGTAATTAGTTGTGGTTGGTCCTGTCTATGTCAATGAAATGATGATGTTTAACGATATAATAGTGAATCAGAGATAGCGATGTTGCGATAGAGTAAACATTATTTCGTTGGACCTAATTAAATGCCAAAAACTAGACGAGGATGTGCATTAACCCAGGGACGTATATGGTCTGTCATATGTATATGACGTATACGTCCCTGATTAACCCGAAAACTATACAAATCTCGTGATTTTAATTACTATTATAGTATACAGTCCTGACAACACTAATAACAGTTCTATATACGATGGGATATGAACAACGGTAACACTATATGCCCCAAACCATTATAATAATTATCATACATAATACAAGTTCTTGTCTGTTCTGTTACGAACTCAACAAAAAAGTATCGAGGAAGGCGGAAACCACGTAAAGCCCATTGCCATTCTGCAGTTGTCGCCCCTTCCTTGACGATTCAGTTGCGTTATTAAAAAAAATCTTGATAAATACATTTTCATCTACTTTGCTGCTTTTTTCACTTGTTGTTAGAACATAACAAATTCTAAGATTACGTGTTGGCTCATTAAAATCAATTTATTTTCGTACGCATCTTGTCACTAATTCTTTTTAATAAGTTAATAAGAACAAACGTAGCTTTGCAAACCTCAAGTTACTCACTTATTTTACTATATACTACGAGAAAAGACGTTTTAATGGCACTCTGGTTTCTCTTCAAACCACGCATAAATCTTTCGCCTTTTACTAAAGATTTCCGTGGAGAGGAACACTGAATGAGTCTATAGACTATTTTTTCAACCCTGTTACATACAGGGTAACAAATTCAAAACAGAAGTATAATGAACTTAGACTGATAGGTACTGGAGTATGGTGTACCACACCTACCACATCATTTCATTGGCTGGTGTTTATTTTGAACAATTTTCTATACGTATTCAATGCTAATTTCTCTTAAATTTCACCAATGAAAAATATCTTATTCTAATAAACAAAGTAGTGTAGAGAATAGTTTATTCTAATAAACAAAGTGGTGTAGAGAATTTGAATACAAGTACAAGTAGGACATATGCAATACCACAATTACATAATATCAGTACAAATGACATTAGTTTTCCGAGTTTAGCCGATCATTAATTATCATAATAAATTTTACAAGTGACATTTATTCATCATTAGCACCATAATTAAATAAAGTGTTAGATTTAAATGTACTGGGTCTTTCGAAATAATATCTGGATATTAATTTCTTTCTATTAACCAATATTTGTTGACACTACAATTATAAATGCCAAGATGTGCGTATGCAGAATTACTATAAGTTATGTTTCCGACCCCACGCTTATCAACTCACATCAAACACAAAGCTAAAAAGCTGTTGAATGTCAATTCAATAGGATGACTATTTTTATTTTAGCTGATGAGTAGGTGACTTGGGAAGACGGAGAGATTGAAGAAACCACAGACCAGGTGACTATCGGAACTGGATAGTGTCGATCGCTGGTGACCACGAATGCCTTTTATCTCTTTTATCTCACTATAGGACCCGTCCTGTCTACTGTAGGCCTCACAATAGGACCCGATTCTGTCTTCTGTAGACCTCCCAATTGGACCCGATTCTGTCGACTGTAGACCTCACTATAGGACCCGATTCTGTTTACTGTAGGCCTCACTATAGGACTCGTCCTGTCTACTGTACGCCTCACAATAGGACCCGATTCCGTCTACTGTAGGCCTCACTATAGGACCCGTCCTGTCTACTGTAGGCCTCACTATAAGACCCGATTCTGTTTACTATAGGCCTCACTATAGAACCCGATCCTGTCTTCTGTAGGCCTCCCTATTGGACCCGATTCTGTTGACTGTAGACCTCACTATAGGACCCGATTCTGTTTACTGTAGACCTCACTATAGGACCCGTCATGTCTACTGTAGGCCTCACTATAGGACCCGATTCCGTCTACTGTAGGTATCACTATGTGACCCGATTCTGTCCACTATAGGCCTTACTATAGGACCCGATTCTGTCTTCTGTAGGCCTCCCTATTGGACCCGATTCTGTCTACTATAGGCCTCACTATAGGACCCGATTCTGTCTACTTTAGGCCTCATTATAGGACCCGATTCTGTCTACTGTAGGCCTCACTATATGACCCGATTCCGTCTACTGTAGGTATCACTTTGTGACCCGATTCTGTCTACTGTAGGCCTCACTATAGGACCCGATTCTGTCTACTGTAGGTCTCACTATAGGACCCGATTCCGTCTAGTGTAGGTCTCACTATAGGACCCGATTCTGTCTACTGTAGGGCTCCCTATAGGACCCGATTCCGTCTACTGTAGGCCTCATTATAGAACCCGATTCCGTTTACTGTAGGCCTCCCTATAGGACCCGATTCTGTCTACGGTAGGTCTCACTATAGGACCCGATTCTGTCTACTGTAGGTCTCCTTTTAGGACCCGATTCTGTCTACTGTAGGCCTCACTATAGAACCCGATTCCGTCTACTGTAGGCCTCCCTATAGGACCCGATTCCGTCTACTGTAGGCCTCATTATAGAACCCGATTCCGTTTACTGTAGGCCTCCCTATAGGACCCAATTCTGTCTACGGTAGGTCTCACTATAGGACCCGATTCTGTCTACTGTAGGTCTCACTATATGACCCGATTCTGTCTACGGTAGGGCTCATTATAGGACCCGATTCTGTCTGTAGGCCTCCCTATAGGTCCGTCTACCGTAGGCCTCACTATAGGATCCGATTCTGTTTACTGTAGGCCTCCCTATAGGACCCGATTCTTTCTACTGTAGGCCTCCCTATAGGACCCGATTCCGTCTACTGTAGGCCTTACTATAGGACCCGATTCCATCTACTGTAGGCCTCATTATAGAACCCGATTCCGTTTACTGTAGGCCTCACTATAGAACCCGATTCCGTCTACTGTAGGTATCACTATGTGACCCGATTCTGTCTACTGTAGGCCTCACTATAGGACCCGATTCTGTCTACTTTAGGCCTCATTATAGGACCCGATTCTGTCTACTGTAGGCCTCCCTATAGGACCCGATTCTTTCTACTGTAGGTCTCACTATAGGACCCGATTCCGTCTAGTGTAGGTCTCACTATAGGACCCGATTCTGTCTACTGTAGGGCTCCCTATAGGACCCGATTCCGTCTACTGTAGGCCTCATTATAGAACCCGATTCCGTTTACTGTAGGCCTCCCTATAGGACCCGATTCTGTCTACGGTAGGTCTCACTATAGGACCCGATTCTGTCTACTGTAGGTCTCCTTTTAGGACCCGATTCTGTCTACTGTAGGCCTCACTATAGAACCCGATTCCGTCTACTGTAGACCTCCCTATAGGACCCGATTCCGTCTACTGTAGGCCTCATTATAGAACCCGATTCCGTTTACTGTAGGCCTCCCTATAGGACCCGATTCCGTCTACGGTAGGTCTCACTATAGGACCCGATTCTGTCTACTGTAGGTCTCACTATATGACCCGATTCTGTCTACGGTAGGGCTCATTATAGGACCCGATTCTGTCTACTGTAGGCCTCCCTATAGGACCCGATTCCGTCTACCGTAGGCCTCACTATAGGACCCGATTCTGTCTACTGTAGGCCTCCCTATAGGACCCGATTCTTTCTACTGTAGGCCTCCCTATAGGACCCGATTCCGTCTACTGTAGGCCTTACTATAGGACCCGATTCCGTCTACTGTAGGCCTCATTATAGAACCCGATTCCGTTTACTGTAGGCCTCCCTATAGGACCCGATTCCGTCTACTGTAGGTCTCACTATATGACCCGATTCTGTCTACTGTAGGGCTCACTATAGGACCCGATTCCGTCTACTGTAGGCCTCACTATAGGACCCGATTCCGTCTTCTGTAGGCCTCCCTATAGGACCCGATTCTTTCTACTGTAGGTCTCACTATAGGACCCGATTCCGTCTAGTGTAGGTCTCACTATAGGACCCGATTCTGTCTACTGTAGGGCTCACTATAGGACTCGATTCTGTCTACTGTAGGCCTCCATATAGGACCCGATTCTGTCTACTGTAGGTCTCACTATATGACCCGATTCCGCCAAATAACGTCGTTATCCATTATTCACGTTACACACAATAAGAACTATGACGTCATCAAAACATAATTTCAAGCAAAGGATACAAATAAAAACGGCACTAACAGGATAAACAGGTAAGTAAAATTTGTGACATGTTTTTCAATCAAATACTTTAACGGTCATTTGGGTTTTTTTCAAGATTTAGGAGTACTACATGTCTCTGTGATACCGATTTGACTTTATTACGTAATAACATGATTCGAGTCAGGATAGATCCATATGCACACACTGCTGTCTACTTTATCTTGTGTATGGCGAATTTATGGCAGTAAATGAATTAAAACTTGAAGTGCGGCATTTAACTGCATTTTATTTTATATCTGAGAGTTTAAAAAATGAAATCAAAACCATACCAAACGTGATTTTCACCATTTACAGGGTCCTTTCAAAAACACATGGTGCTTTATTAACATGTGAAGATAATTTTGTTTCTATCGCTTGAACATTCCGAGATCCCCCTAGATAACAATCAATGCATGATTTCAGAAAAAAGCAATCAAATTGAAATTTTGTTCAATTTTGAAGTTTCAATAATATGGATCAAATCTACCGACCCAGGGATCACCTTTTCGACTTGAAACATTTAATCCCAATAGCTTCACTTTCACGACTACATTTGTTTTCCAACTATCTATCCATCCTCGCTCCTTTTGATCAATCTCGTTGACCTATAGGTAAATTTTCTGGTTTGATTTCTTTTTGACTGTAACATGGGGACACAAACGTAGAATATGTTTATTATTGTAAGACTGTGGTTGGAGCACTGCCTTTTCAAAATGACAAGATTAAACTTAGGTTATATCAGAACTCTTTTAGCGATATTATTCAACGAGGAGCCAGATGAGATAAATGAGTCTGGAAAGTTTACTGTAACATCGGGAGACGACAAGATCACAGCACCAAACTCATCTCTAAAAGTAATCCACAAACTTGCCCGTCATGAAACCTATCTATCAAACTAATTCTCAAATCCAACAAACTCGCCTCTTAAACCGATTCTCAAACCCACCTCTCACGAAGCACATCTCTCAAACTGATTCTCAAACCCACCTCTCATGAAACCCGGTCGTTTATCAACTAACTATGCAACCTGCCTCTCAATCCCATGTCCCTTATCCGTCTCTCATCTCAAACCATCGGGGTACAATATACCATCTCGGGGATTGCGCGAGTGAGCTAGTCCATAAACGGGTACGGACGCATCAGTGATGTCTTACACAGAGATGAGGAATCACTTGGTATATTGGTGCAGCATGTAACCTTCAAACGCAACTACCAGTCAAGTTTTTTGGAAAAAAATAAAGAAAGCTAACTGCGATCTTTCCGATTTGCTCTTAAATGTATTGTAGCACATTGAAATGTGTTTCGAATATAGTCACCTCACCAGTTAACATCCAATTGTCTCCAGATTGTGCCCACTTTTTTCAGAGATTATCAACATGCCAAGACAGAGGAGAGAGGACAAGGTGCGATTCATGCGTTCGCAATACTACGAAGGGGATATGATGACACTTCCGGCCAAGTATAAATTATCTAACATCATTGATCCAGCCTCCCTTCCCGAACCGCTTTCCTTTAACACTTGTAAGACACTCATTTTACCAAAGACACCGGTTATAATAATTATCATGTTTTGTTGCTATATAACATAATGTACAAATAACAGCCCATAGAAAATTGAATTTTGAGTGATACTTTTGGATATTACCGATTATCAATGAGTCCATATTAATTTGGTAGAAAAGTAAAACATAACCCTGTTTATATTTGCATCAGTGTTTTATGATCCCCAGTTCGTCCCAGGCCGGACCCAGATGTGTGCGACTTCCCCGCCCGATATTGGCCGTCTCCCGATACTTCCCTCATCCCCGAGGATATGTCGGCTAGCGAGGTGAGACACGACAATTCGAACAAAGGGGATGAACCTAGATCTATGTGGCAGAGATTTGATAGGCTCCACTTGTGTCGCCGAGACATTTTATTTGTGTCAAGTTCCATATTTTCATATGTTTCACGGTACTTTTTACACTTTTTGTCTATTTTGTATAAGCAATGTCATGCTTAATGGTAGCTTGTTCCTTTCAGTTATGGGAGCATTGTTCCAGGAATGTCGCCTCTAGTAGCGGTCGGGCTAGCGGACGGACGGACAACCGGCGGAGGGAGAACAAATCAAACAGCTCAACAACGCGATCTTACAAGAACATTCCGAAATGGTAACAACTTTTTCTTGTCAGAACTTAAACACGATGATATGGTATTGTCATTGAAACCCAGGTTTACAGCAAAACCTACTTCACCTCAATCTGCTTATCACCCCTATTCCACTCAAGGTAGTTTTAAAACCCACATGAAATGTTCTATACACTCATCAAGAGCCTTATTCGCTCCTCCAAACATTAATGTCTGATCCCATTTGCATCACTGATGGATCCTAGAAGGATGGACCATGAAACAGCTGTATGGTGCTGTTTAATTCATTATCTGGCTGTACATTATCTGATTCTAATTTCGTATTGAAGGGTGCCATTATTGTGTGTGTTTTATACAACGTTTGCTCCATAACAGTATACCCATCACCAACAACCGGATACACGAGGCAGTGGTGGACATAGAGCGACTCCCGCGGAAGGAGCAAGATGACCGACTAATGGTCCTGAAGTCCAAGTTCAGCGAAAAGGACTATGAAATCCTAGAACAGATAGTGGAGGACAAACGCGCAGAATATCTAAGGGTAAATGTTAGGGTTGTCACCGGCTAACCGATCATAACGTTCACTAACCGAATATTATAATATTTTATGCATTTTAATGCAGCTAACCATTGCACGTGTATATCGGGCAACAGACATTGCCAATACCAGTTCTCTCCTTTTCAGTTTACTATCACAAATAACGGTTTTAGTTATGGAAAACTAGTACGACGTTTTGAGCTAAACGCAAAATTCATTGATGCAGAATACAAAATGAGAAATGATAATGTGTAGAGACTTGTGCCCGGAAGCAAATTACGGACATTGTTGCACAATATCTATTTCAACCATCACATTCTTCATATGCCATATATTTCTAAAAGAATAATGGCAGATGACGATTTGGTCAAAATGTATTGAGGAATACCAACAGTTGGGAAAAGTGCGACTTTGTAAAATGCTTGATAGATGTGAAACGTTCGTGTGAGATGCTTTACCAGCATGCTGAAACGAATTATGGACGCCTTTTCGTTATCGCTAAACATAGCGGGAAATACTTGTCCTTTGAGATATATACAGAGTTACTGTTCTTGGCGAGTGAACAGTTTCTTGTGCATGAAAACCCGAGTTTGTTGAGTTTTCCGTCCGTTGTTCGCTATCGATGAAAAATTAACTCTATTACTTTCGGCGAATTATAGTTGAAGTATTCATAAAAATGTACAATTAATTTCTAATTTAAAAGCAAACGGAATTTAACCGTCAAAAAAGGTTATCGTGAAGTCAGGAGATAGTCCGTGACTGTATACCGAGAGTACGCCTTGCAAGGGTTCCCCTGGTTTCGCGTTTATAACTTTTCTTTTTCTCAGCCAATCGCATATTACTTTTAAAATGACGTAGGACGATTATCCATCATCTTACTATACCAACCAATGAATTCGCTTGAATAAAGCAAATGTCATCATTTCGATCTAATTTAGAGTCGGAAATTCCAACAAAGGGAATTTCTTACCCCGGTATTTGTCACGACAAATTCAGAGCTTCGCATGCTAAAATATGAGCGCATATGAGTTTTGAATAATTTCTTGATAACAGTACACTTACTTCACAATTAACGAGAAAGAACTCCTATCATGCTTAGCATTGTAGTCAAGAATGACAACTCAATACCGCTATAAGTTCGCGGGAGTGTTAATATTTCACGATATGTCTACTTCGCTGTGTGGTGTTATTTGGATACTTTAACGGTGGAGACTTTTGACTATAAATACAAATTATATCACCAACATTGAAAGCAATTGACACAAATCCTGAGGCATGTCTTCATCTTTGCTGGTCGTAGGTATTCCGTAAGTCATATCTGGAGCGTGGCCTTGGTCCTGTCCCTCGCAGTGACAACTCCGCTTACCTTGCCCGGGAGCTGAAGCGCCGTGTGGCTTGTCAGGAATGTGGTCTTGACTGGAAGAAAACCAAATGGCCCCCAATGCGCAGAAAGCATCACCTGCCTGTCCGGCATGAAATAAACATGCCATGTGTCATGCAGAATGATGTCGTGTGATCTAGCCATTAGATTAAGTCTTTCACATTTTCGTTAAGCTTCCACGTACATATGCATCTACATATCTAAATTGCACAGACTGAAAGCTACTTCGCTATATGCAAAAACCTATTGGGATTTAAAATTATACTGCATATGTAAAATAAGACTTCCTTTTCACAAATTGGATATAGGTTAGGATGGGGATTTTAATGTTCAGACTGGCAGGGTATGATCTTTATAACTAAATCCAACATTCAGACCGGATAGATGATTAACCGATGTTTAGCCAGTATACACATAATACACTCGACGAACATTTACCTCGTGTTAAAGCTAGGTACGGGCCTTTAAAGAATGGCCTAGTGTCATAACGGATGGGAGATCTGTATGAATTTTGCTCCAATGTTTATGTTAGGCGAGGGATCTGTAAGAATTTTGGCCCAGTTTTAATGCCGGATGGGAGATCTAGGAGGATTCTGACCCAATGTCTATTTTGGTGTAGTGTTTCATAGCGGATGGGGATGTATACAAATTTTGGTGTAGTGTTTAATGGCGGGTGGGGGATATATACAAAGTTTGGTGTAGTTTTTAATGGCGGTTGGGGGATATATACAAAGTTTGGTGTAGTTTTTAATGGCGGGTGGAGGATGTATACAAAGTTTGGTTTAGTGTTTAATGGCGGGTCAGAAATCTATATGAATGTTACCCCAGGGAAAGGAAGCTATAAAGGAATTTGACTCAGTGTTAATAATGAGTAGGACATTTGTTATTACAACAACATCCAGGTCTTATTTATAATCAAATCATGATTTGATTTAAATGTGCAAATATACACAACCATGTCACGTGTATGAAATTTTATTGCATGTTAATTTTAAATTTATAAAAATTTGGAATATATATTTAACTCTTAATCATGTGATACAGAACAATTGGTTATACCCAGAATACGATTTAGTGAAAGGACTTTACCAAGGAAGGACATTCCAATCTTTGTTTATTGGGCATTTGATGTTTTCTTTAATGATTTTACCTTCTATTTGTATATTTCTATTGAACGTTATTGCAAAAAGTTAATTTTTTATTTTGAAAAAAGAAGATTTTCTGTTGTTTTATGTTTTCTTTGTTATAAGTTACAAGACAAGGAGTTCTTGATTGGTTGTATGACCTCACTACACCCAGATGTACACCAAGTATTGATGGTCTCTTCACACACACCCATTGCTTAAGTCATTACTACACAAGACAAAGGACAGTTTGACACAAACCATTGATATATTTTTATAAACATTTGTATACGACTTTCTATACACAAGTTAATATCTTGTCCAGTATACATAGAGAATACATGTCCAGAAGCTCCCACTTTTGTCTCTTCACCCGCCCCAAAATACAGCTGGTATTTTATGACAATGACTATATATTCTATTTATCCTGCAGCATTGCTTTAAAATCGGACTATTTAAACTTTAACCTTTTTGTTGTTCAATCTCTCTACCTGACTTTGATGTTACCCTGAGTTTTATCAGACAATGGGCACCAAAATAATTGCTCCATGTGGAAATATAGTTTCAAACTTCATCCCATATAAGAGCGATTTTATGAATTTTCATAAATCAACTTCTTCTTAATATGTAAAATCGCCTATTTCAATAACTATTTCAATTTCTAAACATGCTACTATATAAGTATATTCAGTAAGTAATTCTGTCAAATTAATGCACTTGCTCAAATACAACTGCTTTCCATCACAGCCAAATATAGCAAAAATTTATGTGGCAGGTGTATTCTGACAATGGCAGTGCTAGTCACAGGATAAAAAATTGTATCAAGTCTCTACATTCTAGTTCAGCATTTAAGTAGTCATAAAGTCTTTTCTCTCATTTCTACCCATGTAATACTGGTCTGTCCACAGCAATACACCCAGGTTGGCTGTTCTTGTATAACACATACACCCATGCAATACAGACATGCGCATGTAGGAAATGTGACGTGTCCCTTCCCAAAGACGTCATGACATGATACAATTTTTACACATGTGTACAAATAGTTATTTACAATGACTGTTTATTCTTTCTAGGTCAAATTTTGTTTGTAAAATCTACATACAGAGAATTTATTTTCTATGTCAACTTGTCAATTAATTGCGCCAATAAATATGATTTTTGTATAGTATGGCGTCCTTGGTAGTTGGTAAATTGTCGATGTGAAGCTAATATTTTTTCAATATTTAAGAATGGGAAATGAGAGAAAAATACTCTTATCACATGTAGGGTGAAGGATGGGATACTTTACCTTCATGGTCCAAAATGTGTTAAAACCCTCAGTAAAGTCTCGGGTTTTACAACATTTTGTGACCTCTGGTGGAATGTCCCCATCCTACTACCTGAGAAATGAAAGAGTCCTATAGTATAGTACTAGGAATCATTAATTAGCTACAGCCACACAAATCCATCAGGTTTTAAATTTTAATCATTCACGTCACTCAAGTTACTCCAACCAGTTTCTGTCTTGATTACTTGTTCCACAAATTCTATGTATGAACGAAGGTGGCAGATTTGGATTCTGTAAATCAAAAGAAAATTCACTCAGCATATTGTGAACATGACTGGTAGGAACATGATGATGAGAAAATCCCTGATAATGATCCGAAATGTTTAGCTTCCAAATTAGACAAGATGATCTGTGTGACATGGGTGAAAGATTTACAGGTAGAAGTGCTATCAGTAATTTATATTTATAGTACAATCACGATGTAATGACTGCAGTGCAATTTTCAAAACATAGAAGTGCTATCAATATTTTTACTTATTGAGATTTAAACCATAAAAGCTATATTAATTTAGTACCATTTGGTGCATTGTTTCAGAAATCTGGTTTTCACATTAACATTCAAAGTTGAACAAAGCTTCATGTTAGTGTTGTTGTCATTTTTAATTCATTCTTGGTTGCTGACATCGTTAATTAAACCAATGATGATAAATTTGTAATCTTTTTGTGAAAAAAGAAACTTCTGGTCAGTAAGCTAACTTACAGAGATAATGTTTTGCAGCTGTGTAGAGTTGAAAAGCTCGGAAAGAACATTGGCGTCAACCAGGACCAAACCAAACAGCACACAACCAGCAATAGCTGATAGAACTGCTGTATCCATACAGACATTGTATACAGGCTTACCTGTAACATAAAACATTCATTATATCTCCCTGATAAAATACTGCTTCCTATCAACTCAGTGAGGATATCATCTCTCAATCACTACAGAATTAAGCCAAAAGTTCTGGATCCCTAACATGGCAACAGGTACAACAGTATCAGTGTACATGTCACAATACATACCCTTCACATGTGTGTTGAGGAAATCCTCCACAAACACTAGATCAGCACTCAGGGCTTGTCCTGTCTCTCTCAGACATTGGATACTAGAGTAGGACTGCTCATCTTCACATTTACCCACAATATTCTGAAACAACGAAAAATATTCATATCCCAGGAAGATGTAGTGGTATGATTATAGGCCAATGATTTCCACAATAATTACTATGTTCCAAACTTCCACTAGTGATAAAAATCTGAATCCTAATGACTCTATTGAAGGTAGATTTTAAAATCTTATAGGTAAATATAGTAATACAGTTCCTTTCCTACCAGATATACACAACCTAGACAAAAACAATGATGATATTTCAAGTTTACCTTCAATGACTTGTAGATTTGGAGTCTGGTAAATATACTTTCTGTGCAGAATGTATCATCCTCCTGCTCAAATAGTTGCTGCTGACTGAAACAAAGCAATACACAGAACACGGGTCTTGATAGAGGACCTTAATAATAACACCTGTGACACTAAAGTGAAATGTTTATCTGGTAACATGACTTAATCAAATTTTTTTTTCAGTAAGTATGAAATACAGCTTTTATATTCTCTACATGATAGTCCCCACTTTTCACACACAACACATTGTGTATGAGTTATATACCCTTGATAGTATACAACACATTGTGTATGAGTTATCTTCCCTTGATAGTAGACAACACATTGTGTATGAGTTATCTTCCCTTGATAGTAGACAACACATTGTGTATGAGTTATCTTCCCTTTATTATACACAACACATTGTGTATGAGTTATCTTCCCTTGATAGTAGACAACACATTGTGTATGAGTTATCTTCCCTTGATAGTAGACAACACATTGTGTATGAGTTATCTTCCCTTGATAGTAGACAACACATTGTGTATGAGTTATCTTCCCTTTATTATACACAACACATTGTGTATGAGTTATCTTCCCTTGATAGTAGACAACACATTGTGTATGAGTTATCTTCCCTTGATAGTAGACAACACATTGTGTATGAGTTATCTTCCCTTTATCATACACAACACATTATGAGTATGTTATCTGCCCCAATCACATACATCTCATTATGCATGTGCTATCTGCCCTTGACTATACACAACACATAATGTATATTAGCTGCCCCTGATCACACACAACAAATAATGTGTGTTATCTCCCCCTGATCACACACAACAAATGATGCATGTGTTATCTGCCTCTGATAACACACAACATGTAATGTGTGTGTTATCTGCACTGATCACACACAACACATAATGTGTGTGTTATATGCACTGATCACACACAACTGCACTGATCACACACAACACATAATGTGTGTGTTATATGCACTGATCACACACAACACAGGTTTGCTATCTGCCCCTGATCATACACAACACATTATGTATGTTATCTGACCCGATCACATACATCTCATTATGCATGTGTTATCTGACCCGATCACATACATCTCATTATGCATGTGTTATCTGCCCTTAAATACACACAACAAAATGTATATGTTAGCTGCCCCTGATCACATACAACACATAATGCATGTGTTATCTGCACCGATCACATACAACACATAATGCATGTGTTATCTGCACTGATCACATACAACACATAATGCATGTGTTATCTGCCCCTGATCACACACAACACATAATGTGAGTTATCTGCCCCTGATGATACACGACACATAATGCGCGTGTTATCTGCACTGATCACACACAACACATGTTTGTTATCTGCCCCTGATGATACACGACACATAACACGTGTGACAGGCCCTGATGATACACAACACATGTGTGTTATCTGCCCCTGATGATACACGACACACAACACGTGTGACAGGCCCTGATCATACACGACACATTGTGTACATGCTATTTTTCCTTGATCACACACTACCTGTAAGGATATAATCATATATACATACCATGTAGTAAGCTTGTGTGTAATGCATGCATGGACATCCTTTGGTTGGTACAACATCTTAACAAGACTGGACACCACAGCCTCTGACCACCAGTATGACATGTGTAGGAACTCAAACAGCAGCTGTAGAGGAAACCATTACACAATGTTTACAAATCAGAATGACTATCATTTTGAACTGACACATGAAGAAAAGTGATGCCCTAACATACCTGTAGATAACATTAATGTCTGATGTATTCTAATTTCCTGTTCCACGTTAACACATCTAATACCATTAGCACAATATGTAAAAGTTAATTGAGCAAATTTAAACGTGGTATTAACTGTGTTTTTTTCATAATTAAAAAATTAATAAAATTCTCAACAACTATGACGACAAACATTTTTTTTTTAAAACATGAACAATCCTGTTAGTAATCACAGCTTACATTGTATGGTTGACAATTGACAAATTCTACAAAAAAGTATCACGATTCATATTAAGTACATATCTGTGACTAACATCAGAATGTTGTTAAAATAGGTGTGTTTACCTGGTATCCGGTGTTGTATTGTACAGCACCATACTGTAAATAAGAAAGTGTTAATATGTCATAACACTGTCAGAGTTCAAAGTAAAACTGCATCCTTATATACACTTCACTGTGCTGTCTTTTGATAGGATTTCAATCTGTCATTGGAGATAACTATATATTATGTTTACAATAAACCTCCCAATAAGGGTAGGTATTGTGCATATAACCTTTCCCTGACCAGTGTACAAGCCCAGGTCACAAAGCTTACAACTGTCATCACAAATGTCAATTTCACAGTGCACTGGTCAGAACTCTGGTCTTGATCATTCAGGTTAGGCTCATTTTCAGAGGTGGTTTCCAGGATATTTCAACCATTTTGGACACAAAATTGGTTTGATATTCCAAATCGAGATGGATCAGTGTGATTACCTGTATAACTTCTGTAATGGCCTGTATAACTTGTATGATTACCTGTATAACTAGTGTTATTACCTGTAAAACAAGTGTGGTTACCTGTAAAACATGTGTGGTTACCTGTATACTTTGTGTGGTTACCTGTAAAACGTGTGGTTACCTGTAAAACGTGTGGTTACCTGTATACTTTGTGTGATTACCTGTATAATTTGTGTGGTTATCTGTATAATTTGTGCGATTGCCTGTATAATTTGTGTGGTTACTTGTAAAATTTGTGTGATTACCTGTATACTTTGTGTGATTACCTGTATAATTTGTGTGGTTATCTGTATAATTTGTGTGATTACCTGTATAATTTGTGTGGTTACCTGTATAATTTGTGTGGTTATCTGTATAATTTGTGTGATTACCTGTATAATTTGTGTGGTTACCTGTATAATTTGTGTGATTATCTATATAATTTGTGTGATTATCTATATAATTTGTGTGATTACCTGTATAATTTGTGTGGTTACCTGTATAATTTGTGTGGTTATCTGTATAATTTGTGTGATTACCTGTATAATTTGTGTGGTTACCTGTATAATTTGTGTGGTTATCTGTATAATTTGTGTGATTACCTGTATAATTTGTGTGGTTACCTGTATAATTTGTGTGATTATCTATATAATTTGTGTGATTATCTATATAATTTGTGTGATTACCTGTATAATTTGTGTGATTACCTGTATAATTTGTGTGGTTATCTGTATAATTTGTGTGATTACCTGTATAATTTGTGTGATTACCTGTATAATTTGTGTGATTATCTATATAATTTGTGTGATTAGCTGTATAATTTGTGTGATTACCTGTATAATTTGTGTGTTTATCTGTATAATTTGTGTGATTACCTGTATAATTTGTGTGATTATCTATATAATTTGTGTGATTACCTGTATAATTTGTGTGATTATCTATATAATTTGTGTGGTTATCTATATAATTTGTGTGATTATCTGTATAATTTGTGTGATTATCTATATAATTTGTGTGATTACCTGTATAATTTGTGTGATTACCTGTATAATTTGTGTGATTATCTATATAATTTGTGTGATTACCTGTATAATTTGTGTGATTACCTGTATAATTTGTGTGGTTATCTGTATAATTTGTGTGATTATCTATATAATTTGTGTGGTTATCTGTATAATTTGTGTGATTATCTATATAATTTGTGTGATTACCTGTATAATTTGTGTGATTACCTGTATGTATAATTTGTGTGATTATCTGTATAATTTGTGTGATTACCTGTATAATTTGTGTGGTTACCTGTATAATTTGTGTGATTATCTATATAATTTGTGTGATTATCTATATAATTTGTGTGATTATCTATATAATATAATTTGTGTGATTACCTGTATAATTTGTGTGATTATCTATATAATTTGTGTGGTTATCTGTATAATTTGTGTGATTATCTATATAATTTGTGTGATTACCTGTATAATTTGTGTGATTACCTGTATAATTTGTGTGATTATCTGTATAATTTGTGTGATTATCTATATAATTTGTGTGATTATCTATATAATTTGTGTGATTATCTATATAATTTGTGTGATTACCTGTATAATTTGTGTGATTACCTGTATAATTTGTGTGATTATCTATATAATTTGTGTGGTTATCTGTATAATTTGTGTGATTATCTATATAATTTGTGTGATTACCTGTATAATTTGTGTGATTACCTGTATAATTTGTGTGATTATCTATATAATTTGTGTGATTACCTGTATAATTTGTGTGATTACCTGTATAATTTGTGTGGTTATCTGTATAATTTGTGTGATTATCTATATAATTTGTGTGGTTATCTGTATAATTTGTGTGATTATCTATATAATTTGTGTGATTACCTGTATAATTTGTGTGATTACCTGTATAATTTGTGTGATTATCTGTATAATTTGTGTGATTACCTGTATAATTTGTGTTATTACCTGTATAATTTGTGTGATTACCTGTATAATTTGTGTGATTATCTGTATAATTTGTGTGATTACCTGTATAATTTGTGTGATTACCTGTATAATTTGTGTGGTTACCTGTATAATTTGTGTTATTACCTGTATAATTTGTGTGATAACCTGTACAACCTGTGTGATGACCTGTATAACTGGAATTATTACCTGTATATGTGCTGACCTGTATAACAGATATGATTACCTGTATATGTGCTGACCTGTATAACCTGTGTGATGACCTGTATAACTGGAATTATTACCTGTATATGTGCTGACCTGTATAACCTGTGTGATGACCTGTATAACAGATATGATTACCTGTATATGCTGACCTGTGCTCTAACCTCCAAAACACACATATAACAAAGATTGTGTGTCCTCTCACCTCAATAGACCTTCCTTTGTAACACAGGTGTGGTATAATCTCCATTGCTTGTACTCGTACATCTGTGTCATCATCCTGGATCAGGTTTGACAATGCCTGGAAAAGTCTACACAGAAACGCATTCTTATCAAACAGCGGTTAATGTATGATGATGTAGATAGCATTTGTGTTGTAAAAAAATCATTATCATCAGAAACAAAAGAACCATGCTAATAGATTTGGTCCCATATACCTTAAAGTGAGCAGCACAATTACAGTTTTCAGTTTATACAAAAAACATATTACCAGAATAGAATCGTTGAACACTCACTTTACAACACACTCCTGATGGGTAACATCTTCAGACACCCCGGATGGAGACATTATGACATGTCCAGCTGTGCCCATGGCTTGTGCGGCAGCAAGTCTAAAATGTTCATCACCGGTCGTTCTGCTGGCCTTCAACACTCGGTTGCACCATGCAATCAGGTCTGGTGACGAGGGCCTAAATAACAGAGAAAATATTAGTCATATCACAACCTCAGGTCTAACAATGGAGGTAAAAATAAAACAAGGTACCAGATATTATTATCCATTTTAGGCCCCATTGGGGAGAGTGGGGGATGTTAATGTCAGATGCAACACTGATACAAGTTCTCTTCTCACATGGATGCTCAAGATCATATTTGGACAAAATTAACACATTCCAACGTATGAAAGATTTATAATAATATGCTCTTTTTCGCAATGTGAGCCCTGCCCCTCCCGTACCCTAAGGGACATAACACATAGCTTATACAAAATTGATTCTCCTTCGCCCTTGCATGCTTCAGACCAAATTGGGACAACATCTAGCCATTCCAACAGAAGAATTTTAAAAAATTTGCTTAATTTCCAATATTAGGCCATGTCCCTCCTACCAAAGTGGGCCAAGACTATCTGTTAATACAAACTTGAGCTCCATTAAAGACAGCTAGCAGTTTTTCATAAAGAATTGACAGACACCAGCCTGACGACAGACGCTGGGCCATGGCATAATCTTGTTGGCCCTTTGGACAAAGTGAGTTAAAATGATCACATAAGTGACACAGCCAGACAGAAGTTGGGATTAACGAACAAAATACACTCCAATAATATTCTTGATTTTTCAAACTATCACTAGATATTGGGAAACATAATCTCTATTTTTTTCATTTTTTAGTTAAAACAATAATCCGGTATCAAATAAATTATCAAATAAAGATCAAAGAGAATGGCAAGTCTTTATTATATTATTAGGGTACATTTAAACTTTTCTTTGATGCCACAAACATAATGGCAAAATGAAAACATCATAGAGTTCAACATATCATGCTTAATAAGCTTCATGTTTGTATTAGATACTATGATGAATGTGTAACTTTCTTCTATGAATAAGGTTAAAAAGGAATTCACAGAGATGATACCTAGAAATGTCAAAACTGTTTTTAATTCCGATTGCCATTACTGCCAGTATGGTTGCCTCCAGACTTCCCCCTTGACTGTCACCATGGTTACAGCAGTACTGGTACAATTGTTCGGCAGTGTCCGAGTTGGTGCCATGAGTGTTGTGTATATTGAGTAACAGAGACAGACAGTTGGCCAGCAATGGAGGGTAAGTCTCCCTATGAAGGACATCAATCAGCTGACCCTGAAGATTTACAATGATGATGTGTGACTGTTGGATGGTTGTACAAAGCAACCAAAATCTATACAACAGAAGCTGTATCATTGAAGTTTCAAGATATTGGAGGATGACAGAAATGTCTGTTGCAGTTTTGAAATGTTAGTACCATGTCAATGACAAAGCTATAAAGTACAGATTACAATAACAACATGTTATAAAAATCCTCTCCATGTACACTTCTCTGATCAATGATTAAGAAATTTTACAGAACTAAAATTTCCAGTAACATTTGTTAATGACATATCATTCTACAGAGTTTTAACATGATGTTTCTGTGGTTAGAAGAAGTGAAGCCCATGTGATGAGAACTGTACCTGAATGGTGCTCCACTGCAAAGCTTGCCAGGTCCTTGACTCCAGCATACATTCCAGTGTGGACACACAAGCCAGCTTAGCGTCCTTTTCAGTCCCCCCGAGTAGGTCATGAACTAACTCGTCATCATTCTCCACCTCCCAGTCGTGGTTCCTCAGCAAACACTGTACCAGGTTCTTGGTTAATACTCCTTGGCCCAGCTTTTCACAAGAACAAATATTTTACATAAGGATTAGATTAGATTTAAATTTATAAGAAAAGTGTATCACTAATTAAATATATAACACTTGTGCTGATGAATCGTTGTACACATGTAGAAAACCAAACTAAATATTAGGAGACAGCATTGCTTGTTTTGCAGAAAGATCTATTTCAAAGACTACTATTATTTTATTAGATATTTCGTGGAGCCTTTAAGTTGTGTACACATGTATATATATTATACCACTTGTATAGATACTTACATTGACACTTTTATAATGACAGGTAGCAGACTTCTGCATCAACCTGACCAAATGAAGACTATCAGTCCGCACTTTAGCTGGAAACAATTCTGTAAGTTTATTGAGTACAGAAAGGTACGTATTTGTGATGAGTGGACACACTGCTGGGTCACTACTTATCCAAGCTCGTGTCTTCAGTACCTTCATCACATCCACACAGTCAGTTTCACTGTAAAAATAAAAAAAGAATTAACTCTGAACAGATCACAAAAGAACAGTAAGAGGAAGTAATGGTTATTACATATCAGTAAAATCATACATTTTTGTGGGTCTTAATTTTCGTTGGTTTCCAAAAAGTTGTATTTCATAGACAATTGATTTAGTAAGTAAATATTGCTCTATAGAATACAAGGATCAAAAGTACCATCAAAATAAATCCCCCACTGAATTGAATGACTTTACAGTACCTATCCCAGTTACTTATACATACTGTCCTTGCAGGAGCCTAACGACAATGAATGTACTTCTAGACATAGATCTAATCCTCAGTAGGAGTAAATACAATTTTCTTCTCACAATCCTTGAAAAATTAAACAGTGTATATCCACAAACCTTATACATGCATTATGGACGACTAGAGTTTTCTCCAAACACAGAAGAGTTCCATGAAGTCTGTTGTACTTGTGACTTGGACATGGATTCTCTGGGATGTCCTTCAGTAGGCTTATCATAGAGTCCTTCACTGACTGTACAGTTATCATAGCAACAAATGCACTTGCTGTCAAATGGCGGAGGTAATACACTGGACTTGCCAACAAGAACTCGATCCGACTCTTGAACTCTGTGATAAGGCTGGAGAAAGCAGCAAATTTTATTTTAGGTTTTTTAGTAAACTTTCAACTGACATTTTTAATGAGGATTATTCAGTATTGTAAATGCATAAAGCAAGTCTTTCTTTCCAACCATAAATGGACGTGTTACTATTTTATAATTTATAACAGTTTTCAGATTGCAGCCAGAAATAAATAAAATACAGAAAAAAGTTACTGTTTGCTACATTTTACAGAACCTATTAGAGAAGTATGTGTGCTACTGTAGGCCACTTTCTACAGAAACTTTTAGAGAAGTACACTGTGCTACTGCAGGCGACATTTCACAGAACCTATTAGAGAAGTTTGTGTGGTACTGTTTGCCACTTTCTACAGAGCTTATAAGAGAAGTACCTGTGCTACTGATGGCCACTTTCTATAGAACCTATTAGAGAAGTATGTGTGCTACTGATGGCCACTTTCTACAGAACCTATTAGAGAAGTATGTGTGCTACTGATGGCCACTTTCTACAGATCCTATTAGAGAAGTATGTGTGCTACTGATGGCCACTTTCTACAGATCCTATTAGAGAAGTATGTGTGCTACTGATGCCACTTTCTACAGAACCTATTAGAGAAGTATGTGTGCTACTGCAGGCCACGTTCTACAGAACCTATTAGAGAAGTATGTGTGCTACTGTAGGCCACTTTCTACAGAAACTTTTAGAGAAGTACACTGTGCTACTGCAGGCGACATTTCACAGAACCTATTAGAGAAGTTTGTGTGGTACTGTTTGCCACTTTCTACAGAGCTTATAAGAGAAGTACCTGTGCTACTGATGGCCACTTTCTATAGAACCTATTAGAGAAGTATGTGTGCTACTGATGGCCACTTTCTACAGAACCTATTAGAGAAGTATGTGTGCTACTGATGGCCACTTTCTACAGATCCTATTAGAGAAGTATGTGTGCTACTGATGGCCACTTTCTACAGATCCTATTAGAGAAGTATGTGTGCTACTGATGGCCACTTTCTACAGATCCTATTAGAGAAGTATGTGTGCTACTGATGGCCACTTTCTACAGAACCTATTAGAGAAGTATGTGTGCTACTGTAGGCCACATTCTACAGAACCTATTAGAGAAGTATGTGTGCTACTGATGGCCACTTTCTACAGATCCTATAAGAAAAGTACCTGTTCTGTTGTTTGACTGTTTCTAATGACCCTACATGAGAAGTATCTCTGGTGCTGTCAGACTTTTTTTACAGACCCTATAAGAGAAGTACCTGTGCTGCTGTTCAGCTGTTTCTGTGGGTCCAAGGTGTGACAGCAGAGTTAGCACAGGGAAGAGAGATGGGTGGAGCTTGTCTACAGCACCAATATCTGTCTGTAGAGCTCTGTCTAGCTGTCCTAGCATAAAGGGAGGTATCTCTGGGTAATGGGCAGCAAACTCCTGGAAAGACAATGTATTACAGGCACCTTCCTCCAAACTCTTCCTAGGACCAAATATCCTTGTCACCAAAGCACCTGAAATATCACAGATCATAATTAGGACACAAAACAGCATTTTTCCTTCTAAAGAGTATGGAAACATTGGCACAAAAGACTTACTGTTCTGCCGTGTAATATACCAATGTCATCAACACAAGAAGACAATACTTGTAAAAATATCTCTATGACATCATAAATGAATGATGTCACACTATTGTCTAAGCAGCGAGAAAATCTCCTGTTCACCTCAAAATTTGATGGTATCGTACTGAAATTAATTTGAATTTTCTCTTATTTCTAAAGAATATGAGTCACATTTTATTGTTGGTATATGTTGAATATAATCTTCCACTCATGTCCATGTCAAATTGACTTAATTAAACTTTAATGATAATTTGATAAGACTCTCCCCTAATATTGTAACATTACAATCAGAAAATACAAACTCTATTACTTCCACTTGTGCAAGTCTACATACTGAAAAGTCGTGTGGCAGCATTACGTATAGCCCAGGCTGGCGAACCAAAGCTGTCCACCACCAGCTTTACAGTGTTCTCTATGTATTGTGTGAGCGATGCGGACAAACTGGAGTCACTGTAGAGGGAGTTGAGGATGTTCAAGCCGTGAACCTGAGGTAAGTCAAACTTATCATCTAGCTGTGCAGCCAGGGGTAGACTGGTGATGTGGAATAGAGAGTCTAGGGCCGTCTGTAACAGCTTGGTCTGTAAAGGAACCAGGTAATCAATCACAGAGTGATACTGGGTAGTACAGATAAATAATAAAGAAATGAGTTCAACTGATATTAGGTCCAATAAATCAGAAGGAGAATCATACACAAGATGAACATACATGATAGTTCTTCTAATTTGATTCTTGTCAATTTGATATGTTTTAATCTATTTGACATCTTCTAGACAAAAGTAATTTCTGCCCATTAAGCTGTCATTCTGAACCAGTTTGGTCCTAATTAATTGGACTCAAGTCTTGAACCAGTGCAATGGTATACATAAAATTTGAATGTATCATGGTCAACCTTTTTATATTTCCTCTCACAGCTGACAATAGTCTGTATAATTATAGGCAGCCCAGCTGACATCCTGGTCGTGGAGGTAGAGGTCGCCTTGGTAACCAGGGTGGACAAAGACTGAAGAAAAAGGATTAAAATGTAATTTCAATATTTCATCTTACAACCAAACTATCAATGTTGACCTTGGAGTAAGAAGTATGACCTTGAGTTGGGGGCTATGACCATATAGGTTATAATATGAAAGTGGGCATTACAGTGAACCAGGTAATATTTCCTTATAATATCTTATACCATGGATAGAACATCAAATTACAGCAGTTAGTTGATGAGGGTTGGTACCCAAATGTTTACTCCTGAAGATAAAACACAGGTCTTACTAGTACCTAGTAAACATACACAGTACAACATAGGTCTTACTAGTAAACACACTCAGTACAACACAGGTCTTACTAGTACCTAGTAAACATACACAGTACAACACAGGTCTTACTAGTACCTAGTAAACATACACAGTACAACACAGGTCTTAACAACACCTAGTAAACATACACAGTACAACACAGGTCTTACTAGTACCTAGTAAACATACACAGTACAACATAGGTCTTACTAGTAAACACACTCAGTACAACACAGGTTTTACTAGTACCTACTAAACATACACAGTACAACACAGGTCTTACTAGTACCTAGTAAACATACACAGTACAACACAGGTCTTACTAGTACCTAGTAAACATACACAGTACAACACAGGTCTTACTAGTACCTAGTAAACATACACAGTAAAACACAGGTCTTAACAACACCTAGTAAACATACACAGTACAACACAGCTCTTACTAGTAAACACACACAGTACAACACAGGTCTTACTAGTACCTAGTAAACATACACAGTAAAACACAGGTCTTAACAACACCTAGTAAACATACACAGTACAACACAGCTCTTACTAGTAAACACACACAGTACAACACAGGTCTTACTAGTACCTAGTAAACATACACAATATGACACCGGTAATAACAATACCTTGTAAACATACACAGTACAACACAGGTCTTACTAGTACCTAGTAAACATACACAGTACAATACAGGTCTTACTACTACCTAGTAAACATACACAGTACAACACAGGTCTTACTAGTACCTAGTAAACATACACAGTACAATACAGGTCTTACTACTACCTAGTAAACATACACAGTACAACACAGGTCTTACTAGTACCTAGTAAACATACACAGTAAAACACAGGTCTTAACAACACCTAGTAAACATACACAGTACAACACAGCTCTTACTAGTAAACACACACAGTACAACACAGGTCTTACTAGTACCTAGTAAACATACACAATATGACACAGGTAATAACAATACCTTGTAAACATACACAGTACAACACAGGTCTTACTAGTACCTAGTAAACATACACAGTACAATACAGGTCTTACTACTACCTAGTAAACATACACAGTACAACACAGGTCTTAGTAGTACCTAGTAAACATACACAGTACAACACGGGTGTTACTAGTACCTTGTAAACATACACAGTACAATACAGGTCTTACTAGTACCTAGTAAACATACACAGTACAACACAGGTCTTAACAACACCTAGTAAACATACACAGTACAACTCAGGTCTTACTAGTAAACATACACAGTACAACTCAGGTCTTACTAGTAAACATACACAGTACAACACAGGTCTTATTAGTACCTAGTAAACATACACAGTACAACACAGGTCTTACTAGTACCTAGTAAACATACACAGTACAACACGGGTGTTACTAGTACCTAGTAAACATACACAGTACAACACAGGTCTTACTAGTACCTAGTAAACATACACAGTACAACACAGGTCTTACTAGTACGTAGTAAACATACAAAGTACAACACAGGTCTTACTAGTACCTAGTAAACATACACAGTACAACACAGGTCTTACTAGTAAACACACACAGTACAACACAGGTCTTACTAATACCTAGTAAACATACACAGTACAACACAGGTCTTACTAGTACCTTTTAAATATACACAGTACAACACAGGTCTTGCTAGTACCTAGTAAACATACACAGTACAACTCAGGTCTTACTAGTAAACATACACAGTATAACACAGGTCTTACTAGTACCTAGTAAACATACACAGTACAACACAGGTGTTAGCAATACCTTGCCAACACACAAAGTTACCGATAATAAATTGGCATGCAGAAGGAGATTATTCTAAAGCCTGTAACAAGCCAAGGAGAAGATGCAATGTGAACACATATTGAAAAGCTGTAAAAATAACAGTTATATTTTAACCATACCTCTTTCAGGATGAGTTCAGGAATCTGATTAAGTTCCTTATTGATGGATGTAAACAGTGAATAACAAAAGCGGGCAAAAGCTGATCGACAACCCTCTATAACACCCTACAACAAAGAAGACACATAATTCTCAAAGAAATAATGTAAATACTATCATGTTATATTAAAACAATTCTGTCAATATTTCATCATTTCTTCCTGTTCATGTACAATGATAGAGATGTTTAGGTGATATAACTGGTGTTGACAGTTTGTGAGAATGTTTTGGTGACCTACAATGTGTTGACAGTTGAAGCAGATGTTTTGGTGACCTACATTGTGTTGACAGTTTGTGAGAATGTTTTGGTGACCTACTTTGTGTTGACAGTTTGTGTGGATGTTTTGGTGACCTACTTTGTGTTGACAGTTTGTGAGAATGTTTTGGTGACCTACTTTGTGTTGACAGTTTGAGCGGATGTTTTGGTGACCTACTTTGTGTTGACAGTTTGTGAGGAGGTTTTGGTTACCTACTTTGTGTTGACAGTTTGTGTGGATGTTTTGGTTACCTACCTTGTGTTGACAGTTTGTGAGGATGTTTTGGTGACCTACCTTGTGTTGACAGTTTGAGCAGATGTTTTGGTGACCTACCTTGTGTTTACCATTTGTGAGGATATTTTAATAACCTACCTTGTGTTGACATTTTGAGCAGATATTTTGGTGACCTACTTTGTGTTGACAGTTTGAGCAGATATTTTGGTGACCTACTTTGTGTTGACATTTTATGAGGATATTTTAGTGACCTACCTTGTGTTGACAGTTTGAGCAGATGTTTTGGTGACCTACCTTGTGTTGACAGTTTGAGCAGATATTTTGGTGACCTACTTTGTGTTGACAGTTTGTGAGAATGTTTTGGTAACCTACTTTGTGTTGACAGTTTGAGTGGATGTTTTGGTGACCTACTTGGTGTTGACAGTTTGTGCAGATATTTTGGTGACCTACTTTGTGTTGACAGTTTGTGCAGATGTTTTGGTGACCTACTTTGTGTTGACAGTTTGAGTGGATGTTTTGGTGACCTACTTTGTGTTGACAGTTTGAGCAGATGTTTTGGTGACCTACTTTGTGTTGACAGTTTGAGCGGATGTTTTGGTGACCTACTTTGTGTTGACATCTTGTGAGGATGTTTTGGTGATATACTTTTGTGTTGATAGTTCGCGCGGATGTTTTGGTGACCTACTTTATGTTGACAGTTTGAGCGGATGTTTTGGTGACCTACTTTGTGTTGACAGTGAGTGCGGATGTTTTGGTGACCTACCTTGTGACGGCAATTTGTGAGAATGTTTAGGAACACTTGACTAATTCTGTGTATGGTTTTCATAGCTCCTTCTTTATTTTGATCCAGTACTTCTGTGAGGTGGCCCAAGCTCTTACAACTCTCCTGTAGTGTAATTTTCTTTGAGATATTAAACTGATCAATATACAATCATAACTCACACAGTTAGTTTAAAGAACACAGTATCAAACAACATTGGCAATGTTATATATATGATTACTTTTGTATGATTAAACTTCAAATTATAAATGTAAAATATCATCAGTACAAGATTGTGATCTTTTTAAATTAAAACATTACTTTGAAATTCCAAAACATTCCAGACAATATCGTACCAATGTGAGAGAATAAACAGTTCCCAGAGTCACAAGTCGGTTCCAGACTTCACTAGAAGTGTCATACACAAATGGCATTTTATCTTTTTACTCCGACATATGTTGAGGTTTTTATAAAATTAATAGAAAATTATTATGAAGGCCTTACATTTAAATCATGGTGCTGTTTCCTGACATGGGTAAGTATATACTTGAAGTAAAACTTTCTTATTTAATATCCTTGATTCTAATTGATAGTCATAACTCTAGTAAGATATACACAAATTAACAACCAAAGTCGTAGAATTTCACCTTGAGGTTGATCCAGCACCAGGAGAGCAGGTATTGATACTCTGCAGATAAAGATGTCGACTCTGTATATGTATCCTCACTCTCCGCGATCCAACTCTCAAGAGCAGAACCGATCTCAGCAAAGGATGGACACAACTCTGTAACGTAGCACACATACAAACATTTAACAGATGTTACTTTCTGTGGGATAGAGACATGTGTATCAGAAACAGTCACACATTCACTAGTTAAACTTTCAGTGTTTATCTATCACAAGAATTCTAAGGATATATATGTCTCACTGTTCCACTTAGATTCACTAAAACAGCTAAATCTCTATTTCTATCCTGATTTGAGTTATGCATTCTTCAATGTAACTTTATCATCAAATACTACTTATGCTTTCTAAGAAATTAATGTAAATGTAACTTCTTTATGTTTGGTATGGGACACTGACAGAAAAGTTGCACCTATGTCTCATTACTTCAACATACCTAGTCACCGCAAGATAAAAATGATACAACATCATTACAACTCCATCTCTAGTTACCAACAGAGACAAGCAAAGATCTAATTCGACAAACAATTACCTTTAAAATGATCCATTCCTGAACAATAATCTTATCTAGAATTACTTAGTGAGCAGAACACACATGGACTGAATCAAAGTCAAGCCTTGCCATTAAAAGCTTATACCTCACCTTGACAATGAGCACTCACCCATCTCACTGTCTCTAGCCATCACCTTCAGCATTGTATCAATCACATCTATATTCAATGATATCATCTCCATAACAACTGTGTCTAAGTCACTCAAGTGTTTGCACAGAAGGTCCACGGTCTCAGTTACACATCTTGTACAGGCCGTAACAAACCCTTGAAAAAAAGTTCATCATCAAATACATGTTAGATAACTCCGGTCAAAAGTGTGAAATTACAAAAAGCTGTGAACAGATGAAAAATTAGTATGAAATCAAATTCGTTTCACAGTCAGCATCATTTTATATTCTCTATTTTGATAGCCACGATTATTTTATATTCTCTACTATATTGGACATATTCTACGTAGACTCAGAACAAAACTTTATGATGACGAACAGAGGGAAACAACATTACCAATGAAACCAAATTACTTACCATGAACTGGTGATGTCCTTGAGGCCAAAACAACATTGGTCTTGGAAGCTTCCAAAGTCTTAACAATGAATGAGATGAGTGTTCTCAGAAACTTCACAGCTGCGTTATCTCCTCTTGGATTGTTTAAAGGTTGAACAGTACAATGCACCCCAACTTCAGTGAGAGACATTTCAAATGTCCATCCCTGTTCTACTACATACCTGTCAGAAGAGAATTACTTTATATCAGATATATTCCACATACCTGTCAGTAGAAAATTACTGTAAATCAGATATTTACAACATCACTGTCAGTAGAAAATTACTGTAAATCAGATATTTACAACGTCATGGTCAGTAGAAAATTACTGTAAATCAGATATTTACAACGTCACTGTCAGTAGAAAATTACTGTAAATCAGATATTTACAACATCACTGTTAGCAGAAAATTACCGTAAATCAGATATTTACAACGTCACTGTCAGTAGAAAATTACTGTAAATCAGATATTTACAACATCACTGTTAGCAGAAAATTACTGTAAATCAGATATTTACATCACTGTCAGTAGAAAATTACCGTAAATCAGATATTTACAATGTCACTGTCAGTAGAAAATTACCGTAAATCAGATATTTACAACATCAATATCAGTAGAAAATTACTGTAAATCAGATATTTACAACATCACTGTCAGTAGAAAATTACTGTAAATCAGATATTTACAACGTCACTGTCAGTAGAAAATTACTGTAAATCAGATATTTACAACATCACTGTTAGCAGAAAATTACTGTAAATCAGATATTTATATCACTGTCAGTAAAAAATTACCGTAAATCAGATATTTATGTCACTGTCAGTAGAAAATTACCGTAAATCAGTAGAAAATTACTGTAAATCAGATATTTACATCACTGTCAGTAAAAAATTACCGTAAATCAGATATTTATGTCACTGTCAGTAGAAAATTACCGTAAATCAGATATTTACAACATCACTATCAGTAGAAAATTACTGTAAATCAGATATTTACAACATCACTGTCAGTAGAAAATTACTGTAAATCAGATATTTACAACATCACTGTCAGTAGAAAATTACTGTAAATCAGATATTTACAACGTCATGGTCAGTAGTAAATTACTGTAAATCAGATATTTACAACATCACTGTCAGTAGAAAATTACTGTAAATCAGATATTTACAACATCACTGTCAGTAGTAAATTACTGTAAATCAGATCTTTACAATGTCACTGTCAGTAGAAAATTACTGTAAATCAGATATTTACAACATCACTGTTAGCAGAAAATTACTGTAAATCAGATATTTACAACATCACTATCAGTAGAAAATTACCGTAAATCAGATATTTACAACGTCACTGTTAGCAGAAAATTACTTTATATCAGACATATACTACATATCTGTCAGTAGAAATTTACTGACAATCTTTGTCAGAAGTCCTCCAAATGTGACTCACTTTGTCGAGACAATCATTGGTAAAAGTCCTCCAAATAGGACTCACTTAGTGAAGGCTATCTTTGTCAGAAGTCCTTCACATGTGACTTACTTTGTGAAGATGATCTTTGTCAGAAGAGCTCCACTCTGACTTTCCGAAGCCTTTGGACTGTTACAACAATTGAGTGCATGAGTCAGCAGGTGGCATGCAAAGTCCTCCTGAGTCATTCTAGGTCTTGATGAATATGATAACAATGGCCATTGAAAATACTTCATCAATAAATGAGCAGCCATTTCTTGGATCTGTTAAAAATGCAACAACAAACAATTTTGAAGAAACAGGTACACAAAATTTCAAAGTTAACGAACATGTCCCTTAATAATCCAGATACAGCGATTCCCAGCTAAAAATATCTGGACTGCTTGTTTCCCGACTGCTGAGTTTGTTCATATGACCAGTTTCCCGGAGTTACATCTGTTTATAATGCAACAATAGATATTTCATTAATGATATGATTATTTATTCAAATGTTTATTCTTTATTGAATTCATCGTAAAATATTTGAATTTCCATTGTGTACCACTGAGATGAATCTACTACACCAAATGTATGTTATTTTCCAGTATTACACATTGGCAATGTGGCTGCAATGTTATATAAATCAGTGTACATACTCTTCCGCTTCTTAATGTAGTTAATTTGGGTGTTACAATTGTGATTGTGATTTTTCCAGATTTTTCACGTCCAGACTATTGCAGATTCATTGTATCAATATTTCAACCCATCGGGTGGAGACTGACTTTGTACCAGTAAGACTTACCTCGTCAACACACAGACAGTGGTGGAGACTGTTACCTCGTCATCACACAGACAGTGATGGAGACTGTTACCTCATCATCACACAGACAGTGGTGGAGAGTGTTACCTCATAATCACACAGACAGTGGTGGAGACTGTTATCTCATCATCACACAGACAGTGATGAAGACTGACTATGTATCAGTAAGACCAACCTCGTCAACACACAGACAGTGGTGGAGACTGTTACCTCATCACCACACAGACAGTGATGGAGACTGACTATGTACCAGTAAGACTTACCTCGTCATCACACAGACAGTGGTCGAGACTGTTACCTCGTCATCACACAGACTGTGGTGGAGATTGTTACCTCGTCATCACACAGACAGTGGTGGAGACTGTTACCTCGTCATCACACAGACAGTGGTGGAGACTGTTATCTGGTCATCACACAGACAGTGATGGAGACTGTTACCTCGTCATCACACAGACAGTGGTGGAGACTGTTATCTGGTCATCACACAGACAGTGATGGAGACTGTTACCTCGTCATCACACAGACAGTGGTGGAGACTGTTATCTGTTCATCACACACACAGTGGTGGTGACTGTTACCTCGTCATCACACAGACAGTGGTGGAGACTGACTATGTACCAGTAAGACTTACCTCGTCAGCGCCATCACATAAACATTGGAGGAGACAGACTTTGTTGGATGCAGAAAAAAAATCCCATAAATTCTGTTCCCTGGCATAGGCGACCAACGATAATGTTGATTCTGAAATGAAATAATTTTGTTAATTCTCCCTCTGTTTGCAGTGATATTTACATACATACTGCATTCCAGGAATCTTTAACCATCTTGTGATTTAACAACATAGGAAAGTTTCAGTGTAAAACATGAAACATCTTTATTTAAATCCTGTAGATGACCCCATCCCAGTTGCTATTTTGGTCACAACATTTAATCATAGAAGCATGCAATAGGGTGTGTGAGGGTCACAGTCCTGTTCATAAACCTGAATAATTTTGACATTTAATCAACAACAGATAAACAACAGATTTACGAATGCGCTACAGCTGTAAGTACTCAGGATACTTGTAAACTGCAGGTAGATATTCATCTATTGTTAACAAGAGGCCAATGGGCCTGCACAGCCATTGGACTATGAAGACCTTTATATGATATAACAGCAGTATTGGTAGTGTGATCAATTATCAAATGATTAATTTTCCATCAATGGCACTATGGGAAGAAGTTTTAAATGTGTTTTTTGAGATGGCAACCATGGCAGCCATGTTAGATTTCAGACCAACACGAAAATACTTGGTCAGGACAAAATCTGATAATTTCAGCAAGTTTTAGCTAACTCCCACTAAAGAACTTAAGAAGAAGTTATAGGGCTAGAACACTTCATTCAGGTTTAAAAGTTTAGGCCCTTAGCATCACTGACAAGTCCTAGAAGGACCAAAAACCTGTGTGATGCAATGTTTGCTTTTACCAGTACCTGAATTTGTATTGAAAGTGCTATTCACTTTTGTACAATTCCTTTCCAAACAAGAGGCCTAAGAAGCCTGTATTGCTCACCTGGCTAATTCAGCTATTCAGTCATGTTAAAACGAATTTCAAATATGACAACTAATTTCTGAATTAGTTTCCCTGTTAGGTCTCTGCCTTGCGGTCACATAGAAATCTAATTCACTCTTCATAAAAACTGCTTCAGACCAAAACTGGACAACATCCTTGCTGATTTTTAAGAACTTCCATATTCCAAACTGGGCTCTATTCCTCCCACCTCAGGAGGCCTGGATCTACCATTTATACAGAATTGATTCCCCTCCACCCATGGATATCTAAGTCCTAATTTGGACAAAATCCAATAATTCCTACAAGGGAAGTAAGATTTTCAGTATTTCCCCTATTAGGCATGTCCCTCCCTCCCTCCCTCCCAAATTAGGCCAAATCTGGCTAAGTCATTCGTGACTAATAGCAACACCATGCCATGGAATAAGCTCACAAGTCCTTTGGACCAGGTGGGCTAAAAGTAGTTGTTGTTCTGGAAAACCATGATTTTTCAATCATGTTACAAAACCACTGCTGCAACTCCCATGTCAAAGTTTCAAGGAGGCCAATAAATAAAACACTTTGCTGGTTTCATTTCCTTGATATCTCGTCAAATTTTCAGTTCAATGGGAGCAATGTAAATTAACAATAACCATAAAATGTTCTCACATCATTTCGGACTAGTGCAACAAATAAGTAAACTTTGTTTAAAGATTGTTCATAGCAAGTTTCAGATCAATCTCTCTTAGAGAACTTGAGAAGAAGCTTAAAAAAGGTGTTATTCAACAAAACAATGATTACACAATCATGTTTCAAAAAGGCTGACATGAGTGGCATGTTGAACATTTGATCCCTGTCAATTTCAGGTTAATGGCACAAGTGAAACTTGAGAGGTTTATATTCTTGGATTTCTGACCTGCCCAAAAAATAAGAACACCTGGTAAGGATTTTTCTTGGCAAGATTCAACTGAATACCACCAGTGAAACTGAAGATGAAGTTTGTACACACAGGGAATGGTGCATGAGGCCTGATGAAATACAATGGCTACATGTCATCCTGACAAAAACTGAGTTAAACTAAGGAAATTCCTGTTAATTATCAATGTTTTAATTTACAGTAAAAATAGGCCTATGATTGATAATCCATCAATTAAAATGAAATGGTGAAATTCCTAACTTTACAACAATTGGCATGTCTAACCTATGCCCAAGTCAAATTTTACATGGGGAGATAAAGTATTTTTGTCAGGGAGGGAATGTTTCTCAGTATACAGCAATAAAACTTGAAGAAAATGACATAAAATTCTCCTATATGAAAGCTAATGATTTATAACTTGCATTTCTGCCATTTTCAATGATGAATTTACAGCTTTTACCTGGTGTGAAGGACTTTCTCTGTCTGGAGTCGGTCTGGTACACCAGTGTGTCATACACAATGGTTAAGAGGTCAAGACAAGTCTTGCGTCTTTGGTAACAAGCCCCAGGCATCAGGTTATCTACCAAGAGTTGGTGCAGCCATTCAACAAATGTTAAAGAGGGACCTGTAATGAATAAATCATACCAAACAAAGATCAAACCTACTTTCTTTTTTTCAATATCAAAGCATTCCATTTATTTAAAGGTCCATTACCAAACCACTGCATCAACAGATGGAAAAGGCAATCTGTTATTAGGTGTTGAGAAATAGACACACACAAATGTAAATAACATTATCTGGTGTTGCGTTAAATAAAATATATAGGGGAAAGTGACTTTAAATGGTTTCCATTGTGCATGTACTCTGATCAAAATTATTCTAAACCAGTGTCCTTAATTATGAATCATACATTTGTATATGAGAAATGAATCATTTATGGTTTATTTTTTCAATCATTACTCGATTTGGATTAAAAAATTTAAAGCAGATTATGAAAATTTACTTTGCCAGGACTTCCTTCAACACACTTGTCTCATCCCTGTATACAGTATGAGGTGTACATCCCCACCATGACATCCTTCTTGATGCCTGTCCCACTCTGTATACAACCCCACCATGACATCTTTCTTGATGCCTGTCCCATCCCTGTATACAGTATGAGGTGTACATCCCAACCATGATATCCTTCTTGTTGCCTGTCCCACTCTGTATACAACCCCACCATGACATCCTTCTTGATGCCTGTCCCACTCTGTATACAACCCCACCATGACATCTTTCTTGATGCCTGTCCCATCCCTGTATACATCCCCACCATGATATTTTTCTTGATGCCTGTCCCATTCCTGTATACATCCCCACCATGACATCCTTCTTGATGCCTGTCCCATCCCTGTATACATCACCAACATGATATCTTTCTTGATGCCTGTCCCATCCCTATATACAGTATGATCAGTACATCCCCACCATGACATCTTTCTTGATGCCTGTCCCATCCCTGTATACATCCCCACCATGACATCCTTTTTGATGCCTGTCCCATCCCAGTATACAGTATGAGGTGTACATCCCCACCATGACATCCTTCTTGATGCCTGTCCCATCCCAGTATACAGTATGATCTGTACATCTCCACCATGACATCCTTCTTGATGCCTGTCCCATTCCTGTATACATCCCCACCATGACATCCTTCTTGATGCCTGTCCCATTCCTGTATACATCCCCACCATGACATCCTTCTTGATGCCTGTCCCATTCCTGTATACATCCCCATGCCTGTCCCATGACATCCTGACATCCTTCTTGATGCCTGTCCCATCCCTGTACACAGTATGAGGTGTACATCCCCACCATGACATCCTTCTTGATGCCTGTCCCATTCCTGTATACATCCCCACCATGACATCCTTCTTGATGCCTGTCCCATCCCTGTACACAGTATGAGGTGTACATCCCCACCATGACATCCTTCTTGATGCCTGTCCCATCCCAGTATACAGTATGAGGTGTACATCCCCACCATGACATCCTTCTTGATGCCTGTCCCATCCCTGTACACAGTATGAGGTGTACATCCCCACCATGACATCCTTCTTGATGCCTGTCCTATCTCTGTATACAGTATGATCTGTCCATCCCCACTATAACATCCTTCTTTATGCCTTTAAACCCTACAAGACAGCTGTCTCATACTTTATCGAGAATGACCTGTACAAACCTAATAAAGTATCCTTTTTGACCTTTAAACCCACAAGACAGCTATCACATACTTTTATCTAGTATGACATGTACAAACCTATTAAGGTATCCTTTTTGACCTTTAAACCCGCAAGACAGCTGTCTCGTATTCTGGCCAATAGCTTCTTCACACTGGCTCCCAGATGTTGTCTAAACGGGGCAGAATCAATCTTCAGGTTGAAGGGCAGAATTTCCATCAACAATGTGCTGTCTCTCTCTGACAGGGATTCTGTAGATAATGATGGTTATTCTCCTAACAATACTATAACAGTCAAAGATTTCCTAACTACCAAACAAAACATTCCAAGGTTACCTCATAAAACTTTTAAGTCATCAGCTGAACTTATCTATTCATGCTGGACATATGTTAAAAGCACATTTTGTAATATTTCTTTTATAGCTTAACATGAAGTGCATTTTGTAACATGCATATAAATCTATGTATTTTCAATATTCTTATTCAATAAAACAACAAGTTGTGTTGTGTTTATACCAAATATTACATGTTACATATTGAAATACTTTCCAAATACAGAAGCATGCATGTTAAATACCGCTTCAAACTGGATTAGAGGACAGAAATATGATGTGAACTAGCCAGATACAGAAATAAGTCGAGAGCTAGCCAAGCCAGAGTACAGAATTATGTCAATTACGGTACCAGCAAAAGTATAGAGCTATGTCACATATTTGCCAATGTACAGAAATATGTTGAGTACTAGCCAGCATTACAAGATTAGATAGATGTTGAATATAAATTGCAGAGACTGTTGAATACTTACCTGCCTTACGTAAGGAGCAACACATCAAACTGATTGCCTCTGCTCGTGTCTCTTCTGAACTGCTGTACAGAGCTTCCCTCAGCAAAGTAGAGTCCTTTAATGTTAACAGGACTTTGTATAACTCAGAAAGATGGGCAACACAAATATTCTAACTGGTCGGGATGAATGAAAATTTATTACATACAGACCACACTTCTATAACAGTAAGCAGTGTTCATAGTCATAGAGACCAATGTAGGGTCATACTTGTGGGCACTCACCTGTGTAATGGTGCTACTTCTATGGTAAAGAAAATCTGACAGTAGTCAGGTAGGTATCAGATTGATAATGGATAAACAATACTCATTTGTAAGACGTGAATACTGGAAGTTCAAGTCAGAAGACACAATATGAAGCTTATATATTGAAAAACTTCCATGTTCTTCTGATACCATTTTTATTGGATACATCCATTTTCACACAAAGAAACATTTGGTGAACAGATATTTAATAACCTGTTTATGATACATTTTAACACTAATTCAACATATACAGGGTGTTTAATTTAGTTCAATGAGAATGCCATCGTTTATTTTACATCTCAATTTCTAGTGACAAAAGAAGGGTCTGCCATTCATCAGAAGGTATGATTATAATTTGCACATCGTGCCAGTTATTAGAAAACAATATATTTTTCACCAAATTATCAAGCAGCTCATTTTCTTTTCAAGAAACTTCAAATTTTCTACAAAGAAAATGCTCAGCTGATGAAGATAATACTTCTAATCATTTGTTTTTTCTAAAAAAGTAAAAGTCCAATCAGACTCAGAAAGTTGTTCATTATGTGTTTTATACATGAAATTAAAAAATTATCAGGAATGTTAAACATCGAAATGACTTAACAAAACATCAATAGTGGATGTCAATCAAATGCTGTTGATTATGTTTTAAAGGGATGTAACTCTGTATGACCAGTTAATCTCGTAGTTCTGGAAAACACCTATTCCAGACAATTTTAGGTAGAAACAAAGATGTCCAGACAATCGAGGGTCCATTGTATTGGTGCAAAATGTAACAAGACCTTTAGAATGTTTTCAATAATGGTTTAATGTAAACAAGGATGAATAGATAACCCACCTGAGCTTCCCTTCCTGTAAGGTTCCTGATGACCTTTGACACCACCACCCAGGCATGAAGAACATGTTGTCGTGGGAACTGAGTATTACTTGAGTACAGCACATCTGACATGTGTTCCTGGAGAAAATCCCCCACAGATGGCAGCACCTTGAGTGTGGACTGCACCCAGTAGTGATTAGTATTACTTCGCAGTAGTCTGACATCATATGGAAATAAATATCAACATTTCAGTGATTTTTTTTGTGCTCTTCAGAAGTTTTCAAAAAATGATATTAACTCTTACTCTTATTACTAATCCAGTGAATGCCACCGGTATACTTTCATACAATGAGATGTACTTTATGTACAAATTTTGTCTAATTTAAAGAGTGAAAGATCCTTAGGGTACTTCCCTGTGAATCATCTTACATTGTAAAAATATTTCTTTTGACACTTTCAAAAACTTAAGAGACAAAATGAATAGTTTCAGTAAGATTTTGATATGAAATGCCTTCAATATATATTGCATATCATATGTTCTGAATTATCATCAAGGGAAGCGCCTATAATAGTAACATAAAAAAAAACTAACTTTAAACTTTGAATTTTATTGCCTCAAAATGTATTTACGTGTTACTGTTGGTGAGACTCTGCATCATGGTTTCCAGCCAGATAGTAATCCACACACTGATATCACTGCCATTTTGTTTCCTGATGAGAAAGTGTAAACAGAGCTTTTTAAGATACAATAACTGTCATATAAAAAAAACACTTGCTGGATCAAAATCTTTGGGTTGTACTTTCAAATCTATGATTTGAAAATCCCCAATCTGCTTTCACAGAACATTACATCACAATTAAGATTACCTGAGAATGATATATATATATATATATTCAGAAAATACAGTATGTACCGCCCATAGTTATGGGATTACCTGAGGACCGAACAATGTAGAAGACCTTGGGATTACCTGAGGACAAAATACATCTTATTGGATTATCTGCAGACAGTATATACCCAGTTAAAGGATGATATATGGAGGGTATACTCTAGGTATGGAATTACCTGATTTGCTGAAGGAAGGATTTGTAGACATCTGCTCCACATGGAGCTAAGTAGTTTGTAGACATACACTGTTGCAGGTGCTTTCTAATCTCAGGATATCTTGTAAGTATCTACCAAGGAAGTAATACAAAAACAGATCAGAACTGTTAGGTAAGAATCTATGGGTATGGTAATCGAGAATGGACAAGATTTGTAGGTCAGAGATTCACAAACTTTACATCCTTCTATATACAAAACTAACAAAAAAAATGGTTGCAAAATACATCATTTTTTTAATATGTGAAGACAATGAATAGCATTAAGGTGTCCTGAAGGCTTTTATCAACATAATATATTGTCAATAAAAATCAATTTACAGAGGCTTGAAATTCCAATCTTTGAGAAAGGTCAGTCTATTATTCTACACAAACAATAGAAAATGGCCAAAAGAAAAGGAAGAGCTGATGATACAGTCAAAATTACACAGAGTCACCACCTGTGAACCAAAAATTATCTGCCATACTTGACAATATCTACTTTTAATCCCGACATGAAAGCCTATCTTCTGAAAGTCTGTAAGGAGATATTCTTTGTTTGAAGAAAATTCAACTACTAATCATATCAAAATACAGATGTAAGGATAATCACTCAACATCCTTCAAAGAGAGCTTCTCACCTTTTCTTGGTCCATATGAGACAAAAGTATAGCTAGAATCCTGTACTTTCCCTTCACATACCAAGGTGTGGTTTCTAATTTGGACAAAACACTTTCTGGTAAGTCATTGTCCAATTCTTTCCGACTAGTTTTATGTTTAGTTGATGTGGTATCCCAGCATTCCAATAACATTCGAAATATCTCTCCAACTATTTCTGCCACATCTTCTACTGGACTGTCCCAATTCAAATATACTAAAGTCAAAGTTTGTGGAAAAATGGCACTTATTTCAAGTTTTCCAATATGAAAATTTTCACTTTGTGATAAACACATGGAGAATTTTTTAAACCATGACAATAATAAACTAAATGAATGGAAGTGTAAATTGATTGGTCCCGTGCAGTATCCAATCATCACTGGGTAAAGGTCAGTGATGAAAATATTGGACTGGTTCTCTCCTTGGTAACACAACAGTTCAGCTGAACTACAGGCTACCATACCTTTGACCAGACAAACAGGACCAAGGGACTTTCTGAAGGGGTTAGACAGACAGGGTGTGTATTCAGGAGTCTTCAGAATGTCAGTGGAAAACTTGAAATCTGAAAAGAAACTGACATTCAAAAGCACTGCTAAAAGTTTATAACATCTATATATTGTACAACAATGAAATCTGTATGCACCAAACAGAGATTGATTGGCATATTAACAAATGAGTTATTTATCGAAGAACAAACACAACCATCAGTGGGTGGAGAATACCTCTGTTCTCTGTTCAGCAATCTCAATAACACATCATTTTAGAGTCTATTTATTATTGGCTGCTATTTTCACACTGCATACGGTGTAATTTACCAAAGATTACAACTACATCAATCCTCCTCCCTAAACTAAATCCTGAAATGCCTCTAGTTTTATTGTTAATTAAATCAAGGATAGAGTGATGAAATGACATGTACCTGGATTATTGAGAGACTGGAATGTTGACCAGAAAGCTGACACAGTGACAGCTGGTGTGGAGACTGTGGTCAAAACATAGGAAAATGTTGTCCCCGCCAACAAAACACAGTCTGTGGCATACCCCTAGAACAGAAGGAAGTATGGTTTTGTATAATGAGGTTGGCTAATGTTTGTGTCAGGATAGGACAGGAAGATGTCACATAAATTGAGATCCTCTTGGTTAAAATGGCTGAGAAATGGACCTAAGAATACAACTAGAACACAATATCAACAATGAGGAATTTAAATAAGTTCTATAAGACTTTTTGATCTTGTGGCTTTAACACACTTAATAATAAAAAGATCTATCATCTATTATCATCTATGTCATTTGACAGAATTTTGCTTTCAATAAATTCAACTACAAAAAAATATATAGTGCAAAATTGTTGGACTTAATAAAACATCAACGGTCACCTGAAACCTTGAACACAAATTGTATTCCATCATTTTATGACAAACTATCCTAGTCTACCAGTCTCTGAAAGTAACACAAACATATTTCTGCTTACATCAATATCCAGAATGCTGTACACTGTATTAAGTATTGATTCCAGAGATTTATACTGAGGAAGGTTGTTTTCTGTAATGGCTGTTCCCAGTGGACAGGATTGAAACAGCTGCAGCACAATCTGTTGTGGACAAATAATTAAAGAAGGGAAACAAAAGTCATCACATACAGAATTTTTTTCAGAATTCATATCACACCTACAAAATTACACTGAGTGCAATGATACAGCATAGTAGAAATATCATAAAGAGTTATATACTTTTTAATATGCTATTGAGTAGAAGCCCATTTTCTATTGATAATGACCTTGACTTTTGACCTTTAATCCTTAAAAACACCAATTTGTAGCATTGTTTTGAAAAGAAGAACCTGAAATTAGCAAAATTACCGTGAATTGATTTAGGAAATCATGAGTGAATTAGAATCAATTTTCCTACTTACATGAAAAATACATGTAAAAGTAACTTTGGCCATAGAATTTAAGAAAAGAAAAGAAAATCTGGAAATCTCACCTTGACCAGAATATAAAGATTTCCAGCCTCAGTTGTAGATAGATCTAAAGGTGGTTTCCTCGTCAATAGGCCTAAACATCTTTCTATCCAATTAAGAAATGGGACCAGAATCTTCACCACAGCATCTCTCACCACTAAGTTAAGCTCCAGCAAATTGGATACTATTCAAGAAACAACCATACTCAGCCATATAAATTTTTTCATGAATCCAAGAGAGGAGATATTTCTTTTTTATTTCTTTTTTTTATTTGATTTCTTGTTTTCTGTTAATCACAGAAAAAAATATATATATTTCAAATAGTAGTAAAGAGCATCAATTTGCCTAAAATTACCTGCTGTTAAACTTGCTAAATCTGGATTTTCCTTGGATATCACTGAGGAAACAAATGCTGACAATTCATCATGGATATATGCTTCATACGTTGATCTCCAAGGGTGTAACAACTGAAAGACAAAAGCAAACAATTAAAATAATAAACCAACAAAAATTATCAAATCATCAAAACGTCGGAAGAAAATGACGACAAAGTACAAACAGAATGAAAAATGAATTTCTCTAACAAATATACAGATTACCAAAGGAATAATCTGATGATCACAAGACACCAAATTTAATCACTACTCCTAACATTTCAATCACTCGACACAAAAAAAATTAAATCAAAGGACAGACATTTAATCACTAGATCGAATGGCAGCATCTGTATATACAAGGACCTCAACCTTAAAGGCAGATTTGAGTTGACTAATATTGTTCATGCCTAAAATTACAAGACTGTGAAACAGTTGTTTGAAATAATAAAGCAAGGGAGATCAATCTATGCCATCCCTATCAGGAATAAGTACCTTTTCCACAGATCTGGCAAGCTTCATAGATTCAATACATCTATAGTAGCATTGTATAACTTGTTGGAGGAACTGTTTGGTAGTGGTCGGTACAATTTGTTTCAGGTGACCTTTCTGATCAGCATCCTGTAGGCTTTTGTGGATATGATCCAGCCTCTTCAGCAAACGATGTGCATCATGAGTTCTAATATAATATACCAGCAATGTACATGTCTATATCAACATTCGTCTTAGTTCATCTTAATCATAAATAATTAATATAATAACTGACAAGAGTTGCGACTCTGCATTTACATATTATCGCGTTTTTGTTGTTGTTTGGTTGATAGGCATATCAATTTTGTTCCACATTCACTGAGGATTGATTATTTTCACAATACTACATTGAATCATATTTGATTAAAACATAATTTATAAGATTACAATATGAAAACTTATATATCATTTCAGTATACAATCAAGTACATATTGGGAACATAGTTCATTAATACCGGAGCTTGTAATATTTGTCAACAACAGTATACCTGTAAACCAATAAATCTTCAAAGATTTGTTTGTCTTGAATCTTCAGACAATCAAGAACCGATTCCATTGCTATTCAATAATTTTGGAGAGATGAAGATGGCACAGTGCTTCCCATCATCCTGTATGTGTACTGTAATTACATAGAACAAGAGCTGTTTGAGAACAGCACAGAACACATATTTATTCATAAACACATTTACCTCTTTTGGGCCACAAAAATATGAAAAGTATGATTCAGTATATTGATAATACTAGAGATAATTCATATGAATGCTTGAACCATTTAATGGTCAACTGCCTAATGACGTGTGATCAAGTACTGCTTGAAAAACTTGCTAAAAACTTCAACATTAGACTTTTTCCTAAATTCCACAAACAGAAATGTACACCTTTAGGACCTCATAAATATGAGAGAAATGGTTTGGCATATTAAAAATAATTCATATTAATGTGGGACCCTGTAATACAAGTGATTGTTTGTATTTAGTACATATCTAGTAGGCCCAGAATAGGTATACTATTTTTAGTTACGTACATGTTCGGGACAATGACTGACCACTTGACCTGTGACATGCGCTGTTTAATCATTTCTTCCTTTTTTCAGTTAACCTTTCTTTCCTTTCTAACTTCTGATTTTGGGCTGATACCGAAAAGACCTGTTTTGATATTTCTCATTATTTCCAGTCTGTCGTGCCATACACAGGGTAAGTCTTTGATTTATATTGCAAATTGTTTATGTCTATACAAATTATTGATAAAGATCAATTATTGATCTATTTCAAAGAAGTAATTCAACTATTCAGATTTTTTCTATATTTTCATCTGATCAATCTGGACGAGAGTAATATCTTTTAAAGTACATTATGTTATCCTCTATTTAGTTTTGGTCTACGTCATTTATGTCCTATGTAAATGTAAGTAACATGTCGTATTTCTGTAGTAAGCTACATAGCAGAATTAATATTCACTTTTGTATCTGTACTACTGAGCAATATGTATTGACAGTAATGTGAATGTCACCTGTGTGTTGTGTGTAAGTGCGAGTTTGATTTGGGTGTGTTCTATGACATGTTTTACCATGTATTGTAATATGTTATTCGTAATGTTTTAGGCATCTGTACGCTTCATCTTTCAGAATGGAGAAACCCTTACTTTGATAAATTAATACGTAATTATCTCATAATCAACATCATTTGATAGTGATAATCTAGTACTGCTAGAGAAAAATGCTGAATTAAGGTTGGGTAACGTTGCCACCAACACTAATGCAGATGTGACTACATCAGCTCTCTATTCTTCAAATTAAAAAGCTAAAAAAAGTAAAATTGTCTCAGTTTTACCTTTGAAAACTCTTTCCGTTACAATGTACACAATAAAAGAGTTGGCATGCAGTGTGCATGTGTTTTACAGGGATTGCCTCCCTTTGATAATATAACCATGGATAGCCCCTTTGTTTATTTTTTTCTTTTAGTCTTTCGTCATTTCTGATTGTTTTACATCACAAAACATTACATAATCACTTGCAACAAATAGATATAACTTAAGTTGTCTAAAAGAATGTATCATGAAAATTGCAAAGGAAATGAAATGAAGCATCTTAGTAGAGAAAGTGGAATTTTGACTATATTTTTTTCAGTAAGAGTGCTGAGTGGATCTATATACACCCATTAACTCTTCTAAAAATTTTAAAACTAAAAAGCCATTCCTAAAGTACAATCTCATGTCATTGTAATACAAAGCCTGAAGAAAAAGCTTTAAAAAAGTTCTAAGTGATCAGATGAAAACCCAAAAAATCTCCAGACATATAGAAAAGTGAACAATGGATGGAAGGAAAAAATTATACAAAGCTTTTGACAATCCTTCCGTCTGTAAATCTCTAGTAATCTAAATCAATGTCAAGAGTGCATGGTGTTAACGGAGGGCCTGGTGGTATTACGTACATGTCTGATAATATTTGGACAAACAATGAACAATAAAATAGGTTCTTTTCTTCATAGGAATTTTCTGTCTTTCACCTTTAAAATTATGACCATTTCAAAAGTTCTATACAAGCACTGGACCTCGCCAACATGTTCAATTGTACAGCAATTGGGGGCTTATGTAAATTATTTAATTTATTAGGATATATGATGGACGCAGGCTGGGAATAAGCCTCTGTGTCCATATCTGTAAATTAATTTACAATAAATAATATTCTTAATGATAATGTTGAACATGTTTGTAATGCTTCCATACAGAGTATTTATTAAAAACCCAATGTTCCCTCATCAGTCTATATATCAATATGGTTATCTTATTTAACAATGCTGCACTTTTTTCCATGTAAAAAAAAATATTTCACTACACTTAGTCATACTTTGGGTCGAATTGCCCTCATACCTAGACTTCTGATCAGGCTACTTCTGAACAGCTGAAAGAAGACTGATGTGTGTACACATATCTGGAACAATGATCCTGAATTGAGATTAAAGATTTTTCAAAGATTTTATTTGGTTTTTAACGATAACCTAACTCACAGTGGTTACGTTTAACCTTACTTAAACTATACCTTATGTAGCCACGTTCTCAGCAAGAAACGTCAGCCAGTCTTGTGGTTGTCAATGTAATGATGCTATATTGTTTTAATTGTTCGAACATTTTCTATGACACTAGACAAAAAATCGTCTGTTTTCTGGTAACATTTGACGGATAGTGTCTCGCATTCGCGATCGCTGGCTAGCTCACGAAAGCATACTGCACATGGGTTTGTGTTCCCTCCATGCTTCAAATACCGGAAGTGGTTTAGTGTTAATCTTTAACCAACATTAATGTGATAAGTATACATGTTTTAGAAGTACGTTTAGGTACAATAAAATGAAAATGACATAAAGTGCATTTAGGTAATTTACACTGGTTGTTTATTCTGGATTGTTCTTGAGGAAGTAAGAAATAAGTTGTACAATGCAAACAGGTGGATTCGAGATTATGTTTGGTTAGAAAACGAGGCTCATCGGTCTGTATGAAGCGAAAATCTACAAAGAAGTTCGGAATGTGAAGAATTTGGGTGCGATGTGACTGTTATGTGCAGTTTTATTACAATGTTGGATCGCTATGCATTTTTGCAAGTATCTTGGACCTAGATTTCGACAGGTAATATGTTTCTACATGCCGTTTTATAGATATATCTTTATTCCGGTTAGGGGGTGTTAGAGCTTTCGTTGGCCCGGTTTGATTGCTCCAGCTTACTTTGACGGTTGAATGAGCACACTGTCTTAAAGAACATACCTTGACGGAGGTTGCTTGCCATGCGGTCCCCTCTCCCTCAATTGTTACAGCAACATGTTACTTTTATCTCATGATTACCTGTTGATCCTTCTACTTCTCAATGTTCAGCTACAGCAGACCACTTGGGATGGAGAAAGAACGAAAAAAAAGGGGGGGGGGGTTATTTAGTGTTGTACTGTGCTGTGTTAAAATAGCTACAATGACATAAGTGTGAATGACAATGGCATATATGTATGATGGGTATCACAATTCGGTCATTGTAACAGGAGTAGAATTTAAAGAGTGGATACATAATAAGAATCACTCTACCTATCAATTTCCATGTACAAACTGGTACTAAGCTACATACCTACAGACGGTAACACAATTTGATGCCACTGTACAGGATCAGTATATGTGACAGCTCTAGCTCTAGTTACAGAAATTAAAATTCTCACAACATTCTTGAGACAAATCTAACCATTCACACATACCATTCATGAATTGCTACTAATAGAATATAGACAAAGGCATTTAAAGCTTCTATTTATGTCAATAACACAGGAAAACACGTTTAAATCTGACTGATTTTTTCATTGAGTGTGTTCACACTGTTGGAAAACATCTATTTACATAACATATTTTATTGGAAATTCATATATGTCAACATTCCTCGTTTAATGTATACAGGAAGACAATAACTGATCATTCCAATATGATATATAGTACTTGATACATCACATTTTCTCCTGAAATGAGACAGTCCCTTGTATTTTATTATATATATATATATTTTTTTTCGGGGAGGGGGATGATAGAACCCAGTTTTTTTTATGATATCCTATACATATGAATCAAATTTTGAACCATAATATAGTAAGAAAGAAATTGTCACAATAAATAATTAAATTAATTCATATTTTAGCAATCATCTGATCAGTCAGTCAAATTGTGTTTGTCATAATCACACAGGATTCTTTGCTGGCCTGTTGAGATCATGGAAATCTTGACATCCAAGAAAGAGACACTGTTTAATTTTCAGTCTTTGCCATTATGTAACCCACACTATTGAAAAGTATTTTTCACAGTCATGAAAGTGAAAGTATGATTCACGATCAGATACCCAAAGTATTCTTCATAGCTGTGTCAGCTACATGTAAATCCTCATTAATCAAATACACCTGATATAGAATAATGGGATCATGGATTAACATGAGTGGAACCAGCTCAGACTGGTTATGTGGACAATATATAAAACAAAATTTTCAAGTATAACGAGGAAAAAAGATACTATTGTTGAGATGCAATTTTTACCTATAATGTTTCATTACTTTCAATACTGAACAATATTGTATATTATATAGATTTTGTCACCAGAATTATCAGTATTGCACAAGGCTGGAAATTCTTCACATGGTTAGATTTAACAAACTGTCATATAATAAATTATAAACATTTTGATATCGATCTGTATATCTAGAAAGAAAGCATGGGGTTTAATATTAACCATCTTATATCACTGACTTTATTTTTTGAGCCCAACAGTATAAGCCAGCAGCAAATCAACAGAGAAAGTGTTCAGTTGATTTTTTTTTATTTAGTGATATGTCCATAATAGACTGGCGAAAGGCTGTTGAACCAAGAAAATCAACTGGATAATGAAGGATGTAAAATATTATAGACAATTAGCACTTTATTGTCATGATATCTACAAGATGACATTAATTTTAAAATTATAAGAAAAAAGGAAGAACTAAAGTTATATCTAAAAAACATGATTTGCTATAATAATATGCCATGACAATGATTAAGGGTTTCACTTGCCATTAATTATAAGTTGCAACGCTCTCAGTGGTCAATCTACAACTTATTTTCATGAGTCCATATTCCACTGTACACTTTCTTAGGGTTATTGCCCATTGTTTATAACATCATCAACACTAAATATAATTATCAAGAGTCGTCATAGCATCACATCTGAATAATACTTAATGTTTTGTTCTATTTCCCCTTCTATAACCAGTGTCTTATTTTTTGTCAAATGAAGGCACTTTTTCATACTAAAATTTTGAATACTAGGTATATTGCCAAATTGCTTTATAAATTACATGTACCTAATTTGTGTAAAAAAATATGTGTATACCAAAAAAAAGAAAGGAATACATTTATAATCAAACTTGACCCCAAGTTTACTGACTCTTGAGTGTCATTTATGCCTTATCTTGTGTATTCTGACACCCTATCTAATCCAAACAGTGTATATTAACCCTGTCACTGTCAAAAATGTATTAATTTCTCAATATGGAGGTCAGTGCAGATGTACCTTGTGAACTGGTAAAAATACGTAAAATTGATGTTTTTATATAATTATTGACATGGGATCAAAAAGTTTTGACAGTTATGAATACTTTTAATTAGAAGGTAACTGTAATCATATTGGTCGGCTACAAGTGTAGATTTCTATCTTTCCTATTGAGACAGCAAAATCCTTCCTGTCTTTATGGCTCTATGTAAATGTAAGTAATGACATGAATGCTCAGGTATGTAAATAATACATTCCTTCTGTAGGTATGGAAATCATTAGATGTTACTTAATCTATGTATGTGCCTGTGAATGTAGTAAGTAGGTTGATGTAAATCAGTAAAATGTACTTGTGCTTTACAATATAAATACACTAGCTCTTTCAGCATTTGAATTTTTTTCTTTTTCATTGTATTTTTATTAGGAAAATTATTCAAATCTGCAGTTATAGCAAGTGCTTTATGTTATTGAAAATGGAAATTCAAAGTGGTAAAAACAGGCATAGCCTGGCTAACTATGATCCTCCTTGAACAGCTGGGTTGCTGGAACTTTCATCTCAGAACAAACTGGGAACTTCCGACCTGTTTATTTCTTTTAAAAAAAATCTTGACTTTCAGAATTTTTTTTCAAACTTTCATGTAGAGATAAAAGCATTCTAAAATTTTGAAATAATTCAAATAAACTTAACAAACATACTGTATTTGATTTAATAATCGCCTATTACCGGTCTGGGAAATGCAATTTTTATTGAGAAAATCATATAACAATCAAGATTGGATCACATCTGATTCCTTGTTTACCTGATATTGCTAGTTTAAGACTTGGTAATTTTCGTCACTAAATGTATTATCGTTTCATAAAAGAAATGTGTTGAAGGGCCTTGATTTGGTTTAAAACTTTCACATAATGAGGAACTCTGATTCTCCATTTGTCCTTAATATAATGAAATATGATTATTTTAATTCAATTTCATTTGAAAGCTCATTAAGTTTCCTTTATAAAGATGTATAAACCACTTTAGTGAAGCTATGAAATATATCAAAAGGCATTTTAAATGATATATATATAATTATAACTCACTTTAAGGTAATACCTATTTCATATTGAATATTGTTGTCCTAAAATATTTTCTCAGTGTTATTTCCCTGCATATTATACTATCATTCCTTAATATAATTATGAAATACTCGGCTCAAAGGTAAAGGTTGGCTTTGTGAAGTTCCTATTATATTTTTTGTACAGGTTACGTAGAAATACCGTGACTGAGGCACTGAAGTTACATGTTTATTAAATAGCATTTAATTACTTATACATTGTATATCAGCATTTAGTATCAAAGTTTACTGTACATATATAATAGGATAATTGGAGTTAAAATGCAGTGCAGAGATTTTAGAAGACAGTTGATGAATGATTTGTATGGTATTAATACCTGTATTAATCACCTTACAGACGTATCACTATCACCAGATTGTCTAATCACTAGCTGTTTGTTGCCACTGCATTGTTGTGTGGGCTGTGAAGAGATCTTGTTTGGCAAAGCTTCATATAAATTATGCCTCCACATGCATGTAATAATTGTGTAAGTACTGCATTGGGCAGTGCTAGCTGAGGGAATGTGACAGACAAACAAAAAGAAATGAAAGGAAAAAAAAATTATAATTTACTATTAAGTCTATGATGAAATGCCTGTGTATGTGGTATATATATATATATATGTAAATTCTTCTCTTTGTGTTGTATCAATACACATTCCAGGCATATTGCCCTTTACAACCGTTGACCTCTTGGAAAATATTTGGACATCTAAATGCTGTATGTATATCAGCTTACAGATCATATATTTCTTCTTGTCTGGCAAGCTGTCTTATCGTGGCTCATCTTGGCTAACATACTGGGTTGGCTCTTTATCAAAGAATGTTATTGTTTTTTTTGTTATGAATGGGTAAGCATAAATATCACAGGGCTAAGTCCATGATTTTTCAAGGAGTCTGAGGACTACACAGTACAGCAGCAGGACTGTCTGCACATTTCATACAAATGTTAGTACGAGCGAACATTGTGATATAACTAATTAATCGTGGCCATGGTATTTAAATGTCAAAAGTGTTGGTAAATATCCTTATAATTACATACTACAGATATGCCTGTATGCCATATAAAGATAA